TCGATACTGCCATGTCATTGATCGCCGTAGAGGCTGCACCAATTTCTTTGGCCTGATTCTCAGCTGCAGAGGCCAGGTTACTGGCTGTACCCTGAGTATCACCTGCGGCTTTAGCCACCTGTACCGACAACGAATTGATATTCGATACCAGCCCGCGCATCTGGTCGATGGCGAAGTTGATCGAATCTGCGATGGCGCCGGTGAAGTTTTCCGTCACGGAGGCGTGTACGGTGAGGTCGCCTTCAGCCAGGTCTGCCAACTCATCAAGCAGTTGCAGAATAGCTGCCTGGTTACGCTCGTTCTGGGCGGCCTGTTCGTGCAACTGAGCACGCGTACTGCCGACCATAACCACGCCGATAACCGCCATCAGCACCACGCCGAGCACGGCCAGCATCAATGGCGGACTGTCCATCACCGACACCTCGCCGACGAAAATAAAATACGCCATACCAACAAGAATGCCTGCCATGGCGACCATTAACATAATCAGTAACGGTGATAACTTCCCTGAATTCATATCCTTTTCCTGCTACGCCTTATCTGCTTTACCTAATGCAACATCAAAAAACTTTTCGTCTTTCAAAATTGCTTTTAACTGGACCTCGTGAAAAACGCGGCCACCATGCCGAAACGCGCCGGTGACGTAGGGGCCTAAACCACCCAACTCCTTACCGTCGCTCTCTTCATAACTGTCTTCTAAAAAATGTTGTATACCCAGAGACTGCTCAACCAGCAGCCCGGCCACAATATCGCCTTCTTCCACCACCAGAACCCGCCATTGATTCGCAGGCAGCGTTGTTGGTAGCTGTAAATATTCGTGCAGACTGATCACCGGGATCAGCCGGCCGCGCACGTTGGCAATGCCCATGACCCAGGGTTTTACCGCGGGCAGGGGTGTCATTCGGGGTACCGGCATCAGTTCTGCAACCTGACCCAGTTTCGAAACCAGGCGGGTACCACCCACCAGGAACCCAAGTCCCTGCCACTGTGCCTGCACCTGTTCTTTGTGTGGCAGCGGTGCTGCGTTTTTAAACGTGGCTGCTTTGATATCCTGCAGGATATTGAGGGCTTCACTGTGTGCCATATCGCCGCCTAACTCGCCAACAAGCCGTTTACGGTGCTGATCAGAGTTCGATCATCCACCGGTTTGGTCAGATAACCACAAGCGCCCTGGCGTTCACCCCAGACTTTATCAGCGTCCTGATCTTTACTCGATACAATGATGACCGGAATATGCCGGGTATGATCATTTCGGGTGATCTGCCGAGTAGCTTGAAATCCGTTGATTCCTGGCATTACCACGTCCATCAGAATGATGTCCGGCTGTTCCTCTGCCGCAATTGATACACCATCTGAGCCTGTAGCAGCGGTCAGTACCTGATGCCCTTGGCGGGCCAGAGTATTCACCATCTGATGTGTCTCAGTGGGTGAATCGTCTACAACTAAAATTCTAGCCATTTGAAAATTGACCTCTGCGGGACTTAGTGAACCAGGGTACGAATCGTACCTAACAGCTCATCTCTGCTGAACGGCTTGGTAATATACTGGTCGGAGCCAACAATTCGCCCTTTGGCTTTATCAAATAACCCATCTTTGGATGACAACATCACCACCGGAGTGGCTTTGAATTCGCTGTTGTTTTTGATCAGTGCACAGGTCTGATAGCCGTCTAAACGCGGCATCATTATGTCGACGAATATAATCTCGGGGCGCGCATCGGCAATTTTGGCCAAAGCATCAAAACCGTCCGTTGCGGTGATGACATCGTATCCTTCTTTGGTCAGTAGATTTTCCGCGCTGCGCCGGATTGTCTTCGAGTCGTCTATGACTAAGACTTTCACGCCTTGAAGCTCCTCTTCCATCAATATTATCCCTTTTCATAAAGGCTTGTTTTGCGCTGTGAGCCTTGCCGCAGGCTGCTGCGACTAAAATCGCAACTAAACTGCTTAACTAACTTGCCCAATCCAGCGCGCAGCACCCGTGCGCGAACGCTGCCATCCTGTTGCATATGTTGTAACACGCCACCCTGGACGTCGCTATAAGCACACAGTCAGAAAGGGATTTTGTTCTCATTTTAGTTGCCTAACTCGTCTAGCAATGGGAAATTTGCACGCTCACTCAACCATTACCTGGTAACACATGACCCAAGTAGCCATTGTCATGGACCCGTTAGCGTCTCTGGCGCTGAAGAAGGATTCAACCTTAGCCATTATCCGCGCCTGTCAGCTGCGCGGACTAGATGTTTTTTATCTGCGTCAGGAGGACCTGCACCTGTGGCAGAACGAAGCCTGCGGCATGATGTCGCCCTTGCGCCTGCGCGAGGACTTCTGTGCAAACCTGGATGCCAGCATCGCTGGTGAGGACTGGTTTGAGCTTGGTGAAGAGACGCGCAGACCGCTCAAAGACATGGACATCATCATGATGCGCAAGGACCCGCCGTTCGACATGGAATACATCTACGCCACTTATCTGCTGGAACGGGCGGAGGAACAGGGCACTCTGGTGATCAACAAACCGGCCTCGTTGCGTGACTGCAACGAGAAGTTTTTTGCCACCGCGTTTACCGATTGTATCCCGCCACTTGTGGTCAGCCGCCGGGCCGACATCCTCAAAGCCTTCCATGCTGAGCACAAAAACGTCATCTACAAAAAACTGGATGGCATGGGTGGCGCCTCCATTTTCCGAGTTATGGAGAACGACCCCAATTTATCTGTCGTGATCGAGACCCTGACAGAATACGGTTCCCAGCAAATTATGGCTCAGGTATACATTCCGGAGATTGTCGATGGCGACAAGCGCATACTGCTGGTGGATGGCGAAGCCGTACCTTATGCACTGGCACGGATACCCTCCGCAGGTGAGACCCGTGGCAATTTAGCCGCCGGTGGGCGCGGTGAAGGTCGTCCGCTGACCGATCGCGACCGCATGATTGCTGAGCGCGTCGGTCCCGAGTTAAAACGCCGGGGGCTTATGTTTGTAGGTATCGATGTCATTGGCGACTATCTGACCGAGATCAACGTTACCTGCCCAACCTGCATACGGGAACTGGACGCACAGTTTTCTCTCGACATTGCCGGTAACCTTATGGACGCTGCCCTGTCTAAAATAAATCTCAACTAAACTGTTATTCGACGACATACGTAAACGACCTGAATACGAGCCATGGCAATCACATCTATTTCATCCAAAGATCGTCTCAGCTTTGCGCTGTTTCTGGCTATCAGCCTGCACGCGGCACTCATTCTGGGCATTGGCTTTTCTTCAGAGCGCAACACGGCGGAAAATCTCAGTATTGATGTCACTTTGTCCGTTGCCAATGACGTTATCGCACCCGAGCAGGCGGATTTCATCGCGGCGACCAATCAGATCGGCAGTGGCAGTGAAGCCGAAATTATGGAGATGACCACCACTGAAAATGCTGACTTCTTTAGTAACGAGTTTCAGACCGTCATGTCCCAGGCCACACCGGTGCCTGAAGTCACCACGATGTCCCAGGATCTGCTGACCACCACCGCAACCGCACCTGAAAAAGCTAATTCAGACCTTGCCGAACTCACAGAGCTGCTGGAAGCTGCGCCCACCAACCAGTTGGATCGCGAGAAGCTGGTCCAGGAGATTGCCAGTCTCGAGGCGCGCATCGCACAAGACCAGCAGGCGCTGGCAAAAATGCCGCGTACCAAACGCCTCAGCAGTGTGACCACGCGTTCGGCCTCGGAAGCCGCTTATCTCAATATGTGGCGACAGAAGTGCGAACGTATCGGTCGCAGCAACTATCCGGCTGGCGGCCTTGAGGGTGAAGTTTTGATGTTAGTATCCATTCTCGCAGACGGCACTTTGGAAGAAGTTCGTATTCTTAACTCTTCAGGACACCGAGAACTGGATCAGGCCGCACTGGCAACGGTGCGCCAGGCTGCCCCCTATCAGCCCTTTAACGTTGAGATGAGAAAGGCTTACGATCGTTTAGAGTTCACCCGAACCTGGCAGTTCTCTAAAGCCGGCGCAGCCCTCGGCCGTTAATAACCAAAGATGAATCTGAAACATCATTTCCTGCTGGCCATGCCGGGCTTAGGTGGCGACTATTTTGCCAATACCCTGACCTACATCTGTGAACACAACAAAGATGGCGCCATGGGCATCATCATCAATCGACCCAGCGATATGTCGCTCATGGAGTTGCTTGCCCAGGTCGGGCTGCCCGCTAATCACAAGCTACTCAACACAAAAGTGTTCGAGGGCGGTCCGGTGGCGGTCGAACGCGGCATGGTCTTACATTCCAGCAACCGCACATTTGAATCCTCCGCTGACCTGGGCGCAGGCTTATGCCTGTCCACCGCGATGGAAGTTCTCGCTGCAATCGCCAACGATGAAGGCCCTGACCAGTATCTCGTCGCCCTGGGTTACGCCGGCTGGGGCGAAGGACAACTGGAAGACGAAATCGCCAACAACGTCTGGCTGACTGCCCCAGCGGATCAGACTGTGTTGTTCGAATCCGCCTGGCAGGACAAGTTGACCGACGCTGCGGATCTGCTTGGCATTAACCTCAATCTTATTGCGGCCAAACCCGGACATGCCTGACAGTTCTAATCAGTTACAGCCTGCGATAGTTGTGGTGGCATTCGATTTTGGTCTTCGCCATATCGGGGTGGCTGTGGGACAAACGCTGACCGGCTCTGCCAGAGGCATCGGCACCTTGATTGCTCGCCATGGCAAACCCAATTGGCGCGACGTGGATAAAATGCTTGCTGAATATAAACCTCATCAACTGCTGGTCGGCCATCCGCTGAATCTGGATAACAGTCGTAACGAAATTACCGAAGCCGCGACGCGATTTGCAGCAAAACTGGCAGCGCACGCAGGCTTACCAACCGAGTTACACGACGAACGCTTGACCACCAAGATGGCCAAAAGCGGCCTGGCCGAGGCAAAGGCCATGGGGCTGGCCAGCACAGACCACGAACTGGCGGCCTGCCTGGTTCTGCAAAGCTGGCTGAATGAACGGATTACCGCCGGAAACTGAACGCAGCTTCGTCCTCGTCTGCCTCGATAGACAGATGATCGACACCTTCCATGGGATTACTTTTCGAATCCGCACCCAGCTTGATCATCAGACGTAAATCGTTCGGCGAGTCGGCACTGGCAATTGCCGAATCGTAGGTGATCTCACCCTCTGCATACAGTTTGTACAATGCCTGGTCAAAGGTCTGCATGCCTTGCTGCGTCGAGTTAGTCATCAGCTCTTTAAGCAGATGTACTTCACCTTTGCGGATATGATCAGCCATCAAAGGCGTATTAATAAGAATCTCAATGGCGGCACGACGCCCCTGACCATCTACGGTTGTCACCAACTGCTGCGCAACCATGGCTTTGAGATTTAACGACAGGTCCATCCAGATCTGGCTGTGACGGTCACTGGGAAAAAAGTGGATGATCCGATCCAATGCCTGGTTCGCGTTGTTGGCGTGCAGAGTACACAGACACAAATGGCCGGTTTCGGCAAAGGTCAACGCATGCTCCATGGTTTCCCGGGAACGTACCTCACCGATCATGATGACATCTGGCGCCTGGCGCAGAGTGTTTTTCAGAGCAATTTCGAAAGAATCTGTATCCACCCCAACTTCGCGCTGGGTCACAATGCAGCCTTTATGCTGGTGCACAAATTCAATAGGGTCTTCGATACTGATGATGTGACCACTGGAATTTTCGTTGCGATGTCCAATCATGGACGCAAGCGAAGTTGATTTACCCGTGCCGGTTGCACCGACAAAAATGATCAGTCCGCGCTTGGTCATCGCCAGATCTTCGATGATGGGTGGTAATCCCAGGTCCGATACCCGCGGAATATTCACCTCGATCCGTCTGAGCACCATGCCCACGAGATTGCGCTGGAAAAACGAACTGACCCGGAACCGACCTAAGCCCCGCGTATTAATCGCAAAGTTACATTCATGTTCTTTATCAAATGTCGCCTGCTGCTCGGGATTCATAACCCCATAGACCAGCTCTTTGGATTGCTCCGGCGACAAAGATGACTTACCCGCTGCATAGAGTTTGCCGTTCACTTTCACCATCGGCGGCTTACCAGCGGTGATAAACAGGTCCGAAGCACCTTTCTCCACCATGAGTTTGAGCAACTTGTCGAATTCCATGCCTTAGGCACTCCTGTATCGGGTTGTCATCAGACGGCTAACTGCCACCTGCATTGACTAAAAGTTTTCCGGGATCTTGGCTTTTTCTTTTGCAGTATCTCGGGTGATCACGCGTTTCTGTACCAGCTCTGACAGACATTGATCCAGAGTCTGCATGCCCACGCCGGCGCTGGTCTGTATTGCAGAATACATTTGCGCCACCTTGCCTTCGCGAACCAGGTTCCGAATGGCAGGGGTGCCAATCATAATTTCATGTGCAGCCACCCGCCCACCGTTAACTTTCTTGAGCAGGGTCTGAGAAACAACTGCGTTAAGGGATTCTGAGAGCATTGAACGCACCATGTCTTTCTCTTCAGCCGGAAAGACGTCGATAATTCGGTCAATGGTCTTTGCCGCAGACGTGGTGTGCAACGTGCCAAATACCAGGTGACCCGTTTCTGCAGCGGTCAGCGCCAGGCGGATAGTTTCGAGGTCACGCAATTCGCCAACCAGGATAATATCCGGATCTTCCCGCAGGGCGGAACGTAACGCCTCATTAAAGCCGTGGGTGTCACGATGCACTTCACGCTGATTGAGCAGGCACTTCTTCGACTCGTGCACAAATTCTATGGGGTCTTCGATGGTGAGAATATGGTCATACCGATTATCGTTGATATAGTCGATCATCGCGGCAAGCGTTGTACTTTTACCTGAGCCTGTCGGTCCGGTAACCAGGACCAAGCCACGCGGTACCATCGATACATCTTTAAATACCTGGCCCATACCCAGATCTTCCATGGTCAGGACCTTGGAAGGAATGGTTCTGAAAACCGCGCCTGCACCACGATTCTGATTAAAGGCGTTCACCCTGAAACGAGCGACACCGGGTACTTCAAATGAAAAGTCAGTTTCTAAGAATTCTTCGAAGTCCTTGCGCTGCTTGTCATTCATGATCTCGTAGATCAGACCATGCACTTCATTGTGCTCAAGCGGCGGCAGGTTAATACGTCGAACATCGCCGTCCACACGTATCATGGGCGGTAAGCCGGCTGATAGATGTAAGTCAGATGCGCCTTGTTTGGCGCTGAAGGCGAGCAGTTCAGTTATGTCCATGAGCGGTCCCTGTCATTTACCAATGAATCACGCCGCTTACTTGCTGCGCGCAGCGTTATACTATGCCCTCATACCGCCTCGCACCACGCCTTAACCCGCTATCTAAAGCATAAGGCGTGATGGGTTTACGACTATGCGAACCGGTTAACACTGACTGTGGGACATTTGTGCAATCCATCAAAACCAATCTTGAAGCCCTGCAAGCCCGCATTACCAAAGCATGCAGCGTCGCTGACCGTGACCCGGAACAGATCACCCTGATTGCCGTGTCAAAAACCAAACCCAGCAGCCAGGTCCGTGAAGCGGCAGCACTTGGTTTAAAACATTTTGGCGAAAACTATCTGGACGAAGCTGTCACTAAAATCTCTGATTGTGCAGACCTCAAGCTGACCTGGCATTTCATCGGCCGCATCCAGAGCAATAAAACCCGCACCATCGCCGAACAGTTTGACTGGGTACATACCCTGGACCGCAGCAAAATCGCCCGCCGCCTCAATGAACAATGCCCGGCAGGCAAACAGCTTAACGTGCTGCTGCAGATCAATATTGACAAAGATCCTGCCAAAGCCGGTGTCAACGCAGATGATGCTGACCAGTTGCTTACAGAGGTCAGCAAGTTACCCGCCTTACGACCTCGGGGACTGATGACGATTTTATCTCAGCAGGCAGACCCTGTGGCCAGTTATCAATCCATGGCACAATTGTCAGCTCGATTGGCAGAACAGCTCGGTGACAACCAGAAGCAACACTGGGGCACGTTATCGATGGGCATGAGTGCCGACATGGACGCTGCCATTCTTGCAGGTGCCACACATATTCGTATTGGCACCGCATTATTCGGCGCAAGAGACGCATAAATTTTTCGGAGAATATTTTGCAGACATCGGCAGACACACGTCTGGCTTTTATCGGCGCGGGCAACATGGCCAGCGCAATGATTCAGGGTCTATTACGTACCGGTATCAAGGCCGCGCAGATCAGCGTTGCGGATCCTGTTGCCGATGCGCGCGAGCGCCTTGCAGAGATGGGCGTGGCGACATTCAGCGACAATAATCAGGCGGTCGCAGGCGCCCAGGCTGTGGTTCTGGCAGTGAAACCTCAGGTCGCACAAGAGGTGGTGCAGTCCATATCAGCGCTCCAGCCAGAGCAGCTACTGGTGTCAATTGCGGCCGGAATCAATCTTGCCAGCCTAACTCGATGGACCTCTGAGCAGCAGGCGATTGTTCGCTGCATGCCAAATACACCGGCCCTGCTGGGTGCAGGTGTCAGCGGTCTGTACGCCAACAGTTGCTGCGATGCCAGCCAACGCAGCCTGGCCGAAAACCTCTTACGCAGCGCTGGCACAACGCTGTGGGTCAAAAAGGAACCGGACCTGGACGCAGTGACGGCGGTGTCCGGTAGCGGGCCGGCCTACTTCTTTTTACTCATGGAGGCCATGATAGACGCCGGCGTAGATCTGGGCTTAGATCGAACCAGCGCAACCGAGCTCACCTTGCAAACTGCCTATGGCGCCGCATTAATGGCGCAACAAGGCAACACAAACCCAGCCCAGCTGCGAAAGAATGTCACGTCTCCCGGCGGCACCACTGCCGCGGCGCTGGATGTTATGTTAACGGCTGGCATGCCCGATACAATCAAGGCGGCGTTGCAGGCGGCACAACAGCGCGCAATTGTTATGGCGCAAGAATTTGGTGGTAATCCCTCATGAGCAGTTTGAGTATCGTTTTAGACTTTGTCTTTCGTTTGGCTTGTCTGTTGTTTCTTACACGTTTTCTACTGCAGGCCTGCGGTGCTGATTTTTATAATCCGATCAGTCAGGCTGTGGTCAAAGGCACCGACACAGTCTGTGCACCATTGCGCAAGATCATTAAACCTTTCAAAAACCTGGATTTTGCTTCTTTCATTGTTGCCTGGCTGGTCAGTGCCCTTGGTGTTGTCGCCTTCAGTTATCTGGCTTTTGGCAATGCACCCAGTGCGCTGACCGTGGTCTGGGCTGGCATGATCAAAACACTGCTGGTGCTGCTGCAGTTCTACAAATGGACAATCATCATTCTGGTGATAGCCAGCTTTATCGCGCAGGGTTCCTATCACCCGGCGCTTGCCCTGCTGAATCAACTTGTGGAACCGGTCATGGCCCCGGTACGCCGCATTCTACCCAGTCTCGGACCACTGGACCTGTCCCCTATGGTGGTTCTGCTCATTATCATTCTACTTGAAGATATCCTGATCAGGTCTTACATCTAGGCTGCATGAACATGACGCTGCCAGCAGATTCCGTGGGATTGGTATCAACGCAAAAGTTTGTCTATGAACAGCCTTTTGCGCTGTGTTGCGGGCGCGATCTGCCAGGATTCGAGCTGGTGTATGAAACCTATGGCACGCTCAACCCGAAAAAAACCAATGCAGTGCTCATCTGTCACGCCCTGTCAGGTAATCATCATGCCGCTGGCTATTATGACTCAGACCCTAAGCCAGGTTGGTGGGACAGCTGTATCGGACCAGGCAAACCGATCGATACAGAAAAGTTTTTTGTTGTCAGTCTCAACAATCTTGGTGGCTGTCATGGCAGCACGGGGCCGTTAACCATCAATCCGTCTACACAACGACCTTACGGTCCGGACTTTCCAACCGTGGTGGTACGCGACTGGGTGAACAGTCAGGCGTTGCTGGCCGACCACCTGGGCGTGAGGAAATTTGCAGCGGTGATTGGTGGCAGTCTTGGCGGCATGCAGGCGATGCAGTGGTCTATTGATTTTCCGGATCGCATTGCATCCGCGCTGGTAATCGCTTCTGCCGCTAAGTTATCCGCGCAGAATATTGCATTCAACGAAATCGCTCGACAGGCAATTGCTGCAGACGCCAGCTATTTCTCTGGACACTACAGCGAACATAACAAAACCCCCTCTAAAGGACTGGGTCTTGCGCGCATGATTGGTCACGTCACGTATCTGTCCGATGACGGCATGCGGGAGAAATTTGGTCGTGAACTGAAATCCGGAGACCCCAGCCAGGGTGGCGATGTTGAATTCCAGGTAGAGAGCTATCTGCGTCATCAAGGGCAGGCGTTCTCGCAACGCTTTGATGCAAATACCTATATGCTGATGACCAAGGCGCTGGACTACTTTGACCCCGCCCGGGAACAAAACGATGACCTTGTGGCGACACTTTCTATAGCCAAAGCCAAATTTCTGGTCATCTCATTTACCAGCGACTGGCGTTTTTCTGTTGCCCGCTCCAAAGAAATTGTCGATGCGCTGGTTGCGGCCCGCAAAAATGTCGCCAGCGCCATCATCGAATCCGACCACGGCCACGACTCGTTTCTGCTGCCCATTCCGCGTTACGTTGACGTTCTGACAACCTATCTGAATAGAATCTATCGCGAAGCCTGTGAGGCGGACACATGACTTTGCGGGCTGACCTGGCGGTCATTGCTGACCTGGTAAACCCCAAGGCACGGGTGCTCGATCTTGGCTGTGGCGAAGGTGAGCTTCTCGCCCATCTGCAGTCTGACAAGGAAGTCAACGGCTATGGTCTGGATGTGGATGCAGACAACATCCGGGTTTGCCTGGAGAAAGGTGTCAACGTCATTGAGCAGGACCTGGACGCAGGGCTAAGCAACTTCGCCGACTCAAGCTTTGACATGGTGGTCATGACTGAAACGCTGCAATCTGTGAAATCTCCTGAGCAGCTTCTACAGGAAATGTTGCGTATCGGTGACGAGTGCATTGTCACGTTTCCCAACTTCGGGCATTGGTATTGTCGTGCGCAACTGCTGTTTCTGGGACGCATGCCGGTCGCCAAACACATTCCTCACAGCTGGTACAACACACCCAATATCCATCTGTGTACTTTCAGAGACTTTGAAAATCTCTGCAAATCTCTGCACCTGCAGATTATTGAGCGACGGGTTGTCGATCATCAGCATATCGAACGGCCGTGGGGCAAACTGATGCCTAATCTCTTTGGGCCTGTTGCATTTTACCGACTGGGCAAACCTTCATGATCAACTCTCGGAACTGGACGCTTCTCTTTTTACTACTCAGCAGCTTGCTGGTGACACCCGCACAAGCCGAACAGAAAGTTGTATTCAGCGACTATGAAGTTCATTACATACTGCTGCCAACAACTTTTCTGAAAGCGGACATCGCTGACAAATATGATCTTCGGCGCAGCAAAGATCGGGCCCTGGTCAATGTCTCTGTACTCGATCTGCAGGGTTCACCAGTACGGGCAGAAGTTCGCGGCTCCTCAGAAAACCTGCTGGGCCAACGTCAGAACCTGACCTTCGATGAGGTCATAGAAGGCGAAGCCATCTATTATCTGGCACTCCTGCGTTACGCTGATGAAGAATTTCAACGGGTCACCTTAAACATCGTGTTACCCAACGGCGAGCTGGCCGAAATCAAGTTTCAACAGAAAATGTACTGGGAACGCTGATGCAGGTTGTTTTAGCCAGTGGTAATACCGGCAAGCTGGCAGAATTTCAAACTCTCCTCGCAGATACACCACTTGAAATTACCAACCTGTCGGCTGCAGCACCGGATTTTGAGATGCCAGAAGAAACCGGCACAACGTTCATCGAAAACGCGTTGATCAAAGCCCGCGCGGCGGCGCAGGCGACGGGTTTCGCTGCGCTGGCAGACGACAGTGGTCTGGTGGTGCCTGCGCTTGGCGGAGCGCCCGGTATTTTTTCAGCACGTTACGCCGGCAGACACGGCGATGACGCGGCAAACAATCAGAAACTGATCGAAGCACTGAGGGGCGAAGTGCAGCGCGAAGCCTATTTTTATTGCGCCATCACGCTACTGCGACATGACCAGGATCCTACGCCAATCATCGCCACGGCCGCATGGCACGGCAAGATTCTTGACGCACCCAGAGGCGAGCAGGGATTTGGTTACGACCCGCTCTTCTGGTTAGCCGATCACAACAAGTCTTCAGCAGAGCTGCCTCGTGACCTGAAAAACCGTTTGAGTCACCGAGGCCAGGCCACTGCCGCCCTGCTGCGGGAGATCCGGGCCGGGCTGTAACCATGCTACCGCATCCCGCCGCCTACATTCACTTTCCCTGGTGCGTACGTAAATGCCCGTACTGCGACTTCAATTCTCACCCGCTACGCGATCAGGATGACTTCAGTGCCTATACTCACGCGCTGATTGACGACTGGCAGACACAACAGCGCAACTTCGACAGCGAAGCACCTTTCCACAGCGTATTTCTCGGCGGTGGTACACCCAGCCTGTTTAAACCCAGCCAGATGGCACCTATCCTGGAACAGCTCTCGTTAACTGCAGATGCTGAAGTCACTATGGAAACCAATCCGGGTACGACCGAACATCATCTGTTAGGTGATTACCTGGCAGTGGGTGTCAACAGGCTGTCGATTGGCGCGCAGTCTTTTGACAATACCCAACTGCAGAAACTGGGCCGTATCCACAACAGTAAAGAAACCTATGGCGCCTATGAACAGGCGCGTCAGGCAGGTTTTGCGAATATCAATATCGACCTGATGTGGGGTCTGCCGGAACAGACCGTTGCAGCAGCCCTTGAGGATCTTGATGCTGCCATTGCACTTCAGCCGGAGCACATTTCCTGGTATCAGCTGACCATCGAGGCAAAAACAGAGTTTGCTGTCCGCACACCCATACTACCCAGGGACAATGTGCTTGCAGACATTGAGGCATCTGGTCTTAAGCGTTTACAAGCCGCCGGGTATCAGCGTTACGAAGTGTCTGCGTTTGCGCGCAGCGGGTATCAGTGCAGGCATAACCTGAACTACTGGTCTTTTGGCGACTATGTGGGCATCGGCGCTGGCGCTCATGGCAAGATCAGTCATGTCAGCAAAGACGGTCTAACCATTGAGCGCACACAGAAGGCCAGTCAACCCAGGCTCTATCAGGCGTCACCGGATGAGACACGTGTTCATCCGGTGACCCTTGCTGAACGGCCAGTGGAATTCATGATGAACGTACTGCGCCTGGTTGATGGTGTTGAAACCTCAACTTTCCCCCAGCGCACCGGTCTGGATTGGACAGTTGTTGAAGACACCTGGCAGCAGCTGGTTTCCCAGGGCCTGGTAAGACACGATCGGATTGCCACAACACCTGCAGGGCTGAGGTATCTGGATAGCGTCCTGGCAGAATTCTTAAGCCCGGACTGAGCGACGATAAATCAGGTCGTGAATATCGTGACCCAGCTTCTCCCCTCGTCGTTCAAATTTTGTTGTCTGGCGCGCACTGTCTGCGACCAGTTCTTCATCCGCCTGACGGATATGGTCAACTTCAACAACAAAATCTTCACTCGCGGCAAAACATTCACGCATCCACTGCGCGTAGGGTGTCCAGTCCGTGGCTAATCTCACCAGCCCATCAGGCTTCACCACCCTCGCCAGGCTCTGCACAAACTCCGGCTGAATCAACCTGCGTTTAAGGTGCCGTTTTTTGGGCCACGGGTCGGGGAAAAATATGCGCACTTCATCAACCACAGGCTCTGAACAGTTCGAGGAGAACTCAGCCAGAACCTCTTGCGCCGGCATTTCGATCACGCTGACATGAGTAAAGCCTTCTCGATGTAATCCGGATGCCAGCGCACCCACACCAGGCTGATAGAGTTCAATGCCACACAAGTGCCAATCCGGTGCCGCGGCTGCCCAATCCAATAAGGCGTGGCCCATGCCAAAGCCAATTTCGACACCAAAAAACCTGCCCTGCACGCGGGCGACAACTTCTGCCGGGCTGCTGCTGAAATCCGGCATCAACTGCTGTATTCCATGGGCTTGAGATTTGGTCATCCGTCCACGGCGTCGGATATAACTGTGCTCGGGGTATGGGGGTTGATCGGTCATTTACTGCGCGCCAGAAGCACAACCATCAAGCACCAGGCGCCGATGAAACAGGCACCGCCCAGCGGCGTGATGGGGCCCAGCCAACGCGGTCCACCAAGGGTCAGGGCATAGAGACTGCCGCTGAACAACAACACGCCTGCGATCATCAGGCCACTTACCCAGCTTAAGCGCTGCGAGAATTGCTGCTGCAGCAGAACACCCACCACTAGAAGTGAAAGTCCATGCATAAGTTGGTAGAGGACACCGGTTTCCCAGCTGCTGGTATTACTGTGGCCAAGAAAAGTTTCCAGCCCGTGGGCACCCCAGGCGCCCAAAACAACACCGGAGCCCATGAAAAGGGCTCCGGTAATCAGGCTGAATCTGGCGCTGCGCACAATTAGCGGGCCAATCTAGAAGGCAGAGGTGATATCAGGCCGCAATGGCTTTTTTAAGCTTCTTCATTGCATTCTTCTCAAGCTGGCGAATGCGTTCTGCGGAGACACCGTATTCGGCTGCAAGCTCATGCAACGTGGCTTTTTTGTCGGTCAGCCAGCGTTTCTGCACAATGTCGCGACTGCGCTTGTCCAGTGTTGCAAAGCCTTCAGAAAGCCGCTCACTCTGCTCCATTTCAAGATCTGCAGCAGCAACAATATCTGCCGGATCCTGGGTGCTGGATGCGAGAAAGTGAACCGGCGCGGTACCTTGCTCATCATCATTATCGTCTGCGTCAAACGCCATATCGTTGGCTGAAAGCCGCCCTTCCATACGCGTGACTTCAGCCACCGGCACACCAAGGTCGTCTGCTATGGCCTGGCTTTCAGCCTCGGTCAGCCACGCCAGGCGCTTCTTATTTGAACGCAGGTTAAAAAATAATTTGCGCTGGGACTTGGTGGTTGCAACTTTCACGATGCGCCAGTTGCGCAGAATGAATTCGTGCATCTCAGCTTTGATCCAATGCACTGCAAAAGAAACCAGCCGCACACCCACTTCCGGATTGAAGCGCTTAACCGCTTTCATCAAACCCACATTACCTTCCTGAATCAGGTCGGACTGGGATAAACCGTAACCTTTATACGATCTGGCAATGTGAGCCACGAAGCGCAGATGACTGAGCACCAGCTGACGCGCTGCCTCAAGGTCTTCCTGATAATAAAAACGCTCAGCGAGCTCTTTTTCCTCGTCAGTACTGAGCACAGGAAAATGACTGATCGTCTGCAGATACGCATCGATGTCGCGGCCTGGAGCCAGGCTGGGTAGAGTCATGATGTTTGTAGACATGTGATACCTCCGGTAACACTAATCTGATAAGTTTAGCACTCTCAATTGGACACTGCTAATTCTAAAAAAGTTCCACTTAAAAGTTCAAGCTATTGGATAAGCATATGAATTTAAAAGAGTTCTAAATGCTTGAGTCGCTGTCGCACCGCCAGCAGCGCACCCAGCACCCCTAAAAAACAGCCCGTCGTCAAGATTAGCAGTAAAAACAGCATGTTAAAGCCAGCCAGCTGCAACTCCTGGCGATAACTGCCCAGCAGTGACTGCAGTGGCGGCTCAATAACCACCAGCGTGAAGGCAATCAACATAGCGGCGATAACACCACCACCAAACCCGTATATCGCTCCGAAATAGAGAAACGGTCGACGGATCTGACCCTGGGTAGCGCCCACCATTTTCAGCACACGTAACTCATCCAGACGCGATTCTATCGCCAACCGCACAGAAGAGGCTGTGACCAGAACCGCACCAACGCCAAACATAATGGCCAGCACCAGGCCCATACGGCTGATGACGGCGGAGAGGTCGTTGAGCCGCTCCAGCCAGGTTTTTTCAACCACAACCTCCGCAACCCCTGCAAGCTGCGACAGTGAAGCCAGCAGATCATCCAGTGCAAGAGGGTCAATTTTGTCTGCAAAACGAGCCGTGAGCGAAGCGGGCAGTGGATTTTCTCCAAGCAGGTCCAGGGCGTCACCCAGACCGCTGTATTCTTTGAACTGTGCCAGCGCCTGATCCGCGGTTGTCAGCGCAACACTGGCAATGTCGGTATCAGCTTCGAGCGCCTGTGCAACAACATCAATGTCTTCCTGACTCGCATCTGTCAGGAAGTAAACGCTCAATCCAGGACGCCCCTCCCAACCCTGAGACATGGCTTCCATATTAATCTGCAGAATCCAAAGACCCGCGGGTAAAGCCAGGGCGATGCCCACCACCAGCCAGACTAAAAAGCTGGTGCCGATACGGGTACTGATGAAATTGATCGACTCGCTACCGACGCGCGCGTGATCTCTGACCCACGCGAATGGTTGCCACCCGGTACCACGCCAGGGATCTTTTGCTGCGCGGGTCACGAATCCGTTTCCTGTGGCGCTTCCAGGGTCAATCCTGTTACTTCTTCAATACTGCGAGTTGCGGGCAGATCTTCGATCACACGCCCAGCCTGCAGGTGCAGTATCCGCAGACCCATACTTTCGATCAGAGGAACATCATGGCTGGCAATAATGACTGTTGTGCCAACCTGATTAAATCGAGCAAACAGATCCATTATGTGGGTGGATAAATCCGGGTCGAGGTTTCCCGTAGGTTCATCAGCGAGCAGAATTTTAGGCCGCGTCACCACCGCCCGGGCAATGCCCACCCGTTGCTGCTCGCCGGTAGATAAATGCCGTGGAAACAGGTTTTCTTTGCCCAGCAATTCAACCCGGGTCAGCGCAGCACGCACACGCCGCCCAACTTCGCGTTCACGCATTCCCATCACCCGCAGGGGCAGGGCGACGTTTTCAAAAACACTGCGTTGTGCAAGCAGGTGGTGATCCTGAAAAACAACACCGAGATTCTGCCGATAGCGCGGCAGGCGTTTATCCGGCAGTTGAACGATGTCCACCCCATTTACCAGCAGCCGTCCCCGGCTCGGCATTTCAGCACGCAGCAGGAGCTTTAAGAAGGTACTCTTGCCCGCGCCAGAGTGACCCGTGAGGAAACACATGGAGCCTTCAGCAAATTCCACCGATACGTCACTGAGGGCTTCATAGCCGTTATCAAAACGCTTCGTGACATGCTGAAATTCAATGTGTCCCATAAATCAGTCCGCTCAGGCGTCGGTACGCTCGAGGGAGTCTTTGAAATCCTGATCCAACAGCGCCTCAACAAAATCGTCTGCTACAAACTGCCGCAGATCATCAATGCCCTCACCTACCCCGACAAAGTAAACCGGCAGGTTAATGTCCTGCAAAGCTGCAATAGAGAAAATAACACCCGCTTTGGCACTGCCGTCCAGCTTGGTGATCGCCAGGCCCGTAAGATCTACCGCCTCGTTAAACAAACGCACCTGACTGAGTGCGTTCTGACCAACTCCGCCATCCAGCACAAGCACAACATCATGGGGCGCTGAGTCATCGAGACGCTTGACCACGCGATGTACTTTTTTCAATTCATCCATAAGCTGGGCTTTATCCTGCAGCCGGCCCGCGGTGTCTACCAGTAACACATCAGCGCCGCGCGCCTGCGCGGATTGCAGAGCATCAAACGCCACTGAAGCACTATCAGATCCCTGGGCCTGAGCAATAACCGGCACGTTGTTGCGCTCACCCCACACCTGTAACTGTTCAACTGCTGCTGCGCGGAAGGTATCACCCGCGGCCAACATGACATTTTTACCCTGATTCTGTAACTGCTTGGCCAGTTTACCAATAGTTGTTGTTTTGCCTACGCCGTTGACCCCAACAAAAAAGATCACGTGCGGCTTTTTGTCTGTCAGCGTCAAATCTTTCTGCAGGGGCTCCAGGCGGGCCTTCAACAAACGACCTAACGCACCGTGCAGGGCTCGCGTATTATTAAGCTCTTTACGTTTCACCTGCTGAGCCAGATCCGCCATGATGCTGGTTGTGGTATCTATACCAACATCGGTGATGAGCAGAGCTGTCTCCAGGTCCTCCAGGACAGTGTCGTCGATCTCACGCTCGCCGAGCAGCAGGTTACCCACACCCTGCGCTAACTGAGTGCGCGTTTTAGCTAAGCCGTTTTTCAGGCGACCAAACAGACCCGTGCGCTTTGCGGTGCTCTCGCCATCATCTGCGGCTGCTGTATCTGGTGAAGGTGAATCGCTCAAAATGTCCTCTTCGCATCATCATTTTTCGGAGTGAAATTCGGCCGGTGGCAAACCCTTGCTGCCATTTTACCCGCCGGGTGCAAACCCTATACTAGCCGTTTCGCCAGGGCCACCATGACCAAAGAAAAGAGCAGACAAAAATCAGGTCCATCTCAGGTTCGTATTATCGGCGGCCAGTGGCGCGGACGGAAACTTCCCTTCGACGGGGGTAGCGATCTGCGTCCCACATCAGGTCGAACCCGGGAAACACTTTTCAACTGGCTGCGTCCGCGCATCAGAAATGCGCAGGTATTGGACCTGTTTGCCGGGTCGGGTTCACTGGGGCTCGAAGCTTTATCTCAAGGCGCGTCCCACGCCACATTTGTGGACACTGACAGCAGAACCATTGCGGCGCTGAGGGCCAATGTTGCCAACCTGGGCATCGGCGGACGTTGCAGCATCATCAAGGCAGATGCCATGCATTTTTTAAAGCGAATGACAGAGCCGGTAGATATTGTTTTCCTGGATCCACCGTTCAGGGAACCTGAGCGTTTAATCCAGAGTGTTACCCACCTTCTCGAACATCACCTTGTGCGCGATTGCCTTTATCTGGAGTCCGGAGATCAGTCGCTGATCGATCAACTTGCAGATGTGCCCGGCCTATCTGCTTATCGGCAGACACGCTCAGGCGATGCTTATGCAGGGTTGTTGGAGATCGAACAATAGCAACACTTTCGAGCAAGCAATTTGCAGGTGGCGGATACCAAGGCTAAGATCCGCGTCCGGCTTGGTTTTCAGAACAACGTCAATCATCGTCCTGAGCCGGTTTGCTCATAGGGGAGACAGTATGAAAGTGGTTGTTTATCCGGGTTCTTTTAACCCGATCACCAATGGACACACAGACCTGGTGGAGCGGGCACTGCATCTGTTTGATCATGTTGTCGTGGCCATTGGTACATCGGCGCAGAAAAACCCGAAGGTAGACCTGGCTGATCGGATAGAGCTGTGCAACGAGGTGCTCGCAGAATTTGGCGACCGGGTGTCGGTGGAGGGTTTTAATAACCTGTTGGTCGACTACGCCAAAAGCAAGAACGCGCGTTTTATCTTACGTGGACTGCGAACGGTGACGGACTTCGATTACGAATTTCAAATGGCGGAAATGAATCAGTCTCTGGCACCGGGTATAGAGTACGTCTTCCTGTTGCCATCAAAAGAGTGTTCGTTCATCTCTTCCACGCTGGTGCGTGAAATCGCAACCCTGGGCGGCGATATCACAAACTTTGTCCACCCGGCGGTGGCGAAAGCGCTACAAGGCTGACCCTGACGCCAGGTTGCGGCTTAATCGTCAGGTGATTGGTACTTCCCGGTTGCACGACAGCCGAGGCAACGCACAAAGGTTGCTTTAGCTGGATCCAGGAACAAAGCGTCAGCCGCCTCTTCAACATTGCCACCCAGGGCGCTGAACGGCAGGCTGACAACAAATGCTGCCCCACCCAGAACCGTAGCCACCAGGCCAAGAGGGCGAGCAATAACAACATCAGCCACCATTTCACCCGCGCTGGGTTCATTGTCAGAAGCAAAACCAGGCGCTGCGCTTAACAATAACGCGCCTGCGGTTATCCATGTCAGTAGTGTCTTGGGCATGTCTTAAAAATTCTCATTGCAGTGAACCAACTTTAGCACTTAGGCGGCACAAATCCTTGTGAGGTTTGGCAATTTGGGCAATAAACTGTGCTGCGCTGCCCAAGTATCTGTAGTTTTAACGGCTTTGCACACACTCGGCAAGGTTTGTCCTGACGCCCATAGACATTCAGCTGCTGTTTGAAGTACCCGGGATTACCGTCTGAGCCGACAAAATCCCGCAACGTAGTGCCTCCCTGACGCACTGAACGCGTAAGTACACGCTTGATCGCATTGGCCAGGGAATCATAAGCGTGCAGCGGAATTCGACCCGCACCTGTCGCTGGACGAATCCCAGCCATGAATAACGCCTCGGCTGCATAAATGTTGCCCACGCCGACAACATTTTTTGAATCCATAATGAAATTCTTTACTGCAACTTTTCGCTTGCGTGAACGCTCGTGTAGATACTGCCCTGAAAATTCATTGCCCAGGGGCTCGACACCGAGGTCTTTCAGGAGCCAATGCACCTCGGGGTGATCACCTGGCTGAAAAACCATGCTACCGAAGCGCCTGGGATCATTCAGCCGCAGCAGCTGCCCGTTTGAAAAAGAGATATCGACATGGTCGTGTTTCAACGGCTCAGCCCCTGCGGGCATTATTCTCAAACTACCGGACATGCCAAGATGAATGATCAGGGTGCCTGAAAGTGTTGTTACGAGCAGATATTTACCGCGCCGACCAACAGCGGAGACCTGTTGACCGACCAATCGTTTGGGAATGTCTACCGGCCAGCGTAACTTCGGGTTACGCACTTCAATGCCGGTAATGGTCTGGGCGAGTACCCAGGGCTCGATACCCCGTCTTGTCGTTTCGACTTCCGGGAGCTCAGGCACCGGGGTCTACTTGATTTTAGCTTCCGTATACATGACGTGTTTGCGCACGACAGGGTCGAACTTTTTCATTTCCAACTTATCAGGCGTAGTGCGCTTGTTTTTGTCGGTCGTGTAGAAGTGACCTGTACCGGCGCTGGAAACCATCTTAATTTTGTCACGCATTTTCTAAATCTCTCAGTGTGGGCGCCTGCAATTCAGGACTTTCTATTCAGTACTTTCTATTCAGGAGAGGGGCTAAACCTTCTGTCCGGCAGCGCGCATATCGCTCAGCACCGTATCGATACCTTTCTTATCAATAATACGCATACCTTTGGAGGAGACACGCAATCTGACATAGCGCTGCTCGGACTCCACCCAGAATCTGTGTTTGTGCAGATTCGGCAGGAACCGCCGTCTGGTTTTATTCTGCGCGTGGCTGACGTTGTTTCCCGCCATGGGACGTTTACCGGTGACTTGGCATACCTGCGACATCTTTCTGGGCACCCTAAAAAAAGGACGCGCTTTATACTACACGGGAACGCCGACAGCAACTTTAACGTGCAATTTACATAAATCCGACCAACCGTAAACCGCTATCTGACCTCTAGGATCCGAGCAATCCGCGCGCTGCCAGAGACACCGATGTTGTCGGCGAGACAATGACATGGTCTATCACTTCAATATCTACCCGCCGCAACAGGTCTTTCAGCTCCCGGGTGAGCTGTAAATCCGCCTGGCTGGGTTCCGCAATGCCGGACGGATGATTGTGCGCCAGAACCAGCGCTGCTGCATTCAGCACAATGCCACGCTTCAGCACTTCCCTGGGGTGAACATGCGCACGATTCACCGAGCCGAGAAACAATTCCTCCCAGCAGATAGGTCGGTACCGGGTATCCAGAAACAGGCAGGCAAAGGTTTCCCGTTCGCGATGGCCTATACGCCGCCGTATGTAGCGACTGACGGCACTTACATTCTGCAACGGACCCGATTTCGCCAGTGTGTATTCATCACTGCGGCAGGCCAGCTCATGCACGGCTTTGAGTTGCGCTGTGCGCGCTTGGCCTAAGCCGCGGCAGGCCAGCAGCTTTTCCGTTGGCGCAGCGATCAGCGCTAACGGGCTGCCAAATTGCTGGATCAGCCTTTCTGCCAGTTGCTGCGCGCTTTCGCCGGGCAGGCCACTGCCCAGACAGGCCGCGATGAGCTCTGCACTACTGAGATTCTGGGCGCCGCCACGCAGCAGACGCTCGCGCGGTCGTTCAATCTCCCTGGTCCAGCGATTCATCGAATCTGCACCACACCTGTTGACGGGTGTGGTGCGCCACAAATCAAGGTAACCTTGCGCGCTTCAACGTTAAAATTCACAGTGATGTCCAGTTCTAAACCAGCTTTAAACAACAGACGTATCTTGCTTGGCATCTGTGCCGGTATTGCAGCCTATAAGACACCGATACTTGTGCGAGGTTTGCGCGCCGCGGGTGCAGAAGTACAGGTGGTTATGACCGATAGCGCGCATCACTTTGTGACCTCTACAAGCCTACAGGCTGTGGCAGGTGCCCCTGTACGCCAGGATCTGTGGGATGAGCATGCAGAGGCGGCCATGGGCCATATCGAGCTTGCACGCTGGGCTGACCTCATCGTCATTGCGCCAGCCACAGCCAATACCATCGCGAAACTGGCACACGGCATGGCAGATGACCTGCTCACCACCCTTTGCCTGGCCAGCAGTGCACCGGTCTGGCTTGCCCCAGCTATGAATCAGCAGATGTACCAACACCCGGCTACACAGGCCAATCTGCTGGCTGCTCAAGCATTGGGATACCAGTTAATCGGTCCTGAATCTGGCGATCAGGCCTGTGGCGAAGTGGGACCGGGGCGAATGACTGAACCAGACGATATTGTTGCAGCTCTTGCAGCGTCTGCGCCTTCAGCACCAGCTGCCTCAACTGCAGCGACCCGCTCCCTGCACAACAAAACGGTGATGATCACCGCGGGCCCGACCCTGGAAGCCATCGACCCGGTTCGGTATATCAGCAACCACAGCTCTGGCTTACAGGGTATTGCGCTGGCTGATGCTGCCCTGGCTGCAGGTGCGCATGTGATTTTTATCGCCGGGCCCAAGGTGCCGCCTACCCATCCTGACATGCTACGCATCGACGTCATCAGCGCGCTCGACATGCAGGCTGCAGTACACGCGCACCTGACCGGCGTGGATATTTTTATTGGTGTTGCAGCGGTTGCGGACTATCGGCCGCTGGAGGCCGCCGCACAGAAAATGAAACGAGCAGGTGATGAACAGGCAAGCTTGACCATCGAACTGGTTGAAAACCCCGACATCATCGCCGGTGTTGCCCAGCATCCGGCTAAACCGCGCCTGGTTATTGGTTTTGCGGCGGAAACCAACGATACCCACAAGCACGCACGGCAAAAACTCGTACGCAAAGGCCTGGATGCCGTTGTCGTCAATGATGTGTCCGATCCAGGCATTGGCTTCAACAGTTCGGATAATGCCGCCACGCTGATCCACGCCCACGGTGAAGTGGCTTTTGCAAGGCAATCTAAAACACAACTCGCGCATGGTTTAATTGCTCAGATCGTTGACATTTTTGCCTCTCAGTTAGCAGATACAAACCCCGAGAGTGTGTCAGAATAGCGCGCGCTCGAGGCAAAACCGTCTAATCAACCACTCGCAGGACGCACTAAACGTGGCGAAAAAAAAATCTAGCAAGAAAAACCGGCAGAAATCCGGATCCGACAATTTCCTCACCCACGGCAGTGTAACGCTGGGCATCAGCGCCCTTGGCTTACTGGTGGCTTTTGCTCTGGTCTGGTGGCAGGCGATTGTACAACCTCAGCAGGCGGCTCAGATTGCCGAGCAGGAACGCCAGTTGGACGTCTACGCACAATTATTCAACAGTCGCGTCGCCGACCTGCGGGCAACTGTTAACGCCATGGCTACCGCGCCAAGCACTATTGAGGCTCTGATCAGTTTCAATCCCGACGCACAGCAAGCGACTGCCGCGACCTTAGCCGCCCAACACCCTTATGTTTCCCGGGTGGATATCATCGAGAAAGGCAAAGCCGAAGTTGATCTGAGTGCGGAAGTACCGGTGTCTTTTGCGGCCCTGGATCTGATCAGACGTGCAGAAACCAGAGCGTTTGTCGGACCGGAGGCGGGCGCGGCACAAGGCAACCGACTCTACGCTGCACAACCTTTAACACCAGATGGCACCGTGGCCGGGGTCTTACTGGTGGTCTTCGAACCCGAGTTCCTGCTGGATTCTTTGCAACACTTCACTGGCCTGCGCGGTTCACTAAAGATTCTGCAGACGATCGCTGGCACCCCGACCACAGCCGTTCTGGAAGCTGGCGGCAGCGATGCAGATTTGGCGCCGATAGAGCAGGCGCTGTTCATTCCCCATTGGAAAGTTGAGTTTGCTGCGACGACAAGTGAAGTACAGCAGGTGGACAATACCGCAGCCTTGTTCACACCCTTTGCGCTGGCGCTGGCGCTGATCATGGGGGGAACATTCCTTGGTTTCTCCATGTACAGCCGCAAAGTCAAAGAAGATGCGCTGACGCTCACGGATTACGTGACCCGCATTTCTCGCGGTCGAAGCGCACCAATGGGTCGCTATCAGTTAAATGCTCTGGCAGACGTGGCCGCGGCAGTGGCCGTTCACGACAAAAACCCCACCGAGCAAGCCAGCACGACGCCGAACAAAGCAGCAGACAGTGACGACGGAGAGGATTTGTTGGAGGGGCTGGAGACAAAAAAGCCTGAGCGCGCTAAAAAGGATTTCCTCGACGTTCAACCCAGCGGAGCACAAGACAATTTCGGCATAGAAGTGAGTGAAGAAGTGGGACCAATGGATATGGGGATTGATTTCGACCCAGGTATTTTCCGTGCATACGACATTCGTGGCATCACCACAACCAACCTGACCGAAGAGGTTGTGTACTGGATCGGGCGCGCATTCGCCGCAGAAGCTTTGGCAAAGAAACAGTCACGGGTGGCTGTCGGCCGCGATGGGCGTCACTCTGGCGAACCTTTACAGGCCTCACTGACAAGAGGGCTCACAGAAGGTGGCATCGATGTCATCAGCATCGGTCGTGTACCCACCCCTACGCTCTACTACGCCACCTATGCCCTGGACACCGGCACCGGCATTATGATCACCGGCAGCCACAACCCACCTGAATACAATGGCCTGAAGATGATGCTCGGCGGCGTCACCCTGGCAGAAGATATGATCCAGGCTCTGTTCCGCCGTTTGCAGAACAATGACCTCAGCGAAGGCGAAGGCGACGTTGACGAGATTAACCTGGATGACAGCTATATCGATAAAGTGCTTGAAGAAGTTGCCATCGCGCAGCCTCTTAAGGTAGTTGTCGACTGCGGTAATGGGGTTGCCGGCGACATTGCACCTCGTCTGTTGCGTGAGCTTGGCTGTGAGGTCATTGAGCTGTATTGCGAAATCGACGGCGATTTTCCCAATCATCACCCAGACCCTGCTGAGCCTGAAAACCTGGAAGATCTGCGCACCGTTGTGCAGGCTGAGAAAGCTGACCTGGGGCTTGCCTTCGACGGCGATGGTGACCGCCTGGGTGTGGTGACCAACAGCGGCGAAATCATCTGGCCTGACAAGTTGATTATGCTGTTCGCGCAAGACATCGTGAGCCGAAATCCAGGCGCAGACATCATTTATGATGTGAAGTGTTCACGTCACCTGAACAATATCATCAGCGAGTTGGGTGGACGCCCAATCATGTGGAAGACGGGCCACTCCCACATGAAAGCCAAAATTAAAGAAACCGGTGCGTTGCTGGCTGGTGAATTCAGCGGCCACATCTGTTTTGGTGAGCGCTGGTACGGTTTTGACGACGCGCTTTATTCCGCCGTGCGCCTTCTGGAAATTCTGAGCACCGATGGCCGTACAGCGGACGAGATTTTCGCTCAATTTCCGGTTACCTTCACAACGCCGGAAATCAAGATCACCACCACCGAGTCTGAAAAATTTGAGATTATGGAAAAACTCTCAGCCGGCGCAGACTGGGGTGACGGCACCATCACCACCATTGACGGCATTCGCGTCGACTACGCTGACGGTTGGGGCCTGATCCGACCATCCAATACCAGTCCAGTGCTGTCGTTACGCTTTGAAGCTGATGGGCCCGGTGCGCTGGACAGAATTCAGGATGAGTTCCAACTACAACTGACTCAGATCGAACCTAACCTTTCTTTTCGTTAGGCCATAAAAGCACATGATCGAACAAGACGCCGAACGTGTTTCACAGGTACTGACCGAGGCTCTACCTTACATACAACAGTTCCAGGGACACACAATTGTCATCAAATATGGCGGCAATGCCATGACCGATGAATCGCTCAAGCAGTCTTTTGCGCGAGATGTTGTGCTCTTGAAACTGGTGGGCATCAATCCGGTAATCGTACATGGTGGCGGGCCACAGATTGGCACTTTGCTGAAAAAGCTGAACATAGAATCGCGCTTTGTGAATGGCATGCGTGTAACTGATGCCGCGACCATGGACGTGGTGCAGATGGTTCTGGGGGGGTTGGTTAACCAGGAAATTGTTGCGCTGCTGAATACCAATGGTGGCCATGCCGTTGGTATCACCGGCAAAGACGGTGATCTGATACGGGCAAAAAAACTCGCCATGCCGCCCAACCTGAACGCGCCGGAAATTATTGATATCGGCCACGTTGGCGAAATCACCAAAGTAGATACCAGCATTCTGACGACCCTGACAGCGTCAAATTTCATTCCCGTCATTGCACCCATCGGCATTGGTGCCGAGGGTGAGTCTTACAACATCAATGCGGATATTGTCGCAGGCAGCATCGCTCAGAGTTTGCGCGCCGAAAAGCTGCTGTTACTGACCAACACACCAGGCATCCTGGATGCAGACAAGAAAACGATCAGCGCGATAAACGCATCCGGCATTGCCAAGCTGATTGATGAAAACATTATTAACGAAGGCATGTTACCCAAGGTCCAATGTGCACTGGATGCAGTAGCGGCCGGCGTGCAAAGCGTACAAATTGTAGATGGTCGTGTACCGCACGCCCTGTTGCTGGAAGTTTTCACAGCCAGCGGCGTTGGCACACAGATTGTTTCGGATGAGACAAGTACGGCATGAGCAAAACCAATCGGCGACAACAGATACTTGAAGCGTTGGCGCTTATGTTACAAGAGCATCCCGGTGACAGGATTACAACAGCCCGCTTAGCGGCACAGGTCGGTGTATCCGAAGCTGCCCTGTATCGACACTTTCCAAGCAAAGCGAAAATGCTCGAGAGCCTCATCATTTACGCAGAAGAAACCCTGTTTTCTCGAATCAAATTGATCCTTAGTGAGCAAAAACAAGGCCCCGCACGGTGTCGCAACGTTATCTACCTGCTGCTGAGTTTCATTGAGCGCAATCCAGGTTTTGCCCGCTTGTTTGCAGGTGATGCACTCCAGGGCGAAACCGAACGACTTCGCGGGCGTGTCAATCAGCTGTTAAACCGTCTTGAGACTCAGTTGCGACAAGTGCTGCGAGAACACAATGCAACGTTGACAGAAATGCCAACGATTCAAATCAACGCCAGTGCCAACTTGCTGCTGGCGTTTGCAGAAGGCCGCATTCTCCAGTTTGTTCGTTCTGAGTTTACTGAAATGCCCACCCGGGATTGGGAAGGGCAATGGGAAATGCTGCACTACACGCTGTTCGAAAGATAACTACGCCAGCAATGGCCCTATTGCGCGAGCCTGAAGCCAATGCCCGGGAGCGACTATTCAGTTACCTTGGCGTCTCTATCCGGTAAGCCATTTTCACAGCTACGCAGCACAAAAACTTTTCGGTCGAAGGCAAACATGTTGCGCAACTCAAGCTTTTCCGCGAACCGCATCTGGATTTCATCGGACAGGGTCTTCTCCTGAGTTTTTGCACGCTCAATCTGATCTAACAGAGAATTAGGTATGGTGCCGCCACCGATATCAATCTGCGCCGCCTGGGCTTCCAGATCCTCGCGTTGACCTCTGACCACAGCTAGATTCGCGCGGATGTTGGCAATCGCTTCATCGATGGATTCAAGACCCTGCACTTCCGCGTAATCAATATCCGCTCCAGCCTGATAAAGCTTACGCACTCGATCCAGGGTTTTTTCGCACTCACGGATCATCGCCTCGCGCTCAAGTTTGCGCTGATAGGCTTCGTCGCTGAGTTGGGGGTCGACACGCTGAATCAGATTGCCGTGGGCATCTACCAGATCATATCCAAAGCGCACGCGATCTGCGGGTATGGTGGTGGAAAACACCAACGCACCAGATTCATCCCTAAAACGGAAAAAGTCGGCAAAGGCGCTGACACTGACAAGCGTCAGCAACAACGCGCTTACTATTTTCGAGGCTTTAAGGTTAATCATTAGGTTCCTTTTCATTCTGCATGCCCTCACGCCACACAATACCGTGCCTGATACTCGCGCATCTGAGCCAGCGTATTCGATGCAGCCATCTTGTCCGACACGGCAAGATAGCCTACTAGGTCAGACATTTTTGCGATACTGATCACAGGTGCACCGAGGTCTTCAGCCAATGCCGCAACCGCGGTAGTCTGCAGCGCTTTGGGTTGATCCACATCAATCACTTCCTCGCGATCCATGGCAATCACCGCCCCACTGATCTGAGCCCCGGTGGCGCTGATGAGATCCACGGCGCTGCGAATGGCTTTACCTGAGGTCAGGACGTCATCTACCAGTAAAACCCTGCCGGTGACCGGCGCGCCCACCAGCATGCCGCCCTCTCCATGGTCTTTCGCTTCCTTACGATTGAACGCCACGCCGACGTTTTTGCCCTTTTGGGATAACGCTATCGCCGTGGCAACCGCAATTGGAATGCCTTTGTAGGCCGGTCCGAACAGCACATCAAAATCCAGACCTGCGGCCAGAATCGCGTCAGCATACGCTTGTCCGAGTTGAGCAAACGCTGCACCGTCACTGACACTGCCCATATTGAAAAAGTAGGGGCTGATGCGTCCGGAATTAAGCGTGAATTCACCAAATTTCAGGACATTCTGAGCCAACATGAATTCTATGAAGGCTTGTTTGTCGAGCACACCGGCAGACATTACTTGGCCTCCTGCAGTGCCGCCTTCTGCAGTTCGATCAGTTCGGCGGTACCGGATTCGGCCAGGGCTATTAATTGCGCAAGCTCAGCACCGGAAAATGGCGCCGCTTCTGCGGTACCCTGAATTTCAATGAATCCACCACCTTCCATGCGCACCACGTTCATATCCGTCTCTGCATTTGAGTCTTCTGCATAGTCTAAATCCAAAACGGGCGTACCTTTATAAATACCTACTGATATAGATGCCACAAACTCCTTGAACGCGCCCTGAACGGGCAAAGTACCGATCGCTTCTGCCAGGGCCAGGGCGCCGCCTGTAATGGAGGCCGTGCGCGTGCCGCCGTCCGCCTGCAGGACGTCACAATCCACGCGTATGGTGCGCTCACCGAGCGCCTGCATATCCACCATCGCCCGCAACGAGCGTCCGATCAGGCGCTGAATCTCTACCGTTCTGCCCGTTTGTTTGCCACGCGCGGCTTCACGATCATTACGAGTGTGTGTCGCGCCTGGTAACATGCCGTATTCGGCGGTCACCCATCCGACGCCACGACCCCGCATGAAACCGGGTACCGATTCTTCTACCGCCGCTGTACACAACACTTTGGTGTCACCAAACTCAACCAGAACTGATCCGGCTGCGTGTTTGGTATAGCCTCGGGTAAACTTCACGTTGCGCATCTCATCTGCTGCTCGACCACTTGGACGCATAATGTCTCCTTGTTTTGCGCACATTATAAGTGGACGCGTTAGAATCACACCTTTAGTTGCGTGCTAGGGAATAATAACAATGATGTACAGCATGACCGCGTTTGCACGCGCCGCTGTCGATGCCCACGGTCGACACCTGGTGTGGGAAATCCGCTCGGTAAATCATCGCTTTCTGGAGACGCACTTTCGTATTCCTGAGTCACTGCGGGGCATTGAACACCCACTGCGTGAATTGGCCAGGAAACATCTCAAACGCGGTAAGGTCGATTGCACCCTGCGCCTGGAAGCAGGGGCCAGCGAAAGCAAAGTCACCATCAATCGCCCTGTACTGATGCAACTGTTGGCCGCTGTAGAGCAGGTTCGCCGGGATGCACCTGAAATTGGCTCGGTGACCCCTATTGAATTGATGCGCTGGCCTGGGGTGTTGGACGATACACCGGTAGAAGAAAGCCTGCTGGAAGAAACCGCCAGCCAACTGTTTGAGCAGGCCCTCACCGACCTGATCAGTGCCAGAGCGCGCGAAGGCGCCCAACTGCAACAGACCATCTGTGAGCGTCTGGATCATATTGATGCGTTGCTCAAAGTGCTCAAGCCCCAGGTATCGCAGATTGCGTTGCAACAGAAAGCCAAATTGCTGCAACGCATTGAAGATCTGCAGGTCAACCTGGATCCCGGCAGGCTGGAGCAGGAAGTTGCGCTGCTGGCGCAGCGGGCGGACGTCGCCGAAGAGCTTGATCGGCTGGCAATCCACGTGGAAGAAGCCCGCAGCAACGCCCTGGGTGCGGGTCCTCACGGCAGGCGTCTGGATTTTCTGACCCAGGAACTGAACCGCGAAGCCAATACCCTGGGGGCAAAGTCCATCATGCCGGAAACCTCCCAGCGCGCCGTGGACCTCAAAGTCATCATCGAACAGATCAGAGAACAGGTGCAGAACATAGAATGAAGCCCAATTCAGACACCAACCACGGGCAGCTCTATCTGGTGGCTGCCCCCTCCGGCGCCGGCAAAACATCTCTGGTCCACGCCGCTTTGGAAAGCGATCCTCAACTGGTGGTTTGTATCTCACACACCACCCGCGAGCGTCGTAGCTCTGAAACTGACGGCGTGAATTATCATTTTGTAACCCAACCAACCTTTACGCAGATGATTGCTGAAGAGCAGTTTCTCGAATATGCAGAAGTATTCGGACAACACTATGGCACCTCTAAAAAGCAGGTGGACACCCTGTTAGCTGAAGGTAAAGACGTCATTCTCGAGATAGATTGGCAGGGGGCTGAACAGGTTCGCCGGCTGGTACCCGATGTAATTGGCATCTTCATTTTACCACCCAGTGTTGAGGTACTCGCCGAGCGCCTGGCCAGTCGCGGACAGGACAGTCAGAAAAGCATGGAAACGCGCCTGGGACAGGCCGAATTAGAAATGTCGAAAGCGCCTAATTTTGACTACATCCTGGTAAACGATGATTTCGATGAGACACTAGCCGATCTTCTGTGTGTATTTCGGGCCCTGCGCCTGCGTAAAGACCGCCAGATAGCCGGTAATCCGGCGATTCAGCACATCTTGTCAGATAGTTAAGAGCGCTGTAGACTTCGCGCCCCGTTTCCATTACCCGCGTTGAGGCGAGAACACTATGGCTAGAGTAACTGTTGAGGACTGTCTGGATCATGTAGACAACCGCTTTGATCTTGTCATGCTGGCTACCCGCCGCGCACGCAGCTTACGTACCTACGGGAACGAACCGCTTGTTCCAGAAGAAAACGACAAAGCCACGGTCATCGCTTTGCGAGAGATTGCCGAGGGTCTGATCTCCCATGAAATGCTTGACAGTCAGGAAGTGTCCCAAGAGGATGAAGACGTAGAAGTCAGCTTCGACTTCAGTCAAAGCTTCAGGGAGAACAGGATAGGAGATGACGAGCCAGGTTAGGCCCGAGTCCACCACTCAATCATATTTTGTCAGGCAGCTGGAAGAGGCTGCTAAACGCCCCGAAGTTGCCGCACCAGCGACCATCGTGTCGCTGACCAAACGCATTTCCTACCTGACACCTGAACAGATCGCAGATGTGCGACGCGCTCACGCCTATGCGCAAACCGCCCACAAAGGTCAGTGGCGGCGCACCGGTCACCCCTACATTACGCACCCAACGGCGGTCGCACAGATCCTTGCTGAAATGCGTATGGATCACCAAACCCTGATGGCGGCGCTGCTGCACGATGTCATCGAAGACTCGGACGCCAACAAGTCAACGCTACGGGACGAGTTTGGCCGCGCGGTTGCGGAGATTGTCGACGGCGTTTCCAAACTGACCAAGATCTTCTCGTCTCGCGCAGAAGCGCAGGCAGAGAACTTTCAGAAAATGGCGCTGGCCATGGCAAAAGACATTCGCGTGATCATGGTGAAAATGGCGGACCGGCTGCATAACATGCGCACCATTGGTGTCATGTCAGCCCAGCAGCGCAAGCGCATCGCCAGAGAGACGCTGGATTTTTATGCCCCCATCGCCAATCGTCTGGGCATCAACACGATAAAGATGGAACTCGAAGAGCTCGGCTTCAAAGCGTTATACCCGCTGCGCGCTGATCGCATTGAACGAGCGGTGGCAAGCGCCCGCGGCAATCGCAAAGAATTAATGGAAGAGATAGCTTCCACCATGACCGCCGCGCTGAATCGCGATGGCATCGACGCAAAAGTCATCAGCCGTGAAAAACACCTGTATTCCATTTATCGGAAAATGAAAAGCCAGCAGAAATCGTTTAATGAAATCATGGACGTATTCGGCTTCAGGATTGTGGTTGACCGTGTGGATGCCTGTTACCGAACCCTGGGCGTAGTTCACAATCTGTTCAGCCCTGTTGCAGGTCGATTCAAAGACTATATTGCCATTCCAAAAGCTAACGGTTATCAGTCTCTGCATACTTCTTTATTTGGTATGCATGGCGTGCCCATCGAAGTACAGATCCGCACCAAACAAATGGAAGCCGTTGCTGAAACAGGCATTGCCGGCCACTGGCTGTATAAGTCTGGAGAAAGCGACTTTGAACCCAGCCAGCGCCGTGCCCGTCAATGGGCTCAGGATCTGCTGGAATTGCAAAGGCAGGCGGGCAATCCATTGGAGTTTATCGAAAGCCTGAAGCTCGATTTGTTTCCCGACGAAGTTTACGTATTTACACCCAAGGGTGAAATCATGGAACTGCCCAGTGGCGCGTGTCCCATCGATTTTGCCTACATGGTGCATACAGATATCGGCAACAGCTGCGTGGCATGCCGTATCGATCGCAATCTGGCGCCCCTGTCGCAACAGCTTCAAAGCGGCCAGAGTGTTGAAATCATCACCTCTACCGATGCGCGGGTAAATCCTGACTGGCTGACTTTTGTGGTGACCTCCCGGGCACGCTCAGCCATTCGTGTCGCGCTGAAACAACAGCAGAGCGGCGAGTCCATCGCTCTCGGCCGAAAGCTGCTGAACCGCGCCCTGGGCAACGCCAACATGAGCATCAACGACCTCGACTTCAGGCGTCTGCGCAAAGTATTCACCGATATGGGGGTGCGCAAACTGAATGACTTGTTAACTGCCATCGGCAACGGTGAGTTAATGGCCTATGTCGCAGCACAGAAACTGCTGGCAGCTGACAACCCGGACTATGAAGCCGTCACCGTTGAAGGCGGCGGGCCGGTATCCATTCGCGGCGGCGAAGGTCTGGTCATTCACTACGGCCGTTGCTGCGGACCGGTCCCGGGCGATCAGATCGTAGGCCATATGACACCCGGCAAAGGTTTTGTGGTACACATCGAAACCTGCGCCAACATAAGCGAGATCAGACGCCGTGCGGCGCGCGAAATAATTCCGGCAAGGTGGGAAAAGGTCACCGAGGGTGAGTTCCGAACCACTTTGGTTCTCAACGTCAATCGGCGTAAAGGCATCCTGGCTGAAGTCGCCGCGGAAGTATCCGCAGCTGATGCCGGCGTTGAAAACATCAGCGTGGAAGAACGTAACGCTGAGATCAGTACCCTGGCAATCGGCATCACGGTAAAAAACCGCTCACATCTGGCGCGGGTCATGCGCCGTTTGCACAATGTTCAGGCGGTTATCAATCTATCACGCCTGGGCCACTGAGGAGCCGCAATGAATAACAAACCAGTTCACACCGATGCCGCACCGGCAGCCATCGGTACTTACTCTCAAGCGGTTGCAACCAGCGCGACTCACACTGTATATATTTCAGGGCAGATTCCACTCGATCCGAGCACCATGGATGTCGTCAGCGAGCACTTTAAACCTCAAGCTGAACAGGTATTTAGAAACCTGGCGGCAATCTGCCAGGCCGCCGACGGCAGTCTTTCCGACTGCGTGAAATTAACTATCTATCTCACGGATCTTGGCAATTTCGCAGAGGTGAACGAGGTGATGGCCAGCTTTTTTGACGCCCCTTATCCTGCCCGTGCTGCCATTGAAGTCAGCGCCTTGCCAAAAGGTGTCAGTATAGAAATTGACGCCATCATGACCCTGGGGTGAACGTCGATCCCAGCGCTGGTATCCATCAACTTAAGGGGGTGGGTCCAAAGCTAGAAGCCACCCTGGCCAAGCTCGGCATCTTTCGTCTGCTTGATCTGCTGTTGCACCTGCCCAGCCGGTATCAGGACCGCTCCAAAATTACACCCATTGCCAGCATTGCACCGGGTGAGGAATGTCTGATCGAAGGATCGGTTGTTGCCTCCAATATACAATTTGGTAAGCGCCGCAGTTTAAAAGTCACCATAAGAGACGACAGCGGTGAAGTTCAGTTGCGTTTTTTTCATTTTTCCAGATATCAGCAAACAGCTCTGGAACAGGCTCAGTCGCTGCGAGTTTATGGAGAATTCCGCTTTTTCGGGCGCGAACTGACCGCGGTGCATCCGGACTACGAAGTGTTTGACCATGACCCGCCGCCGCTGAGTCAGACCCTGACACCTATCTATCCAACCACAGCGGGATTGGGCCAGGGTCGGTTACGCAATCTGATAGCCAGTTTGTGCAGGCTCGAGTGGCCGGATATCGCCGGCACGCCGTTCAGCAAACTGCAGTTTTTACATCAGCCGCCAGCGGGCACCGCGTTACACGAAATTGAGGCGGTGCAGGAAGATATTGCTTTTGATGAGTTGTGTGCCTACTACCTGGTGATGAAAGGTCGTGCACTCAAGCGCCAGCAGGAGAGCGCCATTGCATTGGGCCAGGCAACCGGTCTCGGTCGTATGCTGCTGCAGAACCTGGGTTTCCGGCTCACCAGAGCGCAGGCAAAGGTGGTCAAAGAAGTATTAACCGATCTGGAAAAGCCGGTGCCCATGCTACGTCTGGTACAGGGCGATGTAGGCTCAGGCAAGACAGTTATAGCGGCGTTTGCGGCGATACGCGCAGCAGAACACAACAGCCAGACCGCTTTGATGGCACCTACTGAGCTGCTCGCAGAACAACATTATTTGAATTTTTCCGCCTGGCTGTCACCGCTGAACATACGTGTTGTGCTGTTAACCGGGCAGCTTCCAGCGAAAGTGCAGAAAGAGCGGCTGGCTGACATTGCGTCCGGTGATGCCCAGGTGGTCATCGGCACACACGCCCTGTTTCAACGCGCGGTGACATTTGACCGGCTGGCCCTTTCGATCATTGATGAGCAGCATCGGTTTGGCGTGCATCAACGTATGGCGCTGCAGAACAAAGCTGCAAACGGCAGACAACCACACCAGCTGGTCATGACCGCGACCCCTATACCACGCACCTTAACCATGGCGTTGTATGCGGATATGGACGTTTCCGTCATCGATGAACTACCCAAGGGGCGCCAACCCATCACAACCCACACCGTTGAGGCGAGCAAACGCGGCCAGGTTGTGGAGCAGGTGGCCAGAGCCTTAAGCCAGGGACAGCAGGCATATTGGGTGTGTACGTTGATCGAAGATTCGGATGACCTGGACGCAGTTTCTGCCGAACACATGTATCAGGCCCTGACCGAAGCTTTACCCGCATTTCGTGTCGGGCTGCTGCACGGGCGGATGAAAAGCGATGAAAAAATTTCTGTCATGCAGGCCTTTAAAGCTCACCAACTTAACCTGCTGGTGGCCACCACTGTAGTTGAAGTGGGTGTCGATGTGCCGAATGCAACGCTGATGGTGATGGAAGATGCAGACCGCCTGGGTCTGGCTCAACTGCACCAGCTCAGAGGCCGGGTAGGGCGCGGCAGCCTGGCCAGCCACTGTTATCTGCTGTTCAGCCAGGGATTAAGCAAAGCTGCTAAAACCCGTTTAACCGCCATGCGTGAAAGCCAGGACGGATTCTATCTGGCAGAACAGGACCTCAAACTGCGCGGTCCTGGCGATATTCTTGGGACACGACAGGCCGGTGAACAGAGCTTTCGTGTTGCTGACCTGGGTTTACATGCTCATCTGATGCCCAGGGTAATCCGCAGTTGTGATGCGCTTCTGCAGGCGTCTGCCGGTTCATCCGACGCCGAAAAAATGACGCAGCTGCTCGCTGCCTGGGCACCGGCTGACTCCGGACATCTCAACGTGTGAACCAGGTCCGCTAACTCGTCTACTGCGCGAAGCCAGCTTTCCTATACTTAAACTGAGCCTTCACGAATCGAGTATATGGACACACCTGTAGATCAAATGCCCCTGTATCCAAACCCTCCTGGTGAACAACGCGTACGCGCGTTGTTCTGCAGCGACAACAAAGGTCAGATACAGGTGGTCGCGCCGGAAATTGCCCTGGTGGATCCGGAACCTATCCGAGTCAGCACCGCACGGGACGTACGCCACGTACCCCAGGCGGAGAACGCCAGCGTGTGCGCTATTCCGGGTTTCTACGGCTTCCCGTCGATTGTCGACAGTCAGCTTAAAGAGAAATCTGTCATTGCTCTGGCTACAGAAGTGCCCGGGCAATACGTGAGAGCCACTGGCGCTCAACTACATCAGATGTGCCTGAATCACGCATCATTTGAAACCCAGTTCACCAGCGCTCTGACGGGCACACCGGCTAATAGAGAACAGGATCAACAGGACATCGAGCGGGCGGTGCTTTCTTTTACCGCCAGACGCATAGAAGCGCGCCTGGACGAAACTCTGGCGATACCGCCTTTACCGGAAACCGCCCAACGGATTATCGCGCTGGCGGAAGACCCGATGTTTGATCTGAACGATATCGTGACGATCATTGAGTCTGATCCGGCCATTGCAGCGCGCATAATGGGTTGGGCCAATTCAGCTTTCTATGGCACACCAACGCCCTCAAAAACATTAAACGACGCCATCATGCGTGTGCTCGGTTTTGACATGGTATTTAACATGGCTCTGGGCATGGCCATCGGCGACAGCCTCAACCTGCCGGAAAGTCATGTCTCAGGCGCCAGCCCTTACTGGCTGGACGCGGTGTATAGCGCCGCAACCGTTGAAGCGCTGTCCAGACAAGCGGCTAAAGACAAGCAGATCAATCCGGGCACAGCCTATCTGACGGGATTACTGAGTAACTTTGGCACCCTGGTTGTGGGGCACGTGTTTCCACCTCAATATGCCAGTATTTGCCGTATCCAGGAAGCTAATCCATCCATTGGCTACCCCGAAATTGACCAGCACGTATTACACGTCAATCGCGAAGTTCTGGCCGCAACCCTGCTTGAGCTTTGGGATCTGCCTGAAGAAATCACCACCGCCGTTCGTTTTCAGAATGTGGGCGGGTACGTCGGAGAGCATCAGGACCATGTCGCGTTGCTGCGATTGGCCCAGGATCTGCTTTGTTATGGACCCGATGGGCTGCATGAAGATTCGCTGGCTACTGCCACGCAGATGGGCATCAGTGAACTGAGTATTTCTGAAGTTGCCGAAGTGATTCTGTCTGCCCAGAATGAGCTCAGCGATCTGGCCTTCTCACTGGGACAGTGACCCTCAGGGGAGTTGGCCAGCCTGCTTAGTGCGGGTCTGGCTCGACTACCCAACCCGCTTCCGGGTCATGAAATACATCAAGATCAAGTTCACCTTCACTCTTGGCAACAATTGTGGCGACCGCTCCGTCGCCGGTGACATTCACCGCGGTGCGCATCATATCTAACAGACGATCAACACCGATAATCAGGCCTATACCTTCAAGCGGCAAACCCACCTGACCCAACACCATCGCCAGCATGATCAGGCCAACACCAGGTACCGCAGCGGTACCAATAGAGGCCAGCGTTGCGGTCAGAATCACCATCAATAGTTGCTCAGGACCCAGGGCATATCCATAAAACTGGGCAATAAACACCGTCGCGACACCCTGCATGATGGCGGTGCCATCCATATTAATAGTGGCGCCCAGCGGTACCGCAAAAGACGCAACGTTGTTACTGACACCCACACGCTTTTCCACAGTACGCAACGTCACTGGCAGAGTTGCGCCACTGGATGAGCTGGAGAATGCAACCAACATCGGCTCGCGCATTTTTTTCAGATAAGTGATTGGGTTGAGGCCGGCGAGGAAGCGCAACAGTGCCGGGTAGACCAGGGTCATGTGCAGCAGCAGGGCCAATACAACTGTTAAGAAATAAGCGAGGAGCTTGGTGATTTCGTTCAAGCCCACGGTGACACCCAGAGTGACCATGAGGCAGAACACCCCGTAGGGGGCCAGTTGGATCAGCATGGTCACCAGCTTCATGATAATGCTGTTGAGATCGTTGAACACCGCCAGCACTCTGGCACCAGCTTCACCGGTTTTGCTCATCGCCAGGCCTAACAATACGGCAAACGCAATCACCTGGAGCATCTTGCCCTCGGCCATAGCGGTGATCGGATTACTGGGAATGATGTTAACCAGCGTATCTTTAATGCTGGGCGCTTCATCGGCAACAAAACCTGTGACTTCCGCCACGCCCTGGTCACTGGCGCTCAGGCCTGGATTGATAATAAGGGCCAGGCTCAGCGCAAGGGTCACCGCAGCCGCGGTGGTTATCAGATACAGTCCAATCGTCTTACCACCAAGCCGGCCTACTTTACCTGTTGCGCCAAGGCTGGCTGCACCACAGGTCAACGACACCAGTACCAGAGGTACAACCATCATTTTTAACAGGGTAATAAAAAGATCACCGCCGGCGTCAATCAGGCCGAAGGTAAAATATGTACTGATGAAGTGGTCGTCCGGCAGACTCAACCATTGCAGGAAAGCACCCAGCAGCAGCCCCGTACCCATACCTATCAAAATGCGTGAAGTCAGGTTCATATGGTCGCTCCGCGGGTGTTTAGACGAGTAGTCAGCGAGCAGATGCGATCAAACGCGAACATCACGTTTTGATCGCAACACTGGGTTACCCCACTTCTATCATTTCGAAGTCTTCTTTGCTAACCCCACACTCAGGACAGACAAAATCTTCGGGTACATTTTCCCAGGCAGTGCCCGGTGCAATACTTTCTTCTTCACAGCCTTCGGCTTCATCATAGATCCAGCCACAGACAATACATTGCCACTTCTTCATGGACGCTTCTTTAGCTCCGGCTACAGGTTTCACAAGGCGCAGTAAACTACTTGCTAGCCCTGCAAAAATCAATGCGCGGCAGGCATTGCCCTACCTGACAGCCTCTGATGTCCCTCGCAATAGATTGGCGAGGTACCCTCGCAATAGATTGGCGAGGTACCCTCGCAATAGATTGCGAGGGGGGAAAGATCTACACTCGCGGTTAGTTTTTTACCCATACACCCGGAAGATGCTGTCGATTAACCTGCGGGACTATCTCAAACTCATGCGCCTCGACCGTCCGGTCGGCAGCCTGCTGCTGCTGTGGCCAACTCTGGCTGCGCTGTGGATGGCCGCCGGAGGCGTACCGCCGGTTTCGTTGATCATTATCTTTACCCTTGGCACATTTCTTATGCGCTCCGCGGGTTGCGTCATTAACGACTATGCGGACAGACATGTTGACGGGCAGGTGAAACGTACCCAGGACCGTCCTTTAGCAACTGGTCAGATCAGACATCGAGACGCGTTGCTGCTGTTTACCGGCTTATGTCTGGCTGCCGGGCTGCTGGTGTTATTCCTTAATCGAGCAACGCAACTGCTTGCCGTCGGCGGTTTACTGGTCGCTGCCGCTTATCCGTTCATGAAAAGATGGACCCATCTGCCTCAGGTTGTGCTGGGTATCGCATTCAGCTGGGGCATCCTGATGGCCTGGACCGCCACCGATCGGGGGCTCACCAATACTGCTGGCGTCATGTTTGTCGGCAGCCTGTTATGGATTGTGGCCTACGATACGATGTACGCGATGGTGGACCGGGACGATGACCTGAAAGTGGGCATAAAAAGCACCGCCATTCTGTTTGGCGATCTTGATCGCATCATGATCGGCATTCTGCAGATCAGCGCGCTCATGTCGTTTATACTGGCGGGTCTGCAGCTGGGTTACCAACATTTTTACTATGTTGGGCTGCTGGTTTGCGCGGCGCTGTTTGGATATCAGCAATATCTTATTCGTAACCGCGAAAGGGAGGCGTGTTTTACGGCCTTCAAAAACAACATCAGCGCTGGTTTTGCGTTGTTCGCAGGTACCGTTGTCGAGCTGGTCGTACACCAGCCGGGCTTGTAGATACACGGTGCTGTTCCTGATACGCGCCATAGACGGGCTGAACCAACGTGTCGCGCAGGCAATCCGCTGGCTGGCGCTGTTTATGGTCCTCATCACCGTCACTATTGTTGTATTACGGTACCTGTTTGGCGTGGGTGCTATTTTTCTGCAGGAGAGTGTCATGTACATGCACGGCATTCTGTTCATGCTGGCTATACCCTTCACCCTCCGCGCAGATGGACATGTTCGGGTTGACCTGATTTACAGCCGGCTCAGCCAGAAACATAAAGACTGGATCGACGCCGGGGGGCATCTGCTGCTGCTGTTGCCTGTGAGTGTTTTCATATTTGTAACCAGCCTGCCTTACGTATCCGCGAGCTGGCGGGTTCTGGAAGGCAGCACCGAAGTAGGGGGCGTGCCGGCTGTATTCCTGCTGAAAACTCTAATGCCACTCATGGCGGCCCTCCTGTTTTTGCAGGGGCTCAGCGAGATTGCCAAACGCCTGCTCCCGTCTGTCGGAAAACGCTGACATGGACTACACACCTATCGCCATGTTTACAGTGACGTTTGTCGCCTTGTTGGCTGGCTATCCAGTGGCTTTGACCCTCGGTGGGGTAGCGCTGCTGTTTGCATTGGGTGGCATCCTTACCGGCGCTTTTTCCGTCGGTGATCTGGGTTTCATGCCGGGGCGTTTGTTTGGCACCATCACTAACCAGACGCTGGTGGCGGTGCCGCTGTTTGTTTTCATGGGCGTGATGCTGGAGAAAACACGTCTGGCTGAAGGTTTGCTGGAGAGCCTGTCCAGTCTGCTGCGGCGCTTTCGCGGTGGGCTTGCCATTACCGTGGTGCTGGTTGGTATGTTAATGGCTGCGAGCACCGGGATCGTGGGCGCTACGGTAGTCACTATGGGCCTGATGTCATTGCCGACCATGCTCAAACAGGGTTACCAGCCATCACTGGCCACAGGCACAATCTGCGCAACGGGCACTCTCGGGCAGATTATTCCGCCCTCCATTGCCCTGGTGCTGCTGGGTGATGTGTTATCAAACGCGTACCAACAGGCGCAATTGAACATGGGTATCTTTGCGCCAAAGGCGGTTTCTGTGGGTGACCTGTTTGCCGGCGCCCTGATGCCAGGCCTACTCCTGGTAGGGTTTTATCTGTTGTACGTGATCGGCAAAGGTTTCTTCGACCCGGATTCAATGCCGGCTGCGGCAGCCGACGACGCGCCAGACATCAATCTCATGCAAACCCTGTCCAGCCTGCTGCCACCCTTGACTCTGATTGTGGCTGTTCTGGGTTCAATCCTCGGCGGCTGGGCCACACCAACCGAAGCTGCCGGCGTCGGAGCGGTTGGTGCATTGATCCTTGCAGTAGTCTATCGGCGCTGCACAATCAAAATGCTGGGTGAAGTGTGCGATTCAACCCTCTCGACCACCGCCATGGTATTTTTCATTCTGATCGGCGCCTCTATTTTCTCGTTAGTTTTTCGCGGCTATGGTGGTGACGATCTGGTGCATACCTGGTTCGAGAACATGCCAGGGGGCATGTGGGGTGCCCTGGCAATTGTCATGCTGGCGATTTTCCTGCTGGGGTTCATCCTGGATTTCATTGAAATTACTTTTGTTGTTGTACCCATTGTCGGGCCGGTATTGCTGGCGATGGGCATAGATCCTATCTGGCTGGGCGTGCTGATTGCCGTCAATCTGCAGACTTCGTTCCTTACCCCGCCATTTGGCTTTGCACTGTTTTACCTGCGTGGGGTCACACCGCCAGAGGTACCCACTACCGCAATTTACCGCGGCGTGGTGCCTTTTATTATCATGCAGCTCCTTTTACTGGGTGTGTTACTGGCCTGGCCGTCACTCGCCACATGGCTGCCTGGCGTTATCTATGGATAGACCATTTGAATGATTTCACCAAAACCGTAACCCTCACAGACTTAACCATCTGGGATGGTGACAAGCTTATCGACGCAGATACGCTACAGTTCCACGCCGGCCACATTACCTTTGTCGGCGAACGCTCTGACGCCCATGTTTCAGATCCAGCCATCAGCTGCGCAGGGCTGACGCTCATACCCGGCCTGATCGACGCTCACGTACATCTGGAACTTAATCCTGACGAGAAAGACCCGCCAGAGAAAACACAGGCGAGTGTCATTCCGTTGATGCGTGAGCGGGCAGCTAAGATGGCCGCTGCGGGCATCACAACCGCGAGAGACCTGGGCGGCGGCGCCTGGTTCGAACTGGCTTTACGCGACGAGATTGCCGCCGGACACACAACCGGACCTCGATTGATCTGTGCCGGGCAGCCCATCACAACACCGCTTGGGCATTGCCATTTCTGGGGCGGTCATGCCGCCACCGCGGCGCAAGCGCACACGGTACTGCAGCGGCAGGTCGCCCAAGGTGTTGATCTGATCAAAATCATGGCCACCGGCGGTCGTATGACCAGAGGCAGCCAGCCTACGGATGCACAATTCTCTCAAGCCACTTTATCTGGTCTGGTTGCCTCAGCACACGCGCTTGACCTGCCTGTTGCGGCGCATTGCCACGGCACGGAAGGGATCAAACGAGCCGCTCTCGCGTGTGTCGATACCATAGAACACTGCTCATGGGTGGGGCCGGAGGGCTGGGCATCGGATTATCAGGCAGAAGTGGCCGATCTGATTCTCGACAACAACGTCTGGGTATCACCTACGGTCAACAAGGGTTGGCAGCGGATGCTCGATAATCCGTCTGGCAAGGTGCTGGGGCGCGTTCGTTCGGCCTACCAGCAGATGCTGGACAAAGGCATTCCCATGCTGGCCTCCACCGATGCAGGTATTCCTGGTGTCTACCACGCCGACTTACCCCATGCACTTCAGGTCTTTGCCGGCATAGCCCAACTGGAGCAGGCAGCCACGTTGAAAAGTGCGACGTCTGCAGCTGCATTGGGGTTAGGTATTTCCCATATCACCGGCAGCATCGAAGTGGGTAAATCTGCTGATCTGCTTATTGTTGATGGTGACCCGCTGAGCGACCTCACTGCACTCACCCGGCCCGTACATGTGTTCTGTGCCGGCCGACAGGTAACCGCCTGAACAACAGGCTATTTAAGCGACGGCCAGTCCGGTGCGCGTTTCTCCACAAAGGCGCTGATGCCTTCTGCATAGTCCGGCTCACCCATCATCTGGTTAAGCAGCGTTTCCGACTCGATGACACTGCTGGCGACATCACGATGAAGATCACGATAAATCTGCCAGCGTGTCTGCCGCAGAGAATTGGGCGAAACCGTGCTGATCATGTTCTGCACATACGCATAGGTTTCAGACATAAGAGATTCGGGTTCAAACAGAGCGTTCACAAACCCCAGCTGATAAGCCTCATCTGAGGTAAACACCCGACTGGTGAGCAGCAGGTCGTTTGCGCGACCCAGACCAACAACCTTCGGCAGCATCCAGGACAGACCGTATTCAGCCGGCAGATTCAATTTGCCATGGGCTGTGGTGAACTTCACACCCGGCACCGCAAAACGGATATCGGCAAAACAGGGTAATGCCAGACCAACCCCGGCAGCCGGACCGTTAATCGCCGCCACAACAACTTTCTGCAAACCAAAATGATAAGCAAATGCCGCATCAAATTCTTCAGCCGTGCCGTAGCCGGGACGGGCAATATCCTCGGCAGTACCCGGATCATAACCACCGCGTGCGGAATGGCCCTGCAAAGCCTCTGAATCGCCGCCAACACAGAATCCACGGCCTTTACCACTGACCACAATGGCCTGCACCTTATGATCATCGTTGGCCCTGGCCAGCAGATGCCGATACTCCGTATGCAGACGACCGGTCCAGGCGTTCATGCGATGGGGGCGATCCAGCCAGATTGTGGCGATTCCGTCATGAACTTCGTATTGTGTATTTTTGAGTTCCATATCGGTTACCGCATATTCAAGTAGGCTTTTTCACTGATCTCGTGATAGGCGCGCACATCTTCAAGAAACCCCGTGTAGGAATCATAGATGCGTCTGGATAGTTCGTTTTCATCAGCAGCTTCCGCGACAACGTCTTTAGCGGCTGCACGTAAGGCCGCGATGACATCGTCAGGTAGCGCGCGTAATTCCACACCGTGCTCGTTGATCAAAGTCTGCAGTGCACTGTTGTTGCGCGCGGTAAACTCACTGAGCATATCTTCATTAATGGCCCGCGAGGCGGTCTCAATCATCGCCTGCAGGTCAGGGGGCAGACTGTTCCAGGCGTCTTTGTTGATAATCGCTTCCAATGTCGGGCCAGGTTCATGCCAGCCTGGATAATAATAATATTTAGCTACCGTATGCAGCGCCAGAGCCAGGTCGTTGTACGGCCCAACCCATTCCGTGGCATCTATAACACCAGTCTGCAGGTTGGTGAACACTTCATTGCCTGGAAGTGATACCGGCACTCCACCGGCACGCTTGAGTACTTCACCGCCAAGACCGGGGATGCGCATTTTCAGACCCTGCAGATCGGCCACACTGTTTATTTCTTTGTTAAACCAGCCCGCCATCTGAACGCCGGAATTACCCGCAGCAATGGGGTACAGATTGAAAGGTTCATACAGCTCGCGCCACAGTTCCAGACCACCGCCATAGTGCAGCCAGCCATTCATCTCCTGGGCATTCATGCCAAACGGTACGGTGGCAAACATTGCAGCTATTGGGATTTTGCCGCGCCAGTAGTACGCCGCACCATGACCCATTTCAGCTGTACCCTGGGATACTGCATCAAAGACTTCAAATGCGCCGACCAGTTCACCTGCACCGTAAACTTTAATGTCGAGGCGGCCGTTGCTCATGACACGAAGGTTTTCCGCCATACGTTCTGGCGCCATGCCAAGGCCTGGCAGATTTTTTGGCCAGGTTGTGATGAGCTTCCAGCGATAGACCTTCTGGGTATTCGCCGCAGCGCCTTCAGCCCCCGCAGACACACTCGACGTATTCGGGCCACAGCCCGTCAGCAGCATGGCCGCGATGAGGCCGAATAGATATAAACCAGACTTTTTCATCACTTATCTCTTTTCCATATTGTTTGCTTAATCCAGCGGCTGCAGGTTGGCGTAACCCACCATCAGCCATTTGGAACCCACCTCGGGGAAGTTAACTTCAATTTTGGCGCGGTCACCGCCGCCTTCAATCTGCAGAATCACACCCTCGCCATATTTCCCATGCGCAACACGCTGGCCCATGCGAAAGCCCAGCTCATGGGTTTCTTGAAAGAGGCTGCTTGAACCGGTGCTGCTAGGGGTACCGTACGGCCGTTGCACCGCACCATTCATGCGCACCTCCGCAATCAGGTGCTGGGGTATTTCCATCAAAAAACGGCTGGGGCGATTGTAGCTGTCCTGGCCATGCAGGCGGCGGGACTCTGCGTAGGTCAGATAGAGTTGTGTCATGGCGCGGGTGATACCTACATAAGCCAGTCGCCGTTCTTCTTCGAGACGACCCGGCTCCTCGGCAGACATGCGATGTGGGAATAGCCCTTCTTCCATGCCGCCCAAAAACACCAGCGGAAACTCCAGCCCTTTTGCAGAATGCAGCGTCATCATCTGCACACACGGACCCTGCTGGGACTGCCGATCGCCGGCATCCAGGGCAACCTGATCAAGGAATTCTTTCAGCTCTGAGACTTCAGCCTGGTCACTGTCTGCTAACGGAAACAGTGTCTCGCCGGAAAACTGGCGACAGGCACTGACCAGTTCCTCGAGGTTCTCTTTACGCGCAAGACCACGTTCTCCACGCTCCTGCCGGTGATAGGTCATCAGTCCGCTGGCATCAATACAGTGGTCGGCCAGTTCGTGCATTGGCATGGTAGCCACCGCGTCACTCATATCGTTGATGAGCGCGATGAAGCCACCTAACGTGGTCTGCACACGGCCTTTGAAGGCACCGGATGCAATGCCCTCTTTACAGGCCTGCCAGAGAGACACACGATGATCGCGGGCATATTGGCGCACGGCCTCTATAGACTTTTCTCCAATACCTCGCGGCGGCGTATTAACCACACGCTCAAAAGCAGTGTCTGAATGTGGATCTTCCATCAAACGCATATAGGCCAGCGCGTTCTTGATTTCTGCACGCTCAAAGAACCGCTGGCCACCATAGATCTGATAGGCAATATTGGCCCGCAACATGGCTTCTTCTATAACCCGCGATTGCGCATTAGAGCGATACAACACGGCAACCTCGTCTGCGCTGCCGCCTTCTTCCAACCATTGCTGGGTGGTCTCAACAATAAATCGCGCCTCGTCTAAATCGTTGTACCCGGAGTAAACACGAATAGGCTCACCGACGGGCCCATCGGACCAGAGCTGTTTGCCCAGACGATCCGTATTACGCTGAATCAGACCATTGGCGGCGTCCAGAATGTTTTGCGTAGAGCGATAGTTCTGCTCCAGGCGAACGGTTGTGACATCTTCAAAATCAGCCGAATACTTATGGATATTTTCAATCTTGGCGCCGCGCCAGCCGTAAATCGACTGATCGTCATCACCAACAGCCATGACGTGGGCAGCTTTTCCAGCCAGCACCCGCAGCCAGGCATATTGAATGGTATTGGTATCCTGGAATTCATCAACCAGCACATGGCTGAAGCGACCCTGGTAGTGGGCCAACAGGTCTTTATTGTTCAACCAAAGCTCATGCGAGCGCAGTAACAATTCTGCAAAGTCGACCAGACCGCCCTGGTCACACACTTCTTCATAGCTCTGATAAATACGTTTGTGCGTAATCTGAAACAGATCGTCGCTGGCAGGCACATCTTTCGCCCTTTTGCCTTCGTCTTTCTGGCCGTTGATGAACCAGACCGCCTGCCGTGCCGGCCATTTCTGTTCATCAATGTCCATACTGCGCATAACGCGCTTGACCAGGCGCAGCTGATCATCGCTGTCGAGGATCTGAAAATTCTGTGGCAGCCTGGCTTCCTGCCAGTGCATGCGTAACAGGCGATGGGCAAGGCCGTGAAAGGTCCCTACCCACATGGCACGCGCGGACATATTGAGTATTTCTTCAATCCGCAGACGCATTTCTGAGGCTGCTTTGTTGGTAAACGTCACCGCCAGAATGCCGTGGGGTGACACTCCTTCAACGTCGATCAACCAGGCAATACGATGCACCAGCACGCGGGTCTTGCCGCTGCCAGCACCCGCCACCACCAGCATATTGGCGTTAGGGGCGGAGACAGCCTGACGTTGAGCTTCATTGAGCCCATCTAAAATATGTGTGATATCCAATGGTGTTCTCTTTCGTCCTTTTCGTTAAGAGAGACTTTTCGAAAGACTTTGCAGGGGCTTTTGCACGGAACTTTGTGCCGGCATTGAAACACCAGTCTACCGTTGATGCCTGTATCGGATCTAGCCAAGGCGCTTAAGAGTTGCCATGATTCATCTCAGCAACGGCTGCAAACCAAAGAGTGTGAAGTATATGGATATGCTGACCCATAGAACGCTAATCGGACTGTTTACCCTGGTGGTGTCTTTTTCCTGCCTGACCGGGGGTCAGCAGGCCCATGCACAGGCCACGCCTGAGGCCTGGGCCAGTTGTGTCAGTGGTCTTAGACAGACTGCGTTGCAAAGCGGCATCAGCGAAGCAACCGTGAATAATGTATTTACAGATATCACCCAACTCCCCAGGGTTATCGCCAGCGATCGCTCGCAACCTGAATTCACCCAGACGTTTACCGAGTACTACAACAAACGCGTCACCGAGTTTCGCGTCTCCAAAGGCAGAAACCTGCTTGCCACCCATGCCACGTTACTGGCACGCATCCAGGAAAGAACCGGCGTGCCACCGCAGTACCTGGTGGCGTTCTGGGGGCTGGAAACCAATTTTGGCAGCTACTTCGGCAAGTTACCTATTCCCAGCGCGCTGGCCACACTTGCCTGTGACTCGCGCCGGTCCGACTTTTTCACCCGGGAATTAATGGCCACATTGGAAATCGTCGACGCTGGCGATATCGCTTCCGACGAACTGGTCGGCTCATGGGCAGGCGCCATCGGCCATATGCAGTTTATGCCCACCACATTCCTGCAACATGCCAAAGACGAAGATGGAGACGGTCGCCGGGACCTCCTCGGCAGTGTTTCTGATGCGCTTTATTCCGGCGGCAGCTACCTTGCCGATATGGGCTGGGAGCCCGGCTTCCGTTGGGGCAGGGAAGTCAGGTTGCCGGAAGGGTTCGACTACGCGCTGACCGGGTCTGACCAGTGGCGACCCTTGTCTGAGTGGGCTGAACGGGGTGTTACCGATACTGCTGGGCGTGATCTTGAGCCGATGCCGCTGCAGAGCGCCTTGCTGTTGCCCACAGGCCATACGGGGCCAGCCTTCCTCGTGTATCCGAATTTCCGCATCATCATGAAATGGAACCGCTCCGAATTTTACGCGCTGTCAGTAGGCCGACTGGCCGACCGCATTGCGGGTGCAGGCAAGCTAGCTCGGCCACTACCCAGTGTTGAGGCGACACAACTGTCCACTCAGGCACTGCTCAAATTACAGGAAAACCTTGTTGCGCTTGGATTTGAAGCAGGCACCCCGGACGGTGTCATGGGTCCGGCGACTCGCCGGGCGATACAGAATTTCCAGACAGACAATGAATATGTTGCTGATGGCTTCCCCACGCCGGCTCTGTTCGAAGCGGTTGCCAATGCGGTAGGTACCACCGGCGCTGGCGGTTAAACACCGTTACCGGTCTTATCCGCCTGGTTTACCCGCCGGGGTACTGACGGGGGCTTGCGCCAACTGGCCACGCGCTTTTGATCGCAGCAGAAATTCTGCACGCTGAATATCACTGGCCAGCGGCCATTGGCCAATTTCTTCCAGCGTACGAAAACAGCCTTTACAGACATTATTTTCATTCAGTTCACAAACGCTGATGCAGGGCGACTCAACCGACATTTTCTCTGCTTACCACTTTAGACCCATGAGTATAATCGTTCCTTGGGGTTGCCGCGCAGGGGAAGCAAAATGACCGTCGAGCCAAAAATCGTGGCGTTAGCAGAGACTCATCTGGTGGGTATGCACAAGACAATGTCGCGCAGTGCTGATTTAACACCAGACCTGTGGCGATCGTTTATGCCACGACGCGGAGAGGTCAGGCATAGAAGCAACTCGAACTTTATATCCATGCAGATCTTTCCAAATGGACCGGCTCAAGTTGCTGATCCGGAAGCCACATTCACCAAGTGGGCCGCAGTCGAAGTTTCACCTGACAGCAATCTGCCTGAGGGTATGCAGCGATACACTTTATCCGGCGGGCTTTATGCGGTCTTTCACCACCAGGGTCCGGCCACAGACATTTCAACCTTTATGTATGCATTTGGCACCTGGCTGCCGGGCTCAGCCTATGCGTTAGATGACCGCGAACATTTTGAAGTGCTACCAGAAAATTATCAGCCAATGGCCCCGGATGCCGAAGAAGACATCTGGATCCCCATTGTTGCGCAATAAAACCGTTAAGCAGAAGCACTCGGCCGCGCGCTGACCAGCGCGTGCCATCGCCATAAGTTTTCAAGCTCCTCTGCGGGCTTCAATCCCACCATGGCCGTCGCAAAATCAACAATGATCAGGGTTGTGATATCGACAATCGTAAACCGATCGCCTGCGATATACGGCGCTTCTGCAAGCTGCCGATTGAGACGCTCATAAAATGCGTGGGTCAACTTGTCGCTTTTATCTTTGGCTGCGGGTATCTGCTCGATCCGCCCGGCAAACAGTTTTCCCACCACCGGGCCATTGACCCAGGACGTACCTACCTGAGAAAACAGTTCAAGCTCAATCTGTCGATGCACCATTTCTACCTGGGCCAGCTCAACCGGCGCTTCACCAAACAGGTTAGGTTCGGGCTGGATGGCTTCAAGATAACGGCAGATGGCAACGGATTCTCCTATACAGGTACCATCGTCCAGTTCGAGCACCGGGATCTTACCGCTGGGATTTTTCTGCAGGAATTCCGGCGTTTTGTGTTCACCTTTGGCCATGTCGACCTGTACGCACTCCAGATCAATTCCTTTTTCAGCAGCGAACATACGCACGCGACGGGGATTAGGGGCCTGAGTAACGTCATAGAGTTTCATAGCGTGCTTCCTGCTGGTTTAGGTGTGGATGCTGATATTTCGTTTCAGGCGACAGCATAAGCCAGTTATCCTTCTGCGTGCACCCGTCAAGTCACTAAAGAGGCAGCCTCAAAACGGCTTTTTGTTGATAATGATTCGATGAATATTGAGATGATCAGTGCGCTTGTTTTGTTCGCATTCGTAAGCTCCATTACCCCCGGCCCCAACAACCTTATGCTCATGGCATCAGGTGCAGATTTTGGCGTGCGCCGGAGTGTGCAACATATTCTGGGGGTAACCCTTGGCTTTATGTTGATGATTTTTCTGGTAGGCATGGGGCTGGCGCAGATTTTTGCCATCGATCTGCAGCTGGACCGCCCCAGGCCAGCAGATCCACCAGAACGTTGCTTCGCCTACGAGGCTTCGTTGGTTTAACGGTGTCATGGCTGTCGCCTTATTATTGAGTCTGGCTATGATCATCTGATAGGCGCTGGAACACCTGACTATTGGCAAACAATGAAATGATATGCAGACACCACCTGACAATCTGACCCAACTCTGGGATCGCCAAAACCCATTTGTGGTCCATATTCCAGTCGAACAACGCCATATTGACGAGTTGGGCCATACTAACAATGTGCATTATCTGGACTGGCTGCTCACCTGTACGTGGCAACACTCTACTGAAGTGGGTTTACCACCTGACGCTATGTTGGCCACCGGATGCGCTATGGCGGTACGTGATGTGCGGATGCAGTATCTCAGCGCCACTTTTGCGGGGGATCAGCTTTGGGTTGGCGATTGGCTTACTCACAACGACGGCCGATTGCGCGCAACACGTCAATTTCAGATCCTGCGCGAAGCCGATAAGGCGTGCGTGATGCGCGCTGAAATTGACTACATCTGCATCAACGTTGCGTCTGGACGACCGCACCGAATGCCTGAAGTTTTTATCACAGCCTATCGGGTAGAAGACGACTGATATGTGGCTACGTCGATCACCGAAGCCAGGGTGCAGTGATAGGTATTACTTGATGTGCCAAAGCACCAGACAATATCGTTGTTCTTGAAAGGCACATATACCGGCCGATCGCCTTCATTGCTGGTACAGAAACAGCGCCCGCAACTTGTTGTGCCGCAGCAATCGTAGTAGGCCACAAGGTAATCTTTGTTATCTAGCGGATGTTTACAGGTACCAATCCAGCCAATCGGTGACAGCTGCGTGCCGGGAGGACAACTGTTTGCACCACCACCGCAGCAGGCGCAGGGGTTACCGTCAATGCCGCAGTAACGCCAGTAGTTACAGCTTTCCGGATCACCACCATCGCCGCTGATCAGCCCATCATCAGGAATATCCGCAGCCGCCATGGTCCGCGACACCGGCAACAGCGGTATTGATGCTGCGCCTAACAACATTCCGCCAATACGCTTCAACAAACCACGGCGGGAAGACGATCGGGCAACGCGCCGCAACGCTCTTTCGGCAAACGCATCTATTGCGACGGGTGCAAAGCTACCGTGAGACACAAAAACCCCTCATTGAAGATAATTATGGAACAAGGCTGGATACATATCGCCAAAGGCTTCAATCACATGCGACCACTCTCCTGTGTCCGCATGATATACATCAACCCTGTCAGCTTCTTCCGATAGCGCCAGCAGATAAGGTGTTTTACCTTGGGTTAGATGCAAAGACTGGGCGGGATGTTTTAAACGAATGACTTTCTTACGGGTGTTGCCATCAAGGTCAAATACCCAGGCTTCGGTGCCTGCCTGCTTGTGTGTGTCGAAGCCGCCGCGATGCATTAACACATACAAGCTGCTATCCATATCGTGTACTGCCAGCGGCACCATACCGCCAGGTTTCCACTGCTCGTTGCGCTCACGCTCGGTAACCAGTGACCAGGGGCTTGCTACGCGGGTCTGACTGTTTACAACAGCCACTTTGTAGATCAAGCCATGAAAAGAAGTGAAGTACCAGTCGTTACCATGACGCGCACCTTTTTCCATAACGGGATCGCCGTCGGGGTCAAAAAAGGGTGCGGTGCGCGCGCGTGTTACCAGCTGACCTGACTCATCCAATTGCAATGTGGCAACACTGCCATCACCGCACAACAGATGAAAGCGTCGCTGTAGCGTTGGATACACCAGCGCACATCCTGTTGTGTCCAGCTCTGCAATAAACCTCCGGCTTTGCATATCAACAACAGAAACCGATTGTCCTGGGGTCATATTAAAACCAAGCAGAAAGCGATCGTCGTCAGTTAGCGCGGCGGTGTGTACAAGTGACATACCTTCGTAGCTCTTGGCTGGTATCTCAACCTCGTCGATCACAGCCAGAGTATCCTTGCTGCGTACCGTCACCACATCTGTCCGCGCGCCGCGGTACATTCTTGTCATGTAGGTTTCCAACGAGTAAAACTCGTTTTTTAGCGTCGGTATCGCAAGCTTCAGTGTGCTAACGCCGTTGTTGAACTGCGCCAGATAACGATCGTTTTCAATATCCATGAGCGTTACGCTGGAACCAGCGCCACCGATCCAAACCCAGTTGGGGGAGGGGGTTTCAAGTTTCGATAAGCCCGGCGTTTCTGCTTGAAAATCAGCAACGCTTTCGCCGGGCCATAGAGCAGTGATAACACTGCAGATTAGGATGCCTGTGACGCTGATGTTATTTGGCTTCATAAGCATCTATTGCACGCTGTCGAGCAGCGGGTACATCAAGATAAGCGTGTTTTCGATGTGCAGCGACTTCAGCTTCGCTAAAAGGTTGCACCCTGTGCACTTCTTCAATATCACTCAAGGTGAATACCACATAATTCAACAGGTTGGCGATTCTCGCATCGCTGATACTGACCTGTCTGACACCGGGCACTCGGATCAGATACTCGCGCCCCAGGGAAGTATGAAGAAATGGCACAAGGTTGTCCTTCAAAGCTGGAACATGGGGCTCCACACCTACCCCTGCGACGGCATGACAGCCTTCACAGTTCATTCGATAATCAAACGCGGCGGAGTTCGAGCTGGCTGTAGCGGCATATGTACTTAGCAGGACACCACACAGTGCGGGCAAACAATTTTTCAGATCACTGGTCATCGGAAACTAGGTCCGCTCAACAGCATTGTGGCTGAGATAGGTCTGCAGATCTTTGACCCCCATTTCTTTGGCTTCATACAAGCTCTCGAGATGTTCTCGAGAGTTAACAAGCCCGGCAGACTGCAAAAAACCCCGTTCATCTATAAGCACAGCATAGGGTAATTTGCCTACATGGAAGGCAATGCCCAATTGTGCAGACAACGTTAATGGAAACGCCTGCATTTGCGCAGATCGCAGAACCTGCTGGTGTTCAGCTGCATCGCCATCACCTGCCAGAACAACATCTATCCAGTCCTGCTCAGATCGTGTGCTGCGTTTGATGATGGGCAGCAGTTCTTTGCAGATCGGACAGGTTGGCGAAAAAAAGAACAGCAGGGTCGAACGGCCAGCAGGGTTTGCTGCGCCAATCGTGAGCTGGGCACCTGATACCAGCTCAACTGTCACCTGTGGAGCTGCACCACCAATAGACAGGCCATTACGCAGCGACAGCGCACCCGCGGGTGCAATGCGTTCGTGCAGCACACCTATCTGCCTGGCCAGAGCCCAGATGATCAGTGCCATGATGATGACAACCAACCACAACAATACAAACGTAACCGCTACAGTTAGATCACTCATTTTGGTTTCGCCTGGAAACTTGTGAGTCTTTCGGCAGCCAAATAGAAAAAAGCAAAAACTAACGTCGTTGCACCCACCGATACCCAATCCATCCAGAGCAACTCCCGCCCGTTACTGGGCAGCAGAATAAAGCCAGCAACCGCCGCAAGGGCTGCATTTCTCAGCAACATGCCGGGTCTAATAAACTGTTTATCGTTCCCCCAACTGCAGCCGCAATGGACGGCAGTACGTCCACGCAACAGATTGATACCGATGCCTGTTGCATACAGCAGCAGTAAAATGATGGCAAGGATTGCACCGAGACCTCTGCTGCCAGGTTGCACCAAGGCCACCACTACCACCAATTCCATCAACGACAACATCCCTGCGATGGGCAGAGTCAAACCTGACCAGAGCAAGCGATAATCCTGAACAGACGCCACAAAATCAGGGAAGTTAAGCAGTTTATGTAAAAACGATGCCGCAAACAGCAGGCCGATTACGGCAACAGCGATGATGCTGAAAACTGAGTCCATATTGACGCCTGACGTATTAACGAATGGATCGAAGATGTGATCTTTGTTGCACAACGATATAGCATCGGTGCTGGCCCCAGCAATAAGGCAGCGCTCAGAAAGCCTTTTAGAGCGAAGGCCCAGGCGCGCAGGACAGAATATGTGGAAGGAGTATTGTTGTGAAAAAATTAGTTTTTGGGTCGCTGCTGCTGAGCACAACTTATGCCCTGGCCGATCCCGTTATGCAGCCACCAACCCACACCCAGGCCGACGCCGTACCCTGGTCAAGTAACGACTTCGGAGTCCGCTGGAAAGACCTGATTGGTGCTGATGGCCCCGGACAGATCCCGCAACAAGACTTACGTTTCGGCATGCTGGAAATACCTGGCCACACGGTCTATCCCGGACACCGCCATGCCGCCCCAGAGCTTTATTACATTTTATCCGGCCGCGCTACCTGGACAGTAGGTTCAGACACCTTCGAAGCATCCGCTGGGACAACCATCTACACACCCGCAAATGCGGTGCACAGGATGATTAATACAAATGACGAGCCGGTTGTCACCGTTTGGGCCTGGTGGGCCCCAGGCGGCGATCCCGCAGTATTCGATCCAGATGCTTATGAATTCACTGAAGCATTACCTGAAAGTCCATGAAGACATCATCCATCACTTTCGCCTTGATTATCCTATCGAGCACGCTTGGTTTTGCTGGCTGCTCCTCCTCCGATGCCAGCCACTCTGAAGTGAGGGTTGTTGCCGCTGCAGGTGAGCCTGCGGCAGGCCTTCCTGAAGGATATTTATATGAGGGGTTTGATCCCATCTATGCCATGGGGGCTTCCGGAGAAATTGCATTCTCAGCCAAAGCCAACACCCCCCATGGCGGCCCGCGAGACCGGCAACATGTTCTCTGGTTTGGTTCCGTAGATGAAATCGCACCCGTGGCCAGAGTTGGACAGGCTGTACCTGGACTCGAAGAGACGGTTTTGATCAGCGGTTTTCAGGCTACGCCAAGAGTCATTACAGAATCGGGGCGGCTTGGCTTTGTGGTACAAACCTCGCGCTCGCCATCAGGTAGTTTGCCTCAGGCGTTACTGATACACGACGACGGTGAGCTTGAAAAGGTGGTAGCCACCGGTGACGAGGTACCGCTGCCAGGCGGTGCTACGCCTTTGCTCAGCATCAGTCAGTTTGCTATGACGAATGAGGGTGTTCTTTTTATGGGTAAAGTGAATCGACGCCAGAACGGCCTGTGGTTCTGGGATCACTCCGGCCTGAAACTGGTCAGCGCAGATCGTACTCAGATTAACATCGGCTCTACTGCATGCGATGTGCGGTCTGTTGCCAGCACCACTGTCGACCTCAACAAAGCAGGCTTCGGTGTGTTTCGAATAACTATGGGCGGTAATCAATGTGCAAGCGGGGGGATTATTGCCTGGGACAGTGATTCAAATGATCTTGAACCCATCGCGCTGAACCGAACTCCTATCGAGGAGGGTTCCGACCTCTATTATCAGTCGCTCACCGGTGATGCGCGAGTGAGTGACGAGGGTCAGGTTGGACTCCACGGCAACATCTATTCCAACAGCGCCAGCTCATCCGGGGCAAAAGAAATGACCTTGCTGTATACCCCAGAGTACGCCGCGAGCCGTGCACTGATCGACAAGTACACGCCTTTCGCAGAGGCGCCTGACATCACCCTGACCCACACCATTCTCGGCGATGGCCTCGCGATTGTTGACGACAGCGAGCTGATCCATTTTGTGAAGAGCAATCGGGACAGAATCATCCTGCGTACTTTCATCGATGAAGAGATTTCACATCGTGTCGTTGCGAGGAATGGAACAACTGTCGGTGAACAGGTAGCGGCAAGAATCGGTGATGGCCATGTTAATCGCAATGGTGATGTAGTCTTTACCAGCTACATTGATGACGGAGCCAAAGGCGGGACTTACCAGCAGGAGCTGTGGTTTTCTGCGCGTAACCGCGACCCCATCCGTCTGGCGTTTCCAGGCCAACCTGTCGCCGGTAGAACGGATCAAACTATAGAAGGCATCGACATCACCAACCAATCCCATGAGCCGAAAATGCACAACACCCAAGGAGGGCGCAATCGCCTTATGGATGATTCCGGCGCCACCTTCTTTTCAGGACGCCTGCGTAAAGCCAATCAGTGGCATAACGCCCTGTTCTTGGCGATACCAGACTAGGATCATGGTTTCTGCACACACCCGTAATGAGCAAACTACACCAACCTGAAAGAGTTGCGGCACTCAGAATAGGCAACAATCAGCAGGGCTTATCGGCGTTCACTCTACAGTGACCGATTTGGCCAGATTACGAGGTTGATCTACATCCGTACCCTTCAGAACCGCAACGTGGTAGGACAACAGTTGCAGTGGCACAACATAAACGATGGGCGCAAGAATCGGGTGAACATGTGGCAAAGGAATCACCGTAACACCAGGTTCTTCACGGAAAGAGCTGTTCCGATCAGCAAACACAAAAAGCTTTCCACCGCGAGCCCGCACTTCCTGCAGGTTTGACTGCAATTTTTCCAACAGATCGTTGTTTGGAGCGACGGCAATCACGGGCATGTCATCATCTACCAGCGCCAGGGGTCCATGTTTGAGCTCGCCGGCAGGATAACCTTCCGCATGAATATAGGAAATTTCTTTGAGTTTCAGAGCACCTTCCATTGCTACCGGAAACATTGTGCCGCGCCCCAGGAACAGGGCGTGATGTTTGTCCATGAAGCGTTCCGCCAGGTTGTGGATGACACTATCCAGAGACAACACCTCTTCGATCACACCCCCCAGATGGTGCAACCCCTGTACCAGTTCTTTTTCCAGCTCAGGCGTTAATCCGTGTCGACGACCCAGCATCAACGTCAGCAACATCAGATCTGTGAGCTGTGCAGTAAACGCCTTGGTTGAAGCCACACCGACTTCTGTGCCGGCCTGAATCATCAATGCCAGATCACTTTCGCGAACCATGGAACTTGTTGGTACGTTACAGATGGTTAAAGTTGCATAGAAGCCGAGTTCTTTTGCGATTCGAAGTGCAGCCAGTGTGTCTGCAGTTTCACCGGACTGCGACAGCGTTACAAACAAGGTATCGGTGGGTACCGATACTTTGCGGTATCTGAATTCGGAAGCTATCTCTACCTGGCAAGGAATGCCAACCAGCTCTTCGATCCAGTAACGCGCGACCGATGCAGCGTAGTAGCTGGTACCACATGCGACCAGCATGACCCCCTGCACCTGATCAAAAATATTTTTTGCCGCTACGCCAAACGCACCCTCCAATACCTGCGTACGACCCAACCGACCTTCCAGGGTGTCATGAATCACGCGGGGTTGTTCAAATATCTCCTTCTGCATGTGGTGGCGATAGGTGCCTTTGTCCACATCATCATGTGCCATCTCAACATGTACATCCGATCGCACAACGGACTCGTTGTCCATGTTCCAGATAGAAATACTTTCTTTGCGTATTTCTACCAGGTCGCCTTCTTCCAGAAAAATGAATCGGTCAGTAACCGGCTTCAGGGCTAACACATCGGAGGCAATATAGTTTTCACCAATGCCTTTACCCACAACCAGAGGACTGCCAGCGCGAGCGGCGATAATGCGGTCCGGAGCGTCTTTAGCTACGACACCAATCGCATAAGCACCTTCCAGCTGTTTGGTTGTCGCGCGCACGGCATCAAGCAGATCAAGGCCTTTTTTCAGGTACCTGTCCACCAGGTGAGCTACGGTTTCAGAATCAGTTTCAGATTCGAATTCATAACCCTCAGCCAGCAACTCATCACGCAAAGCTTCATAGTTTTCAATGATGCCGTTGTGCACGATACATACGCGATCGCTGGAAGCATGAGGGTGCGCATTATTTTCGGCAGGCACACCATGTGTTGCCCAGCGGGTATGCGCAATACCAATCTGACCGCGGACCGGCGAACGCTTGAGTTCGTTAACCAGCTCCTGAACTTTGCCAACCTTACGACGCCGAGAGAGGTTGCCGTTTTTCTCGATGACGGCAAGGCCGGCGGAATCATAGCCGCGATACTCGAGCCGTTTCAGGCCTTCCAATAATATTGGCGGCACATTTCTATCACCTACCGCGCCAACAATGCCGCACATTTTTACTGATTTCCTTTGCGCTTATCGGGACGAACCCAGCCTTTGATATTACGCTGCTTACCTCGCCCTACAGCAAGGTCTCCACTGGCCACTTTTGTGGTGATTGATGAACCTGCGGCAATAAAGGCACCGGATTCGATCTGTATCGGAGCGACCAGAGTCGAGTTAGTACCCACAAAGACATCGTCACCAATATGAGTTGGATGTTTGTTTATACCATCGTAATTACAGGTCACTGTGCCGGCACCGATATTACACTCAGCACCGATGGTGGCGTCTCCAAGATACGCCAGATGGCCAGCTTTGGTACCCGCGCCGAGGTGAGATTTTTTGACTTCAACAAAGTTACCTATCTTCACCCCGCTGTCGAGCCGGGTACCAGGGCGGATACGGGCAAACGGGCCCATAGAACAGTCCGCCGCAACAATTGCGCCTTCAACCACGGTATGCGCATGAACTTCGACGTTATCTCCCAGCACGCTATTGGAAATAACGGCGCCTGGACCGATGCGCACGCCGCGACCCAGCACAACCTCTCCCTCAAACACGACGTTGACATCAATAAAGCAATCTTCGCCGGCTGTGAGTTTGCCACGCAGGTCGAAACGACTCGGATCAGCCAGGCTGACACCCTGTGCCATGAGCTGATCTGCCTGATTGTGCTGATAGACTCTTTCCAGCGCAGCCAGCTGGGCGCGATCATTGATGCCCGCCACTTCGATGGGTGCGTGTGCTTCTATACCTGTGACGGTAATGCCGTCTGCAACGGCCATGGCAATCACATCGGTGAGATACAGCTCCCCTTGAGCGTTATCGGGCTGCAGGCTCGCCAGCCATGGAGCAAGTAAAGTTGCAGGAGCGGCCAGAATGCCCGAGTTAATTTCCTTTATGTCCCGTTCAGCGTCGCTGGCATCTTTATATTCAACAATACAGCGGATTTTGCCGTCGTCGTCCCGGACGATTCTTCCGAGCTGCGCGGCATCATCGAAGTGAGCGGTCACTAGTGCTACAGAGCCTGTTTTAGCAGCCTCTACCGTTCTAATTAGTGTGTCTTCCGTCACCAGGGGCACATCCCCATACAACACCAGCACCACACCTTCACCGGCTAAAGCCGACAAACCCAGTTGCACAGCATGGCCGGTACCGCGCTGCTCATCCTGCAGGACCCACTTCGGCCCCGGGGCGATTGACGCCTGCACCTGCTCAGCCTGGTGGCCAATAACAACAGCTATTTCTCGCGGATTTACACTCTGTGCGGTGTCCAGCACATGTTGCAGCAGGCTTTTACCCGCCAGCTGATGCAGGACTTTGGCGCGCTGTGAACGCATGCGCGTACCTTTGCCGGCAGCCAATACGACAACATCTGTATTCATGGTTAAACGGGACCTTTGTCCGGACAGGAAAGCTTAGATTATAGGGAGATAGGCATAAAAAAGGGGTGATGAACTCACCCCCTTTTGTAATGAAATGTTTCTAGCGGCGCAGTTTGCGTAATTCTTCGAGGGTACGCTGCTGTGCCATGGCCTCTGCCAGCATGGCCGCTGCTGCAGAAAAGTCGAAGTCTGCAGTACGGTCCGCAAAAGCCTTCTCGGCATGTTCGCGTGCCTCTTTCGCCTGAGCTTCATCAATATCGTCTGCACGCACAGCGGTGTCTGCCAATACCGTAATCACACCCGGCTGAATTTCAAGATAGCCACCAGATGCAAAAAATACCTCTTCCTCTCCATCTTCCATGGACAGAGTCACCGGACCAGGCTGAATGCCAGTGAGCAAAGGCGCGTGGCCCGGGTAAATACCCAGACCACCAATCGTGCCCACCGCGCTTAGCTTGGTGATGGTGCCTGAAAAGAGCTGCCGTTCGGCACTCACAATTTCACAATGCATGGTGGCCATAATCTATTCCTCGCGACTAAGTCTTGCAGACCTAGAGAGTTTTTGCCTTTTCGATCACGTCTTCCAGGCCACCTACCATGTAGAAGGCATCTTCCGGCAGGTGATCGTATTCACCTTCAAGGATCGCTTTAAAACTGCGCACAGTTTCTTCACTGGAGACAAACTTACCGGAGTTGCCGGTGAACTGTTCTGCCACAAAGAAAGGCTGAGAGAAGAACTTCTGAATTTTACGCGCACGATACACCAGGTTTTTATCGTCTTCAGACAATTCATCCATACCCAGAATCGCGATGATGTCTCGCAGTTCCTGATAACGCTGCAGCACCTGCTGGACTTCCTGCGCTACGCCATAGTGTTCTTCACCGACAATCAACGGATCCAGCTGACGGCTTGAAGAGTCAAGCGGGTCTACCGCAGGGTAAATACCCAGGTCGGTAATGGCTCGAGACAACGTCACGGTTGAGTCAAGGTGAGCAAACGTTGTGGCAGGAGAGGGGTCAGTCAGGTCATCGGCGGGTACATATACTGCCTGGATAGACGTAATAGACCCTTCTTTTGTGGTGGTAATGCGTTCCTGCAGAACACCCATCTCTTCAGCCAGGTTAGGCTGATAACCTACCGCAGATGGCATACGCCCAAGCAGTGCAGACACTTCGGTGCCTGCCAGGGTATAACGATAAATGTTATCAATAAACAGCAGTACATCACGGCCATCATCACGGAACTTTTCTGCCATGGTCAGACCGGTCAGCGCGACACGAAGGCGGTTACCCGGTGGTTCGTTCATCTGCCCGAAAACCAGAGAAATTTTATCGAGAACCTCAGCTTCTTCCATCTCGTAGTAGAAGTCGTTGCCTTCACGTGTTCGTTCACCAACGCCGGCAAATACCGACAACCCGGAGTGCTCAATCGCGATATTACGAATGAGCTCAAGCATGGTGACGGTTTTACCAACACCCGCACCACCAAACAAACCCACTTTACCGCCACGGGCAAAGGGGCAAATCAGGTCGATAACTTTAATACCTGTTTCCAGGATCTCGTTTCCACCCACCTGATCTTCATACTTGGGTGCTTTCCGGTGAATAGGCATATGCTGGCCCGCATTAATCGGGCCCTTTTCATCAATCGGGTTACCCAGAACGTCGACAATACGACCTAGGGTTTCCTCACCAACAGGAACAGAAATCGGCGCGCCGGTGTTTTCCACTTCCAGGCCGCGAGACAGGCCATCTGATACACCCATGGCGATGGTGCGGACAATGCCGTCACCCAACTGCTGCTGCACTTCCAAGGTCAAACCAACGTTATTGACGGTTAACGCGTCATATACCTTCGGTACATGGCCGCGTTCGAACTCAACGTCGATGACCGCCCCAATGATTTGTACGATACGACCGCTGCTCATGCTCTGCCTCTTTTCTTTAATTCGTTCTAACTAATGTGTTCTGTTTATTGGTCGGCAACGGTTAAACCGCCGCGGCACCACCAACAATTTCTGCAATTTCCTGCGTAATTGCCGCCTGTCGCGCGTTGTTATAAATCAACTGCAACTCATCAATCATTTTCTCTGCATTATCTGTCGCATTTTTCATGGCGATCATTTTTGCTGCCTGCTCACAGGCACCATTCTCAATAACAGCCTGATAAACGCGTGACTCAATAAACCGCATGACCAGCCCTTCAATGAGCTGTTTGGCATCTGGTTCGTAGATGTAATCCCAACGATGATGATAAGACTCATCATCTTCCGGATGAAGCGGCAACAACTGTCGGATCTCAGGAGATTGGGTCATGGTGTTAACAAAGTCGTTGCTGGCCAGGTACAGACGATCGATCTCGCCATTTTCGTACGCTTCCAACATGACTTTCACGCCGCCAATCAGATCTGCCAGCTCAGGCTTTTCACCAACATTAGACATCACCGCTTTGATGTTGCCACCCACTGCTCGGAAAAACGGTTGGGCTTTGTTACCAATCAGGCCCATATCAGCTTCTATACCTTTGGCATGCCACTGCGCCATGTCTTTAACCACAGCTCGAAACAGGTTTACGTTCAAGCCACCACACAGGCCCCGATCCGTGGATACGACGATATAGCCGACCCGCTTGATCTCGCGCTCTTCCATGTAAATGTGCTTGTACTCTGGGTTTGAGTTAGCCAGGTGACCAATCACACCACTGATACGCTCAGCATACGGTTTACCCTGAGCCATCTTGTCCTGGGTACGGCGCATTTTACTGGCCGCCACCATCTGCATGGCGCTGGTGATCTTCTGCGTATTACCTACGCTTTTGATCTTCGTCTTTATTTCTTTTCCGACTGCCATGAATGCGTCCTACTTAGAAGGATTGAGTCGCTTTGAACTTTTCGATTGCCGATTTCAGCGTCGCTACAACGTCATCGTTATAGGTACCGTTCTCGTCAATGTCATTCATAAAATCAGCATGTTCAGAACGCATGTAGCTGAGTAACGCTTCTTCGAAATCGAGTACTTTTTCCACTGGAACGTCCTGCAGAAAGCCTTCGTTAGCCGCAAACAGAGAAGTACCCATTTCTGCCACAGACATCGGTGAATACTGCTTCTGCTTCATCAGCTCGGTCACACGTTCGCCGTGTTCCAGCTGACGCCGTGTTGCATCATCCAGATCCGATGCAAACTGTGAGAACGCCGCCAGTTCACGGTACTGGGCAAGTGCCAGCTTGATACCACCGGAAATTTTCTTGATGAACGGCACCTGAGCCGAACTACCTACCCGTGATACGGATGTACCGGGGTTCATCGCCGGGCGTAAACCCGAGTTGAACGCCTGAGTTTCCAGGAAGATCTGGCCATCAGTAATTGAGATCACGTTGGTGGGTACAAACGCGGAAATATCACCCGCCTGGGTTTCAATGATCGGCAGAGCGGTCAATGAACCGGTTTTACCCTTAACTGCACCGTTGGTCTGCTGCTCTACATAATCAGCATTAACACGAGCAGCACGTTCAAGCAGGCGGGAGTGCAAGTAAAATACGTCACCAGGATAAGCTTCACGACCCGGCGGGCGCTTGAGCAGCAGTGAAATCTGGCGATAAGCCCAGGCCTGTTTCGTCAGGTCATCATAGATGATCAACGCATCTTCGCCATGGTCACGGAAGTACTCACCCATCGAACAACCGGCATATGGGGCAATGAACTGCATGGATGCAGGGTCTGCTGCGCCTGCTGCCACAACAGTGGTGTATTCCATGGCGCCGTACTCTTCGAGGGTACGCACAATGTTGGCCACGGTAGACATTTTCTGTCCAATGGCCACGTACACACACTTAATACCGCTGCGCTTCTGGTTGATGATGGCATCGATAGCAATTGCGGTTTTACCGATCTGGCGGTCTGAGATGATCAACTCACGCTGACCACGACCAATCGGCACCATCGCGTCGACACACTTCAAACCAATCTGTACAGGTTGGTCAACGGACTGGCGCGAGATAACGCCTGGGGCAACTTTCTCAATCGGCGCAGTTAACGTGACGTTAAGTGGGCCTTTACCATCGATGGGGTTACCCAGTGCATCTACAACACGGCCGAGCAGCTCGGGACCCACCGGCACTTCCAGAATTCGACCCGTACAGCGCGCCGTCATGCCTTCAGTCAGGTTTTCATAATCGCCAAGAACAACGACACCAACGGAGTCTCGCTCAAGGTTCAACGCCATGCCGTAGAGGCCGCCATCGAATTCAATCATCTCGCCGTACTGTGCTTCAGCAAGGCCGTGGATGCGCACGATACCGTCCGATACGCCGACAATGGCGCCTTCATTTTGCGCCTCTGCCTTAACATCTAAACCCTGAATCCGGTTCTTAATGATGTCACTGATTTCCGAGGGCTTCAGTTGCTGCATGGTGGCTTCCTTTTAAAAATCTTTTCTTACGTCTTACGTCGGTACAGTTAGCGCCGGTGCTTCCGGACTAAACCTGAACCAGGGTTTCGGCTAATTTATTCAATTTGCCGCGCACAGATCCGTCTATCACCACATCGCCGGCGCGAATGCGCGCACCGCCAAGCAGCGTCTCATCGACGCTCGCAACAATGGTAATGTCTTTATTAAAGCGACGGTTGAGCGCACTCTTAAGCGCGTTGCTCTGCTCATCAGTGAGCGGAAAAGCAGATATCACTTCAACATCGAGGCTGCGTTGCTCTTCAGCCCGCAGCGCTTCAAATTGTTCACGCACCTCACCAAGCAATGGCAGACGATCATTATCTGCCAGCGACTGCAGGAACAATCGCCCTGATACCTGAATATCGTCACCACAAAGATCAGCCAGCTGCTGGGCTTTCGCTGCAGCCGGAATCCCCGGGTTATCCAGCAATAGCTGAACTCTTTCGTCTTGCGTGATGCTATCAAGCAACGCCAGGGTTTCTGACCAGGCATCAAGGCTTGCGTCGCGCTTGGCCATGTCGAATACAGCATTCGCGTAGGGACGTGCTATCGTTGCAAGTTCAGCCATGGTTTATAGCTCTGCCGCGAGGCGCTTGATCATGTCCTCATGTTTTGAGGCATCAATGCTGTCTTCCAGCACACGTTCCGCACCGGTAATCACCAGCGTCGATACTTGTGTACGCAAGGTCTCTTTCGCACGATTCACTTCCTGTTCTATATCGGCGCGAGCCGCTTCGATCAGTCGTTCACCTTCTGTACGCGCACTGCCTTTTGCTTCTTCAACCATCTGGTTAGCACGAGCACGGGCTTGCTCAATAATGCCGGCCGCCTCTTCTTTTGCTCTGGCCAGTTCTGCTTCAGCGCCGCTGGCAGCATCTGCCAGCTTTTTGTCCGCTTCTTCTGAAGCGCGCAAACCGGCGGCAATGGCCTCCTGACGTTCGCGCATCATGGTCACCACAGGTGGCCATATATACTTCATGCAGAACCAAACAAAGACACCAAAAGTCAGTGACTGGCCGATTAAGGTTGCGGTTAGATTCATCGCAATTCTCTAGTTGTTAACGTGGTGATCGGCAGCGATTGCTTGAGCTGACGCTGCGTAGCGCGTATCAGGCGCCTTAAGCTACCGCGAAGATAACGTAGAGGCTGATACCAACAGCGATCATCGGGATCGCGTCGATCAGACCCACTACGATGAACAGCTGGGTTCGCAGCATCGGCAACAGTTCGGGTTGGCGCGCTACGGCTTCAAGGAATTTTCCACCCAAGAGGCCCATACCAACGGCTGCACCCACCGCACCGAGACCCATTAAAAGTGCTCCTGCGAGATATAAAAGCCCTGCTAGTTCCATGATTACTCCAGTTTCGAGTTATTGTTTGACGGCTAAGCCGCGGTGCACCCAAACGATGCGAAATTTATTGATCCAAAATTAATACTAGTGCTCATCCACGTCGTGGGCTTGAGCAAGGTACACAACCGTGAGTACCGCAAAAATAAATGCCTGTAATGAGATGACCAGAATGTGGAACACAGCCCACACCCATTGCAGCACGCCACCAAAGATGAAGAATCCAATACCCGCGCCAAACATCAACGCAATCAGAATAAAGATCATCTCACCCGCGTACATGTTGCCAAACAGCCGCAGCCCTAATGACAAAGGCTTGGCGATAAGCGTGACACCTTCCAGGATAAAGTTGATGGGAAACATAAAAGGTGGAAAAGGGTGAAACATCAGTTCTTTCAGGAAGCCAATGCCACCTTTGCACTTAATGCTGTAGTAAATAATCATGCCGAACACAGTGAGCGCCATCGCCATGGTGATGTTGGGGTCTGTGGTGGGCACAATCTTGAAATAAGGCGCACCCAGAGCAGAGGCCAGTGATGGAATCCAGTCCACCGGTATCAGGTCCATCAGGTTCATCAGAAACACCCACACAAAGATGGTCAGTGCAAGCGGGGCAATTAAATCGTTTTTATGCTGGAAAACACTGTCGGTGGTTTCTTCGATGAACTCAATAATCATCTCAACAAAGTTCTGCAATCCACCGGGCACACCAGACGTTGCTATGACAGCGGCACGTCGGAACAGAAAAGAAAACACCAGGCCTAAACCAATTGCCCATGCCATGGAGTCCACGTTCAGGGACCAGAAACCCATGCCCGCGACTTCTTCAGCCGTTTGCGCAAAACCCCAGGAACCGTCAGGCAACTGGCCATAGGTCAGGTTTGTCAGGTGATGCGCAATATACTCTTCTGCACTTCCGGCCATTAATGTGTCCTGGCTTTTAGGTTATTTTCCGATCTCTAACTTACTTAGCTTTTCTAGGCGCTAAGAAGCTCAACTGCATCAGGGCAAATGTGCTAAAAAATCCCAGCGGCTCAATGGCCGTTAGGACAATGCACAGCGCCAGCGCCGTCATTGTCAGCACACTCCGCAATACGCCATGAAGAAGCAGGCGTCCTGCGTTTAAGGTGCGACCCAGAACCCAGGCGTAATACGCGGTGGGTACCAGGCTCGACATTCCTGCCAGGAGCGCAGATCGTCCCTGATCGAGGTGATAGGCTGAAAAAGCGCCTACACACACAATTCCGATCATTGCTTGTATCGCGACAATCCGCCCTGGATGACTCATCTGCTGGTAAATCCTGCTAACGAGGCCAAATCAGGCGGCGCGTATTATAGTGAGGCAGCCGAAACCATTCAATGAAAAGCGTGAATAAAATGTGCGATTTTGGCAAAGCACTGATCCTGATCTATTCCTCTATACCGAGGTGTTTTAAAACGCCATCAAGTTCATCGAGGTTTGAGTACTTTATGGTCAGCTCACCACCACCTTGAGCGGCGTGTTTAATGCGCGCTGGCGCTCCGATCTGTTCGGTTATACGGCGCTCCAGGCGAGCAGTATCAGGATCCTGTCGCACTGGTGCGGCAGGCGCTGTGGATTTTCGGTCCTGGGATAGACTGCGGATAAGTGTTTCGGTCTGGCGCACCGATAAGCTTTTATCTACGACATGCGCCGCGGTCTGGTCCTGTGTCAAACCGTCCAACGCAAGCAGCGCCCTGGCATGGCCCATTTCCAGCGCGCCACGCTCCAGTAAGCCGCGGGTCACTGAACCCAGATTCGTTAATCGTAAAAGATTAGCAATTGCTGCCCGGGATTTACCCACTGAATCTGCAATTTCCTGTTGCGTAAGGTTGAATTCATCGCGTAACCGCGCCAGGCCCAGTGCCTCTTCCATGGCATTCAGGTCTTCCCGCTGCATGTTTTCAATCAGTGCAAGGGCAGACGCCTGCTCATCCGACACAGTTTTGACAACTGCAGGGATCTTGGTCATTCCCGCACGTTTTGCCGCACGCCAACGCCGCTCACCAGCGATCAACTCATAGCCGCCATTGGCCTTTTTGCGCACCACGATCGGTTGTAACAGGCCCTGGCGCGCGATCGAGTTAGCCAGGTCCTGCAGCGCTTCTTCTGCAAACTGCCGTCGCGGCTGATAGGGGCTGGGAGTGATGGCCGTTATATCGATACCGGATTCAACTGTGGACTGGGCTGCCTGTCCGACGGCGGCTGACTGCACCGCGCTGGAATCGTCACCTGCACCTTTCTGATCCTGGGTGCCGCTGGGTTTACGCTCTGACAGCAGAGCATCCAGCCCGCGACCCAATCTTTTCTTACTCATCTGGTCCGTCTACTCATATCGTGCGGCAAGTTTAGCGCCTCGCTTTAATGCGGCAGGGCGCTGCGTTGGTGTTTCTGTCGAAATTCTCCTGCGAGTGCCATGTAGGCGACGGCCCCTCGAGAGGTTCTATCATAAAGAATCGCGGGCAAACCGTGACTGGGTGCTTCAGCCAATCGCACATTTCTGGGAATAACCGTACGGAACACCTGATCACCAAAGTACTTTATTAACTGTCGAGACACATCACGGGTCAGGCTGTTACGGGGGTCATACATGGTGCGCAAAATACCTTCAACCACAAGGTCCGGGTTCGGCCCACTTTGAATCCCCTCTACGGTTTCCAGCAGGGCAGACAAACCTTCCAGCGCGTAGTATTCGCACTGCATCGGGATCAGCACACCATCTGCCGCCACCAGTGCGTTGACCGTCAATATACTCAAACTGGGTGGGCAATCGATGATGACATAGTCGTAAGCCTGTGCCTGGGCCTGCAACCGCTGACGTATCTGAAATTCACGCCCCTCAGATTGCATGAGGTGAACTTCCGCCGCTGTTAAATCCAGGTTCGACGGCAACACGTCAAAACCACCCTGACAATGCACAACTATTTCACTGGCAGGTTTATCTTCCACCAGCCATTCGTAAGTCGTGGCGAGATCAGTGTTTTTATCTATACCGCAACCCATGGTTGCATTGCCTTGAGCATCCAGATCAACCAGCAGGACCTTACCGCCAGATAGCGCAAGCGAGGCGGCCAGATTAACGCTGGTTGTTGTTTTGGCAACGCCCCCTTTCTGATTGGCAACAGCCACTACTCTTGTCATGCGTGTGCCATGATTAAAATACTGTGGCGCCGCTCAAGACCAGCCACATTATAGATGTAGCGATCAGCCTGTACCTTTGTGGAATCTGCCAGGGTTGATGCTGCAGGGAGCTGCTCGTCTTCTTCCATATTCATCTGTGTGCTCTCGTATACCAGTATCCGGCCGGCTGCTGAAACGTGTTTCCCCACCATAGCCCAAACCTCTGGAGCTGTCGTTACACCCCGGGCGGTTATCGTGTCGTACATATCATCGTCAGCAATCATCTGCCCGAAATCACCTTCCGCCACCTCAACATGATCCAGCGACAGGTTGCGAACAACCTGTTTAAGAAAGCGCACGCGACGACTGCTGCGATCGAGCAACAGGAAACTGCGTTCAGGCGCCGCTATTGCCAGCGGTATACCGGGTAAACCTGCGCCGGAGCCTAAATCTAATATGCGCTTTCCCTGCAGCAGAGGTACACCCGCCAGCGAGTCCAATAGATGTCTGGGTAACAGCCGTTTAATATCCTACCGGGATACCAGGTTAAAAGTTTTATTCCACTTCTCCACCAACGCTGCGTATTCAAGCAGTTGGTCCTGCTGGCTGTCGCTTAAAGTCAGATCCAGCTGCGCAAGTCCGGTAGACAGTTGTTTAAGTTGAACGTTCAGGACGCTGCTGCTTTTTTTGCGTGAACTAACAAAATAGACAACGCAGCCGGCGTCATCCCCGGTATTCTTGCCGCCCGGGCCAGAGTAGCAGGTTGATTCTGCTCCAGCTTCTGGCGCAACTCATTGGATAAGCCGTCTATGCCTTCGTAACGCATGTTGGTCGGGATAACCATACTTTCGTGACGGCGTATTTTTTCAATCTCATCTTCCTGACGAGAAATATAACCTGCATACTTTGTTTCTATCATGACCTGTTCTATCAGGCTGATGTCTACCTCCGGGAACAGTTGTGCAAAGTTCTGTGTCGTCACTTCCGGACGTCTCAGCACCGCAGCTAACTCTGTATGTTTATTCAGAGATACGCCCAACATTTTTTCTTCGTTGGAGGCGGGTACTACACGAGTCGCACCAACATCTTTATGCAACGAACCTAACCCAGCCAGCTTTTTCTCAAATGCCTGGGCTCTGTCTGTACCTACTACACCCAGCACAACACCAGTTTGCGTTAACCGCTGGTCTGCATTGTCCTGTCTTAAACGCAGACGAAATTCCGCACGACTGGTAAACATACGATATGGTTCGCTGGTACCCAGATTGATCAGATCATCTACCAACACGCCTATGTACGCTTCATCACGACGGGGTTCCCAGGGCATTTCACCCCGCACACTACGAGCAGCGTTAATGCCTGCCAGCAAACCTTGCGCACCCGCTTCTTCATAACCTGTGGTGCCGTTAATCTGACCCGCAAAATATAGCCCGCTGATCGCTTTTGTCTCTAACGAATAATTCAAGTCTCGAGGATCAAAGTAGTCGTATTCAATGGCGTAACCCGGTCTGGAAATATGTGCATTTTCAAACCCTTTTATGCTGCGCACAAACTGCAACTGCACATCAAACGGCAGGCTGGTAGAAATACCGTTGGGATAAAGCTCCGTTGTGTTGAGACCTTCAGGTTCAATAAAAATCTGATGCGATGTTTTGTCTGCAAAACGCACAACTTTATCTTCAATACTGGGACAGTAGCGAGGGCCAACTCCTTCAATAGCACCGCTGTACATCGCAGATCGTTCTATATTGTTCTGGATGATGTCGTGAGTCTGTGCGTTTGTTTCTGTAATGTAGCAGTCAACCTGTCGTGGGTGTGTGGCAGGATCACCCAACAATGACATCGTCGGTCTCGGATCGTCACCTGGTTGTGCCTGCAGCTCGCTGAAGTCAACCGTGCGTCCATCAATGCGCGGCGGGGTACCGGTTTTCAAGCGACCCACTCTGAATGGCAAGGCGCGCAAGCGCTCGGCCAACGCAATCGAAGGAGCATCTCCTGCACGTCCACCAGCATGGTTTTCTGTGCCGATATGAATTTTTCCACCTAGAAAGGTACCCGTGGTCAACACAATACTGTCACAGGAAAAGCGCAACCCCATCTGTGTATCAACGCCTTTTACACGATCATTTTCTATCACAAAGTCGGTAACCGACTGCTGGAAGATATGCAGATTGGGCTGGTGTTCTAACAGATCACGTATGGCGTTTTTGTACAAAGCCCGATCCGCCTGAGCACGGGTAGCTCTTACAGCCGGTCCTTTACTGGCGTTCAATACCTTGAAATGTATGCCTGACAGATCTGCGGCTTTACCCATCAGACCATCCATGGCGTCAATTTCAGCCACCAGATGACTCTTACCAATACCACCAATAGCTGGATTGCAGGACATCTGACCTATGGTTTCAATATTCTGGGTCAACAATAGCGTCCGCACGCCCATGCGCGCCGACGCAGCGGCTGCTTCCGTGCCTGCGTGGCCGCCGCCGATGACAATTACATCAAAATGGTCTGGATACAGCATTATGTGCCTGAATACCCTGGTAAATTCGGCCGCAAAGTATAGTGGCTGTTAGTCTGATTGGAAGCGCTGAAATTAGCCAGGCACTTAACCACCTGGAGAGATGCCGGGTTACTTGCCTATACAGAATTCACTGAATATTCGGCCCAACAGGTCATCCGGGGTAACCGTTCCAACAATTTCACCCAGGGCATTGTGGGCAAAACGCATCTCTTCGGCTGCTATCTCGGTGTCTTCACCCAGATCTATGAGTCGTTTTGCCTCATCCAGATGGTCCAGGGCCAGCTCCAGTGCAGCCACATGCCTGGCACGAGCAATAAACCCGCTTTCGCTTTGATTAAAACCCAGTCTATCTTTGATAGCGGCACGCAGATTCGACAATCCGGTGCCCTGTAAAGCAGACACCTGCACAATGATGAAGTCGCCGGCAAACGCTGTTTCCGGTTCTGGCAACAGGTCGATTTTGTTGAGAACCACGATGGCAGGAAGTGAGTCCAGATCTACATTCACGCTGCTGAGCAGATCCGAGACATAAGCATCTAACCCGGTGGCTGCTATGGCAGTGGCATCCACGACTATCAGCAGAAGATCCGCCTGCTGAGCCTGAGCCTTGGCGCGGGCTACACCCATCTGCTCTACTTGGTCAGCACTCTCGCGCAGTCCGGCAGTATCCACCAGACGCAGGGGCAACCCATCCAGCAGTAAGTCGACTTTCAGTAGATCCCGGGTGGTCCCGGGTATATCTGTGACAATAGCGGCTTCTTCACCGGACAGCACGTTCAGCAAACTGGATTTCCCTGCATTTGGCGCCCCAAGCAGAGCAACAGATGCGCCTTCGTTCAACAATTGACCCTGCACAGAATCCAGCTTGAGTTGCTGCAGGCGGTCAATACCCTGTTGTAGACGCGCCACAACCTGACCTGTCTGCAGAAATTCAACGTCTTCATCAGGAAAATCTATACAGGCTTCCACCAGTACCCTGAGTTTGGCCAGATGTTCAGCAACGCCATGAACCTCATTGGAAAAAGCCCCCTGTAGTGAGCGCACTGCAGCGCGCGCCGCAGCCACTGAAGAACTGGAGATAAGGTCCGCTATGGCTTCGGCCTGAGCTAAATCAAGTTTTCCATTTAGAAACGCGCGTTCACTGAATTCTCCTGGTCTGGCCAGACGGGCGCCATGCTGGCAAACCAGGTCAAGCAGCCGCTGCAGTACAACCGGGCCACCATGACCCTGGAGTTCTACTACTTCTTCACCGGTGAATGATGCGGATTGCGCAAAGGCAATGGCAATGCCTTCATCGATTACTTCATGACCGTCGCTGAATTTACAGTAGGTTGCATGCCTGGGTACCAGCGTCTGATTACAGATTGACCTGGCGACTTCAGCGGCACCCCTGCCTGATAATCGGATAACACCGATACCTCCCTGACCCGGAGGCGTGGCAACGGCCGCTATCAGATCATCGTGCAGAGAAGTGGCCACTGCATTACCTAAGACTTAGCAGCTTGAGCTTTTTCAACTTTTTTGTAGACATATTGCTGCTGTGCAATAGACAACACGTTGTTGACCAACCAGTACAGCACCAGACCGGCGGGGAAGAACAGAAACAGCACGGTAAACATGATGGGCATCATCTTCATCATTTTGATCTGCAATGGATCACCAACCTGGGGGTTAAGAGTCTGCATCCAGTACATGCTGGCACCCATTAACAACGGCAGGATGAAAAACGGATCCATTACCGCGAGATCGTTGATCCACAGGAAAAACGGTGCCTGGCGCAGTTCAACGGATTCAAACAGTACCCAGTAAAGCGCAATAAAAATCGGCATGGGCAGCAACATGGGCAGACAGCCGCCCAGGGGGTTGGCACCTTCTTTTTTATACAGTGCCATCATTTCTTTAGACAACTTCTCGCGATCGCTGCCGTAACGTTCCTGCAATCGCTTCATCAATGGCGCCACACGACGCATGTTGGCCATTGATCTATAACCTGCTGCTGACAGCGGATATAAAACGACTTTCACTACCACTGTGAGCAGGATGATGGCCAGCCCCCAGTTGCCTACCAGACCGTGCAGGAAATCAAGCAGATAGAACAGGGGCACAGCAATCCACCACAGAAATCCGTAGTCCACGGTGAGGTTCAGGTTCTCTGCAATCTCTTCCAGACGTTTCTGGTCTTTAGGGCCCGCATAAAACTGTGCATCCCAGGTACCTGTCGCGCCGGGCGCTACCTGTTGCAGTGGGCTGGTAAAGCCAAACAGGTAGGTGCCATCTGCGCTGCGACGCGCGTTGAAGCGGTTGGTTTGTTCTGCTGGCGCAATCCAGGCAGACAGAAAATAGTGCTGTAGAAAAGCAATCCAACCCCCGTTCAGCGTTTCATCAAGAGGGCCATCATCATCAATGTCTTCAAAATCGACCTTTTTATAACGCTCATCCAGGGTAGTCAGCGCCGCGCCGAGGTAAGGTCTTGGCGCTAGAGCAAATGAATCCTGATTTGGCGGCGGGCGGGTATCGCGCTTGATTTGCGCAAACATCGCCGCTTGTTTGGTTGCACTACTGAGATTAGCGAGTTCGAAACGTACATCAACCAGATAGTCATCACCGCGGAATGTGAAGACTTTATCCATGCGCACACCATCGGCTACATGACGCAGAACTACTTCTTTTTCTTCGCCAGCTGCAATCCTCACTTTGCTTTGCTCTGTGGTGTAAACCGCTCGTCCGGGCCCAGCATCCGGGCCATCCGGACCAATCAGACCACTTTGTGCAATGTAGGTTTGCGATGCTGAGTTGTTTAACAGCTGAAAATGAATGTCTGGTTGGTCAATTTCAATAGGAAATTCAGGCAGCTGTACACGGACGATGTCGCCTCCCACCAGATCAATCCAGACGTGCAAAGTAGGCGTGGTGACCTCCAGCAGATTCGAAGCAGCGGGCAAAGCAGTTATGGTGCTCGGGTCCACGGACGCAGTGTTACCCGGAGCAAGCAGGGAAGCATCAGGTATATCGCTGCCGCTTGCTGAAGGTGATGCCTGAGTTTGCGGTAAATCCCCTACAGTGACAGCGGGTGTATCCATGCCGTTAACGGACAAAGGTGCTTCGTCATAATGTACCGGTGCTTTCGCTTCCTGCATGTCATCGTTCCAGGCCAGAATCATTAAATAGCCTGTAGCGGCAAGCGCAACCAGCAGCACAATACGTTGGATTTCTGGAGGTAACATGATCTTTCCTATTTAGCGCTGCTTGGACGCGATGGTTTGCCGTTAGCCTGTGGCACTTCGTCGATGCCACCTGGATGAAAAGGCTGGCATTTGCTGAGTCTCTTAACTGTTAACCACAGACCTTTAGCAAGCCCGTGAGTTGATATGGCGTGGATTCCGTAGTGTGAACAAGTGGGATAAAAACGACACTGATTGCCCAGCCAGGGGCTCAGCGTTATCTGATATAAGCGTATACAACCTACTCCGAACCGAGCAGCTAGACCCAACCTGGCAGCGGGAAGTGCTGGCTTGTTGTTGTTGACCTGACAACTATCTGTCATGGCTAACTGTTGGTGAGTATTTACTGTCAAAGCTATCCCAATTCACGAGCGATACGTAAAAACTGTTTATCTAGCAAGGTAACAAGCTGTGCGTCTTCAATTTGCCCAAACACCTGTACCACGATATCCACGTCTGGCAATTGAAGCCTTTGTGCTCTGAAACGCTCCCTTATCAGGCGTTTCAAACGATTACGCCGATTAGCTCTAGGGTTGCCTTTCTTGCTGACCACCAAGCCTAGCCGAGCGCAGCGCATTCTATTTGAAAATGCGCGAATACGTAACGGACCGGTGGAAAGATTTATCTCTGAGTTTCTGAATACCGCTGTGAATTCAGCAGCGTTTGACAGTCGTGACGATTTTGGGAACGTAGTCACCACACTTACCTGCACTTGTTTGTGTCTGGTTACGTCAGTTTACGTGAGGAGCGGGCTCTATCTTGGAGCAAACCTGCGTTATTAGCTTGCTGCACCATTGTCTTAGACTGGTTAGGCCTGTTACAGATTAAACTGCTATGCGCTTACGACCTTTAGCTCGACGTGCATTAAGCACTTTACGGCCTGCTTTAGTGGCCATTCGTGAACGAAAGCCATGGGTACGTGCACGTTTCAGATTACTGGGCTGAAATGTTCTTTTCATGTCCTACTCAACTTGGCCATCGAAAATACGGGTGCGAGATTCTATGGACACGTGTCTTAGGAGTCAAATAATAAGATAGTTATATATTAAAGAATTATTGTTGTTGTTTGTTTAGGGAGGCCATGCCTGTGGTTAAGTGGTTTAAGTTGCTGAAACGCATAGCCTAACCTGGCGGTTTAGGTTGTGGAAAATAGGCTTTGGGGACTGTGCGTAAAGACCATTGAGTTTGTGTGTAAGTCGTTTGCCAGAAGTTATCCACAGGTTCTTCAGCAGGTTGCGCACAAACTGCGAACGGGGGGTGACAGAACCCTTCTGCTGATGACCGCTGTAAGCAATTGAATTTACTGAGGTAGATTTTTTTTGCAGGGTTTTTGCAAGTTCTGCATAGCTATTTTAAGTCGCTTAAGCTTAAATAAATTCGTTCGCTGCCTCATCAATCCTTCCTGATGGTTCGCGCGTAGCTCCACCCCGTTGGCTAACTTGTCAACCCAATAAAGGGCGGTGTTTGCGACCCTGAAGAAAGAGTAAACAGCTGAAGCTGGTGTGATTGACAGGCGAAATAAGAAATAAAAATATTTATAGCGCTGGACAAAAAGACGGCGCAAATGTCTTGGGGGCATGTTTAGTGGGACATAGCATTTGGCAACAGTGCTTAGGTAGGCTCGCCGATGAAATTGCAGAAGACCAGTTTGATACATATATCAAACCCCTGCAGGTTCGAATAGATGATGGTTCAGTATCGCTTCTTGCGCCGAATATCTATGTAGAAGATGAAGTGCGACAGACCTATCTGCAGCGTATCCAGGATCTGGTCAGCCAGGTCAGTGGTATAGATGAAGAATTAGAAATTATGTTGAGTGTGGGGCAAAGCCTGCCTGGCGTGCCGCTGCGAGCAGATGGTCTGCGGCAGACACCAAAACCTACGCACAATCTGAATGGTGAGTTTACCTTCGACACATTTGTAGAAGGTAAGTCGAATGAGTTGGCTAAAGCGGCATCGCTGCAGGTCGCCAGCAATTCAGGGATCGCTTATAACCCGCTGCTGTTATACGGGGGTGTTGGTCTAGGCAAGACACACCTGATGCAGGCGGTTGGTAACGAAATACTGAAAGTTAACCCTGATGCAAAAGTGGTATACCTGCATTCGCAGAAGTTTGTACAGGATATGGTTAAAGCGCTGCAGCAAGGTACCATGCAGGATTTCATGCAGTATTACCGCTCTGTAGATGCACTGCTGATAGACGATATTCAGTTCTTCGCAAAAAAACTGCGATCTCAGGAAGAATTTTTCCACGTCTTTAATGCACTGCTTGAGCGTGGTCATCAGATGGTGTTGACCTGTGATCGTTATCCACGAGAGATTGATGGTCTTGAAGATCGGCTGAAGTCGCGTTTTGTGTGGGGCTTGACGGTTGAAGTAGAGCCACCAGAGTTGGAAACCCGCGTTGCTATTCTGATGAAAAAAGCTGAAGCCGAGCGGGTTGACCTGGATCCGGCGGTTGCGTTTTTTATCGCGGAGCGAATTCGTTCTAACGTGCGTGAACTGGAGGGTGCACTACGGCGGGTTATAGCAAACGCCCGTTTTACAGGCGCGCATATCAGTATCGAACAGGTTAAACGTGCCCTGCGGGATTTGTTTGCCATTCAAGACCGGCAAATATCTATTGATAATATTCAACGTACCGTTGCTGACTATTACAATATTAAAATTGCGGACCTGTTATCTAAACGGCGCAATCGGACAATCGCCCGACCTCGCCAGGTGGCGATGGCGCTGGCCAAAGAGTTAACAAATCACTCCTTACCGGAAATTGGTGATGCGTTTGGCGGAAGGGACCATACAACAGTGCTGCACGCCTGCCGCAAGGTTGCTGAACTACGTGAATCCAGCATTGACCTAGCGGAAGACCATAAAAATTTATCACGACAACTATCGGGCTAGCCGAGGACATCATGAAATTTACAATTCAACGTGAACAACTACTTCGCCCGTTGCAGTTGGTCACCGGAGTGGTTGAACGCAGGCAGACTTTGCCTGTGTTATCGAACCTTCTATTTAAGGCGAAAGATAATCGTCTTGAAATTACCGGTACAGACCTGGAAGTTGAATTGGTTGCGGAATGTGACGCGGATGTTCAGCAGCCGGGTGAGGCTACGCTGCCAGCAAGAAAACTGGCAGATATATGGCGTTCATTAGGTGATGGCTCAGAAGTTACTGTAAGTGTTGAGGCTGATCGGGCGATCGTGCGATCTGGACGCAGCCGGTTTACGCTTGCAACATTGCCCGCAGAAGATTTTCCGAAAGTGCCCGGCGGCGAAGCCGATGTTGCGCTGCAGCTTAAGCAAGCCGACGTCCGTGGTCTGATTGATGAAGTGGGCTTTGCTATGGCTCAACAGGATGTGCGCTATTTTCTCAATGGCATGTTGTTTGAAGTAACCGGTGAGCATATTCGTGCCGTTGCTACAGATGGTCACCGGCTGGCGATGAGCACCAAAGATTGCAGCAACCCTGGTGTTGCACAAAGGGTGCAGGCTATTGTACCTCGAAAGGGTGTTTTAGAGCTGGCCAGGCTTTTAGATGGCGAAGGTGAAACTATTGAGTTGCAGTTGGGTGGTAACCACCTTCGCGCAAAAACAGGGGAATATACCCTGACAACCAAGTTAGTGGATGGCCAGTTTCCGGATTATGAAAAAGTTGTTCCAACCGATGGCTCAAGAGCACTGGTCGGAGATCGCGAAACTCTGCGGCATGCATTTCAGCGTGCTGCAATTCTGTCCAATGAAAAATACCGTGGCGTACGGCTGATTGTTGCACCGGAGTTGTTAACCATTCAGGCTAACAACCCGGAGCAGGAAGAGGCTGAAGAGATTGTTGCTGTTGAGTTCAATGGTGATGAGCTCGAAATTGGATTTAACGTGAGCTATCTACTCGATGTGCTTGGTGTTCTGCAAACTGATTCAGTCAGGTTGAGTGTTTCAGATGCCAACAGTTCAGCCCTGATAGAGGGTATAGGCAACGAGTCAGCGAGTTACGTTGTTATGCCTATGAGGCTGTAAGGCCCGTAACAAGTGCACCTTCAGCGCTTGCATATCTTTAATTTTCGTAATTTTGTTGATCAGGAGATAGAACTCAGTCCTGGGTTCAACTATCTGTCCGGCGATAATGGTGCTGGAAAAACGGCACTGCTTGAAGCCATACACGTGCTGGCTAGAGGTAGATCTTTCAGAACGCACAGAATCCAACCGGTGGTCCGACAGGGTGAAATCGCGCTGGTGGTTACTGGCGAGGTTGTATCCGACGAAGGTGTGATCACAAAGCTGGGCACCCAACGCAGTACAAGTGGTACAACTGAATTGCGGTTAGGCGGCGAAAAAACAGCAAAGGCCTCCGCTCTGGCGCAGATTTTACCGATTCAAACCCTGCTGCCTGACGCGGCAGACCTGGTCCTAGGTTCGCCAGGCGGGCGCAGAGCGTTTCTGGACTGGGGTTTGTTTCACGTGGAACAAACCTTTCTTGAATCGTCTGGGTATTATCGGCGTGTCCTCAGCCAGCGTAACGCCTGGCTTAAACAGCTTGCAACGTCCCAGTCGACGATTGCAGAGGATCCCTGGTTTCAGCAATACCGTGATTATGCGATCAGTATCAGCACTTCACGAGCTAAGTACGTAGCTGGGCTCTCACTGGTATTCCGCGGGCTCATGAAGGAATTGAACGCCAGTCTCGACGTGGAGTTGAGCTATGACTGGGGTGGCCTTGTGTCTGCTGAAGACGCAGATAAAAAAGTGAGCGAATCTTATGCGCGCGATGTAAAATTCGGGGCGACACAGAGGGGGCCTCATCGGGGTGATTTGGTGTTCACTACGAATGGGCGTCCCGCAGTGGATGTGGTTTCACGGGGGCAGGCAAAACTGATCGCTAGTGCAGTGCTACTGGCACAAGCGAAGCTACTCAGCGATCGAATCGGACAGCGACTTGTTTTCCTGATCGATGATTTTGGAGCTGAACTCGATGGAAATCGATGGCAGCAATTAGTAAGCACGTTGCTTACTTTAGATTGTCAGGTAATTGCTACCTCGACCGAAGCGCTGGATTTAAGCGCGGATTGGGTTAAACAACTGCCCGGTTTGAAAGTGTTTCACGTGGAACAAGACCGGATAGACCCGCTACCCATACCCCTATAGGGCAAAGGACAATATGTCAGACGAAAATAAGTACGATTCCGGCAGTATCACTGTATTACGCGGTTTAGACGCCGTTCGAAAGCGGCCGGGTATGTACATAGGTGATACTGAAGATGGCACGGGGCTGCACCATATGGTGCAGGAACTGGTTGATAACGCCATTGATGAGGCTTTAGCCGGCCACTGCGATGAAGTATTTGTAGTTATGCATCCAGAAGAGGCCATTACCGTTAAAGATAACGGGAGAGGCATCCCGGTAGATATTCATCCGGAAGAAAACGTCAGTGCTGCAGAGGTTATTATGACCACCTTGCATGCCGGCGGTAAGTTTGATGAAAACAGCTACAAGGTTTCAGGCGGGTTGCACGGCGTGGGCGTATCTGTGGTAAATGCCCTGTCAGAGCGACTTCTGCTGACCGTACGTCGGGATGGCAAGGTTTACGAGCAGGAGTATCGCGACGGTGTCCCCCAGGCACCGGTCAGAGAAGTTGGCGAAACTACCCAGAAAGGCACCGAGTGTTATTTTAAGCCTTCTCCTGAAACCTTTCCTAACCCGGTTTTTCAATACGAAATATTGGCAAAGAGACTGCGCGAACTGGCCTTCCTTAATTCAGGTGTACGCATCAACCTGATTGATGAACGCACTGGCAAAGAGGACCTTTTTTACTATGAAGGTGGCCTGAAAGCGTTTGTTGAATACCTGAATCGCAATAAATCCACTGTAAACGAAGAGTTTCACTTCAACATCCAGCGAGAAGATGGCATAGGTGTTGAGGTTGCGATGCAATGGAATGACTCTTTTCAGGAGCAGGTATTCGCTTATACCAACAATATCCCTCAAGGAGACGGCGGCACCCATATGGCAGGCTTCCGGGCAGCCCTGACTCGAACTTTAAATACGTATATAGAGCGCGAAGGGTTGCTGAAAAAAGCACAGGTCACCACAACGGGTGATGATGCTCGTGAGGGCCTAACCGCAGTGGTATCCGTAAAGGTACCAGACCCTAAATTTTCTTCGCAGACGAAAGAGAAGCTTGTCTCCAGCGAAGTGAAAACAGCGGTAGAGCAGGAGTTGTACAAATACTTCTCTCAATACCTGGAGGAGCGCCCACAGGATGCTCGCGCTTTAGTTGGAAAAATGATTGATGCGGCTCGCGCCCGCGAAGCGGCGCGCAAAGCCCGAGAAATGACCCGCCGCAAAGGTGCGCTGGATATTGCAGGGTTGCCCGGTAAGCTTGCTGATTGCCAGGAAAAAGACCCCGCTCTCTCTGAACTGTTCCTGGTGGAGGGCGATTCAGCGGGAGGCTCAGCGAAACAAGGTCGAGACCGAAGGACTCAAGCCATACTGCCTTTACGGGGCAAAATCCTGAATGTTGAGAAAGCACGCTTTGACAAAATGCTGGGCTCTCAGGAGGTTGGTACGCTGGTCACGGCGTTGGGCTGCGGTATTGGTCGGGATGAGTTCAATATAGATAAGTTGCGCTATCACAGCGTAGTGATCATGACCGATGCGGATGTGGATGGTTCGCACATAAGAACATTGCTACTAACATTTTTCTTTCGTCAGATGCCCGAGCTGCTGGAAAGAGGCCATATCTTTATTGCGCAACCACCTTTGTATAAAGCCAAGAAAGGTAAACAGGAACGCTACGTTAAAGATGATGATGAACTGACAGCATACTTCCTGGAGCTGGCACTGCAGGATGCCAAGCTTTTTGTAAATAACGAAGCGCCGCCCATTCAGGGCGAAGCGTTAGAGACTTTAGTTGTACAAATGCAGGACGTGCTGAAACGCTTAACTCGTCTTGAACGAAAATTTCCTGAAGTGGTCTCTCGGCTCCTTCTGCGCTTGCCAAAAGTAACCCCGGAGATGATGCGGTCTGAGACAGACATGCGGGCTTGGGCAAACAGCTTTTCAAAACTGTTGGAAGATGGGGTGGGCAACAATGCTAGCGTTGAAGTTGAATTTGATAGTGAGCATCAGGTTTATATCCCAATCGTGAATATACTGCTTAAAGGTGCCACGGAACGCCTAATCTTTAATCATGCATTTTTCACTGGTGCAGATTATCGTGCTATAGCATCAACTGTAGATGACTTAGATGAGTTGTTGGGCGAAGGTGCTTACGTTCAGCGTGGAGAAAAAACTGAGGCGATCAGTCATTTCCATGACGCTTATAGTTGGCTTATAGCGGAGGCTCGCCGGGGCGTAGATATTCAGCGTTACAAAGGTCTTGGCGAGATGAACCCTTCGCAGCTCTGGGAAACAACAATGGATCCTGATGTGCGACGCATGTTGCAGGTAACAGTAGACGACGCTATCGGCGCGGATCAGATCTTCACCACGCTGATGGGAGACCAGGTTGAACCGCGTCGAGAGTTCATCGAAACAAACGCATTGTCAGTGGTTAATCTAGACGTCTGAGAGTTGCGCAGTCAGTGTTTTGGCCAATGCCATCAGGTTCGGTGCAACCCATTTGTTCGCCTGGCCTGTTGGTGTTAATCGGGTTTGCTGACCTTTGCCGGTTAAAACCAGACTGGCGTGGCAGCCAGTGGCTTCAGCGGCAAGCAGGTCTTTTTCTGAGTCGCCGACGTACAACGTGTTGGCAGCACGATGTTTCTGCGCAGCCATAGCCGTCTGCAGAAGGCCTGGTTTAGGTTTTCTGCAGTCACAACCCGCATCGGGGTTGTGTGGACAGAAAAACACATCAACCGGGACGCCTCCCGCAGCTTTAATCAGGTTGTTCATTTTCTCATGCATCTGAAGCAGCGTGGCGACGTCGAAATATCCCCTGCCGATGCCAGATTGATTGGTGCAAACGGCAACGGCGAAATGTTGTTGCAGCATCACAATGGCATCAATTGCTGCGGGTATAGGTTGCCACTGGTCCGCGCTGCGGATGAAGTCCGGCGAGTCTTCGTTGATAACGCCGTCCCGGTCAAGCAGTATCAGCTGCAGTGAGTTGTCAATTTTTTGATCCATCGGTCTATTAATTCATTGGTCCAATAAAGAGTGCCATGTCTGAGAATACAATGATGTCACAGATTGTCCGCTGGGGGCTGTGGCTGGCTCAACTTCCTTCGCCGCGCCTGGCCACCCGGCTGGCAGCGCTGACAGCGCGTTTCCTGTTGATCATCGACAGTGATGCGGCAAAGATCAGCCGGGTCAACATACAACTTTGTTTTCCCAAGCTTTCCGAGCGTGAGGTGAGTGTATTGGTCAGGCAGAGCCTGGCTGACATGGTGTTGCTGGTCTTTGAGTTTGCGCAAATGACCCACTGGTCCGAGCAGGAACTGATGGCGCAAATACAGAGTGTTGAAGGAGAAAGTTTATTAAAACAGGCCTACAACAGTGATCGAGGCGTTCTGCTGCTGGTCCCACACTTTGGCAACTGGGAGCTGCTGTGTGCTTTTCTGGGTTTGAACTATAGCTTTGCCGCACTTTACGCCCCTCCGAAAGTAGCCGCTCTTGAACCCGCGATTCTTGCAACGCGGGAACGTTTTGGTGGTGAACTGTTTGCGATTGATACGGCAGGAATGCGTAGCATCCTGCGGGTGCTTAAAAAGGGCAAACTTGTGGCTATTTTGCCGGACCAGGTGCCGGATCGTAGTGCAGGTGTTTATGCCGACTTCTTTGGCCACCCGGCGCTGACCATGAGTCTGGTTCATCGCCTGATTGATAAGACCGCGCCCGATGTGATTATTGGTTCGGTTCAGCGTAAGAAAAGTGAGGACGGCTGCGGCTATGTTGCGCGGTTTGAATCTCTTGTTGAGTCGATAGAAGGTCTGGATGCCCAGGGTTGTGCTGAAGTTCTGAACCGCAGCATAGAGCGGGTAGTGAGAAGAGCGCCTGAGCAATATCAGTGGGAATATAAACGCTTCAAGCGACCACCATCGGGTGGCCGAGACAACGTTTATCGGCGCCAGTAGGCGGGTGTCAGCAGAACCAGCAAGGTAAATATTTCCAGCCGCCCCAGCATCATGGTAAACATCAGTAGCCACTTAACGGATGCCGGTAGACTTGCGTAATTCAGCGCAACGTCGCCCAGACCCGGGCCAAGATTATTCAAGCTTGCCCCAACGGCAGAAAAAGCAGTGACAAAATCGAGGTCGCCAATCAACATAACAGCGGTGACCATCAGCAGAAAGACGATCACATAAACGCTGAAAAAACTCCAGACCGCTTGTATCAGGCGATCTGAAACCGGCGCATTGTTGAGTTTGATTGGGAAGACGCCGTTGGGATGAATCAGGCGCTTAACTTCGCGCATGCCCTGCAGATAAATCATCAGCACCCTAATCATCTTGATGCCACCAGCAGTCGATCCAGCGCAACCGCCTGCAAATGCGGCTAACAATAAAAGTATGGGGGTGACTGAAGGCCACAAACTGAAGTTCTGGGTAGTGAAACCGGTAGTGGTTGCAACAGAGATGGTTTGAAACAATCCGTCACGGATCGGCGAGACACCGGGCAACGGATGTCTGTACAACACCCAGATGACAATAGCGGCGACGGTGGCCAGCACGGCCAGGTAGGTTTTTACTTCTGCGTCCTGAAAATAGTGTAATGGGTTGCGCCTGCGCCATACGAGGAAGTGCAGACCGAAGTTGATGCCTGAGAGCAGCATGAAAACAATTGCCACAGATTCGATTAATGGGCTCGCGAAGTAGCCCATGCTGGCATCGTGGGTTGAGAAGCCGCCAATAGCCACCGTGGAAAAGCTGTGGCTGATGGCATCAAACGGCGTCATGCCAGCGGCCCAATAAGCCAAGCCACAGGCGATGGTCAGGCTCAGATAGATGTACCACAACGCTTTTGCGGTTTCGGTGATGCGTGGCGTCAGTTTGTTATCTTTCAGCGGTCCTGGTGATTCAGTTCGATACAACTGCATGCCACCGATGCCCAACATCGGGAATATGGCGACCGCCAGAACAATGATGCCCATGCCACCCAGCCACTGCAGTAACTGTCGATAAATGAGCAGGGACTTGGGCAATTCATCAAGGCCGGTGATCACCGTTGCGCCGGTTGTGGTTAAACCAGACATGGACTCGAACGCAGCGTCTGTGAAGCTCAAGTTGGTGGAGTCGGCAAAATATAGAGGGATTGCGCCAAACAGACCCAGGCCGATATAGAACAAAGCGGTGATCAGAAAGCCATCGCCGCCGCGCAATTCACGGTTGCCGCGTAGGGGCAGCCACAAAGCCAGACCAACCACGAGGGTGATGATGAACGCTAAACCGAAAGTAGTGGTCGTGTTCTCACCATAGGCCAGACCCAACAGGCCCGGGATTAGAAAGGTGAAACTGAAAAACGTCAGGAGCGTACCGATAACGCGAAAAATAACCGCAAGATGCATAGTATGTCAGGCGCCGCTCAGAAGAACGAAACGCCAACCTGAAACAGCTTTTCGACAGCGCGCACCTGACGTTTGTCGACAAGGAAAAGAATGACGTGATCGTCAGACTCAACCAGCACATTGTCATGCGCAATGAGTACTTCGTTACCCCTTACGATGGCGCCAATTGAGCAACCGTTAGGCAGGTCTATTTCACTGATGCGGCGCCCCACTACCTTTGAGTTTTTAGAGTCGCCATGGGCGATTGCCTCAATCGCTTCTGCTGCGCCCCGCCGCAGACTGTGAACGCGAGCAACATCCGCACGCCTGACGTGAGATAACAAAGTGCTGGTAGTGGCCTGTTGCGGGCTGACCGCGATATCAATTTCGCCCCCTTGGACCAGATCGACGTAAGCTGGCTTGGAGATAAGAGTGATGACCTGGCGTACGCCCAGGCGCTTAGCCATCAGCGACGACATGATATTAACTTCGTCGTCGTTGGTGACCGCGCAAAAAGCGTCACACTGTTCTATGTTTTCTTCTAACAACAAGTCTCTGTCGGTGGCATTGCCCTGCAGCACAACGGTTTTGGTCAGTTGATCTGCGAGAAATTTAGCGCGTGGTTCGCTGTATTCCAGAAGTTTAACGGCGTAGTTGTTTTCCACAGCTTGGGCAAGTCGTGCGCCAACATTGCCGCCTCCGGCGATCATGATACGTTTGAAGGGTCGTTCTACTTTGCGTAGTTCTGCCATCACCGCATCGATGTGTTCTCGTGCAGCGATAAAAAACACTTCGTCATCCGCTTCTATAACCGTGTTGCCTTCAGGAATAATCGCCTTTCCCCGCCTGAATATGGCCGCTACCCGTGTATCCGCGTTGGGCATATGTTCACGTAGAAAGCTTAAAGCCTGCCCTACCAGCGGCCCACCGTAATACGCGCGCATTGCGACCAGCTGTACCCGGCCGTCTGCAAAATCCAATACCTGTAGAGCGCCGGGATGTTTCAACAGCTCATGAATGTGATTGGTAACCACCTGCTCCGGGTTTATCAGCACATCAATGGGCATGTGTTCTTTGCTGAAAAATCCCTCTCGGGTGAGGTATGACAAAGATCGGACCCGGGCAATTTTCAGAGGGGTCCGGAACAGCGAATAACATACCTGGCAGGCAATCATATTGACTTCGTCACTGGAGGTGACAGCCACAAGAATGTCGGCGTCATCTGCGCCAGCTCGGCGCAGTACATCCGGATGAGATGCCCAGCCTTGGATCGTTTGAATATCGAGTCTTTCAGCCAACTCCTGCAAGCGGCTCGCCTGTTCATCGACCAGAGTGACGTCAAAAGATTCTTTGGCGAGGTTTTCAGCTAACGTACCGCCAACCTGACCTGCGCCCAGAATAAGAATTTTCATGGAGCTCTCATGTTTTTAAGCAACTTTCTGCAGCCGGGCATAATAGAAACCATCGGTGTTTGGATCGGTAGGTAAAAGCTGCCAGCCGTATTCTGTTGGTTGGCCGGTAGGTAAAGCAATGCTGCACACCTTGGCGTTGTTGTCGGGTTGTTCGATAAACTGGCTGATCACACCATCATTCTCTAACGGCAGGATTGAACAGGTGCAGTACAGCAGAGTACCGCCTGGTGTCAGTGTTCGCCACAGGTTGTTGAGTATCTGCAGCTGCAACGCAGCATGCTCCGCAATAGCTGATTCCTTTAAGAGTAGTTTGATATCCGGATGGCGTCGGATAGTGCCGGTTCCACTGCAGGGTGCGTCCAGCAGGATATGATCAAAATATTCACTGTCCCACCAGCTAAGTGCTGTGGCGTCGCCTACCGTCAGCTTACATGCGTGGCCCAGGCGTGCCAGTACCGCCTCAGTTTGCGCCACTCGTTCCGGGTTGATATCAATGGCGACGATCTCTGGTGGTAAAGATCCGGCATCCGCTGCTGCTGTTTTTGCGCTGCTGATCTCAATGAGATGAGCGAGTTTTCCGCCGGGAGCTGCGCAGGCGTCCAGAATGCGTTGTCGATGCGTTGCTCTGCTGTCTCTGACTTCCGCCCGTCCTGGTCCTTGCACTAATGCCAGCGGCGCGGCAAATTGAGCACCCATGTCCTGCACAGCAACTTCACCTTCAAGCCAACCTGGCAAAGTACTGCTTGGCTGCGCTTGCGCTAAAATAATGCTCTGATCGGCATCGCCTTTGACCGCACTAATATTGTTTTCGATCAATCGTTTGAGATATTCATCACGGCTAGTTTCAGCTAGATTAACGCGCAGAATCATAGGCGCTCGCAGGCCATCGGCTAGCAATATTTCGTCTGCCTGATCGGGCCATGCGTCGCGTACGGCGTCAGCCATCCATGGAGGGTGACCGAACGATTGATCTTGTTTTATGTCAAGGGATGTGACTTTTCGCAAGACGGCATTCACCAGCCCGCGCGCCCAGGGTCGACTGATACAGCTGGTTGCGTTAACGGTTTCATTGATCGCTGCGTGAACGGGCGTATCTGCCAGTTTAAGTTGGTAAGCGCCTACTAACATCAAACTGTAGACCACTGAGTCTTTATCACGCATTGGCTTATTCAAAAGCGGCGCCACCAGCTCAACCAGCGCTGGGTAGTGCCTGATGGTGCCATAAAATAAATGGCGGGTTTCAGGCGACACAAACCAATCTGCCCGGTTGGATAAAACCCAATCTATCGTTCGGTCGTGCTTCGTAACGAGATCGACGCCTTTAGCCGCAAATCCGCGACATTGACGGGAAGTATGCTGTTCGCTCACCTATCAGTTCGCAAAACGTGCGCCGGGGAAAAACAGCTCACTGTACCCGTTAATCGCAGCGGCTGGATCAAGCTCGGTGCCTTTGCCTCGTTCAACTTTTATTCGTGTGATTTGCAACAAATCCGTTGCACACTGAACGATGATGCCACTTTTTGAAACATCAACTAATGTGCCTGCTGGGGTGGCTTCCACACCCGGAAGGTGTTGCTCAATCGGCCGTGCTTCCAATATCTGAACGTGTGCATCGCCGAGCATGCCGCGCACCGGCATGCGTCCGGCCAGGCCACGGATTTTATCTGCAATGGATTTGGCTGATTCGCTCCAATCGATATTTCGATCCGAAGCTTCCAGTTTGTGTGCGTAAGTGGCCAGAGTTTCATCCTGCGCTCTAGGGGCGGGTAGTTTGCGCTTTTCTGCTTTGGATGTGGCGATTGTGGTCAGCACTTCGATTAGAAGTTCACCGCCGGTGTCAGCCAGCTTTTCGGTAAGCTGAGTTGCTGTGGCTGTTGCACCTATGGGTACTTCTACCTGGGCAAACACGGGTCCGGTATCCAAACCTGCTTCCATTGCCATGATGCACACCCCGGTTTGCTCATCGCCCGCCATGATGGCCCGTTCGATAGGTGCTGCGCCGCGCCAGCGTGGTAGTAGTGATGCGTGTACGTTAAGACAGCCGAACTTCGGTATATCAAGTACGGCTTGAGGCAGAATCAACCCGTATGCGGCAACGATAAAAACGTCAGCCTGCTGGTTTTCAAGCAACGCCTGCGCGTCTTTATCGCGTAAACTTTTGGGCTGAAATATTTCTATGCCGGCGGATTCTGCGAGTTGTTTAACTGCATTGGGGCGTACCTTCCTGCCTCGGCCTGTCGGGCGGTCCGGCTGGGTGAATACCGCAGTGGGTTTGAAGGGCGAATTAATCAGGCGTTGCAAGATGCGGGCAGCAAATTCCGGGCTGCCTGCAAAAACGGTTTTAAGCTCAGGCACGTTGTTTCTGTTGTCGCTCAAGCTTTTTGCGAATACGGTTTCGCTTCAAGTTCGAGATGTAGTCGACGAACAGTTTGCCCGCCAGATGATCACACTCATGCTGGATGCAGACCGCCAGCAATCCCTCTGCCTCCATGCTGAACACTTCACCTGTAGGTGTCTGGGCTGTCACGCTGATGCGCTCTGCGCGACTCACCGGCTCATAGAAACCGGGCACCGATAAGCAGCCTTCTTCGGTTTCAAGCAGGGCGCCGTGTACGGTGAACTGTGGGTTAACCAGTATGTGGGGTGCATCGGCGTTATCAGACACGTCCACTGCGATAATCCGCTCATGGACATCAACCTGGGTTGCAGCAAGGCCTATACCCGGCGCGGCATACATGGTTTCCAGCAGATCGTCGGCAAAGCGAACAAGGTCCGGACCAAATTGAGTAACTTCCGCGGCCACCGTTCTAAGGCGCGGGTCGGGGTATTGCAAAATATTCAATAAACTCATGGTGTAAGTAGTGTTGTTAGAGCCTGTGAACTGTCTCTAGTATTGGTCCAAATTGTGCTGCTAAGATGGCGCCGATTATAGCTTTTTGTGCCTATGAGTTTGAAGCAAAGCCTGTTCAGGTCATGGCGACGGTTGTATTCACCTGCAAAGTGCACCCGTAATCAACGAAAACAAAGGATATGTAGCACTGTGAATAAATGTAAGCGCTTACTAACTTCATGCGTACTGTCAATCAGCCTGCTGGTTGGTTTAGCCGCCACTGCCGAAGACATTGGCCAATTCCTCAAACCCGGTCACCCCGATGTGTATACCGTGGTAAAAGGAGACACCTTATGGGACATCAGCGGCACGTTTTTGTCCAAGCCCTGGTTGTGGCCTGAAATCTGGCAGATCAACCCGCAAATTGACAACCCTCACCTTATTTACCCCGGAGACCAGATTGCTCTGGTTTACGTTGATGGCCAACCTCGTCTGCAACTGCGACGCGGTGACGCTGGCCGGACGGTGAAATTAACACCGTCAGACACGGTCAGCCTGCAGCCTCAGATTCGTGCCACGCCGTTGGAGTCTTCGATTCCAGCCATCAGCCTCGATGCAATTCAGGGTTTCCTCGTGCAGAACCGCGTTATTGAACCAGCTGTTTTGGATGCTGCACCTTATATAGTGCAAGGCGAAGCCGAACGACTGGTGCTGGGCGCGGGTGACCGTGTTTATGTCCGAGGCGAGCTGGCAGACAGTGAATCTTTTAACTTTGTGCGCCGCGGACCACTTTATGTGGACCCCGACACACAGGAAATTCTGGGGCGTGAAGCGACTTACATTGGTCTGGGTACAGCAGTGGCTCAAGATGCAGATGTGGCCACCATGGCAGTGACCAGCACCCGCGAAGAAGTACAGATTGGTGATCGCGTATTACCAACAGAAGAACGTCGCGTAGACGCAAATTTCTTTCCCAGTGCCCCTGTTGACGATATCAACGGCGAAATCATCTCAGTATTCAGTGGTGTGACTCAGGTCGGTCAGTACGACGTCGTAGTGATCAATCGTGGTGAACGCGAAAATCTTGAAGTTGGTAATGTGCTGGCGATCTACAAGAAAGGCGCTGTAGCACGCGATCGCATAGCGAATGAAAACATTCGTCTGCCCAGCGAGCGCGCCGGTCTGTTAATGATTTTCCGTACCTTCGACAAATTGTCTTATGGCCTGGTGTTAAACACCGAACGTCCGCTGGCCGTGAGCGACGAGGTTCGTAACCCCTGATAACCTCCAGGCAACTGGTGTTTTTCTGACACCAGTTGCCGTTCAGAGCCCTACACCGGTGTTTTGTACACCGGTAGATTGGGGCGGTGTCTCAACGAAGTCCCACAAACCCGCAAAGCATCAGCGCCGCAAGTGCAAGCACCGCAGCGATCATTGCTTTGCTTGACCAGTATTCACGTCGCCAGATTCTCAAGGCGATGGAGCAATATGTAGATCCTCAAACTGCTTTGCTCGATGGCGGTCTCGCGAAAACCCTCAAGCAGATCGCCCGCGCGCGGTCTAAATCAACGTCGCGCCCTGCGCCAGCGCCCTCATCCTGCGCAGTGGTGGGCTTGTTTGATGTTGATTTTCCACCGCTGTTGAAGATCATTCCTGATCCGCCACTGGTGCTGTATTACCGCGGCGCGATAAAACTACTGCACAATACAAGCGCCATTGCTGTGGTCGGCGCCCGCAGTTGTACCAGCGCTGGAAGATTGCTGGCGCAGCAAATGGCAAAAGATCTGTCGCTCCGTGGGTTGACCATTGTGAGCGGTTTGGCGCTGGGTATAGACGGTGCGGCCCATCGTGGAGCGTTGAGCGCCGTTGAGCTGAATGCCGGCGCGCCTGTAAAGCCAGGTTTGACCGTGGCGGTGCTGGGCAGTGGTTTGAATCACATTTATCCGCAACGTCATCGCCAGTTGGCGGCGGAGATTATCGCGGCCGACGGTCTGCTGTTGTCTGAGTACCCGCCATCAAGAGGTCCCAGGCCACATCACTTTCCTGAGCGCAACCGTTTGATCAGCGGCATCTGCGGGGCGACGGTAGTTATCGAAGCGGGTGAAAGAAGCGGTTCACTTATCACGGCGCGGCTGGGGTTGGAGCAGGGTCGTGATGTTATGGCTGTACCTGGCCCGGTTTCCAGTAGCGTCAGCGCGGGTTGCCACCGCCTCATTCAACAAGGTGCAGCTCTGGTGACTGATGCGGTAGATGTTCTGTTTGCGCTGGGCATCGAAGCCACTGCCGAGAAAAACGAGGACCCAACAGATTCCTTTCACGAAAGCTTGCCACAGATACATTTACCCTCTGAAGAGCACTCACTGGTATTGACTTGTATTCAAGGCCTACCGGTGACGCTGGACGAAGTCTGCCTGCAAACGGGTCTGTCAGCCGATGAGGTCAGTAGTCTGCTTGTGAGCCTGGAACTGTTAGGGTTTGTTCAGCAGGGTCAGCTTGGCTATATTCGCCTGCCGTCTCGCGCCACTTAACACACCGTGACTGTTTTTGTGTCGATCCGCGGTTGTGCCGAACCCTGCTAAAGTAAGTACAATCCGCGCACCTGGAGGGTGCTATCTCGCGTTGAAACAGCAATATGCAGACTACTAAAATAAATCATTATCTTGTTGTCGGGAATCCGATCGCTCACTCCCGCTCACCGCAAATTCATAGCGCCTTTGCCGAACAGTTAGGCGATAAAATTATTTACGATAAGGTGGAAGTTGAATTAGGTGGTTTTGCAAAGTTTGCAGATCAGTTTAAGACCAGCGGCGGCCAGGGTATGAATGTAACTGTGCCGTTCAAGATCGATGCCTATAACTATGTGGACAGAGTTGATGAACATGCACAGGCAGCCGCGGCAGTAAATACCATCAAATTTGGTGTGGACGGCCAAAGCCATGGGTTCAATACTGACGGTATTGGTCTATTGCGCGACCTCACCAACCGTCACCATGTTGATTTGAAGAATAAGCATGTGCTCTTGATTGGCGCTGGTGGTGCTGCACAAGGCGCGCTCCTGCCGTTGCTGCAGGCGGGCATCAGGCGGTTAACGCTGATGAATCGCACGCTTGAAAAAGCGCAAAAGCTCCTGCAGCAACCTGAATTCACTAAAGTCGGAGTGGAACTGTCGGCGCGGCCTCTTAACCTGCAGGATGAACCTGCGGATTTAGTGATTAATGCAACCTCCTTCGGGCTCGGAGATGAACCTGTCCCTTTGCAACCGGGCCTGGTCAACGACGCGTTCTGTTATGACATGAGTTACGGGTCTGCGGCAAAATTCTCCCGCTGGGCGGCTACCGCAGGGGCTCTGATGAGCGTTGATGGTTTAGGTATGTTGGTGGAGCAGGCGGCGCAAAGTTACTTTATCTGGCATGGTCATCATCCCCAAACTCAGCCGGTCTATGATCTATTGCGCAGGGCTGACTTAGCCCCTACCCCTTAGGCACCGGTTAACCCGAAAAAAAGGTCGTCATGACACAGGTAGATATTTTCAAGAAACGCTTTATTGCCGGAGCGGTCTGTCCAGATTGCCAGGCTGTTGATCGTATCGTGGTGGAAACCGGGATGCAGAATGTTGCCGATAGTGACCTCAACGATCCGCATCAGGAAGTCTCTCGACGCCGCTGTGTAGCTTGTGGCTTTGCAGACGAATTCTCCACGGATACCCTGGTCAATTCTCAAGGCGTCCCGCGAGGTAAACCGGAAAGGCCGAAATCCAACCTGGGTCAACCCGCAACGCCTGCCCAGGCGGTCAAGATTCTCGATCCTGTGGTGCGCCCGAAATCCTGAGATTGCAAAATAAGCGCTATCTAGTCTGCTGGTGCGGCTTCAGGATTCGAACGTAAGGTATTTCTTTAGTTATCTTGACGTTATCAGCCATAGTTTCGTGTTGCTGTACGGTCTTGGGTTGCTATAATTGCGCCGCGCTCAGTGCTGGCTTCAATAGTGACAGCCTGGACAACGCGTCGAGCGTAAATGGGGATATAGACCTTCTGATGCAAATCAGCTGTATAGTCTATAACTAAGAGCGAAATACCTAGTGGTTTATCTGGCCTGAAAATACGTCGACAGACGGGTTGGCTTGCGCACTTTAAGAATTGCGGCTTCAGCAGCATCGGCCGTGCGCTTGTTCAGTGGCAAACACGGAGACAGTCCGTTGATCACCGGTACTCAGACTCATGCGCCGGTAAGTGATGTGCGCATTGGACAGACACAAATTGTGGAACATATGGGATGAAACAAAGAATTAGTGTTGCAGGCGGCCTGCTCAGCTTATTGATGGCTGGCGTGGCAACTGCCGACGAATTAAACCTGCGCCCGGGCGTCACGGATATCAGCCAGCAGGTCTACGACCTGCACATGACCATTTTGTGGGTGTGTGTAGTGATTGGCATTGCAGTATTTGGTGTGATGTTCTGGTCCGTTGTTCATCACCGCCGTTCTGCGGGTTATGAAGCAGCTAAGTTCCATGAAAGCACCAAGCTTGAACTGGCCTGGACCATTGTGCCTACGCTGATTCTGATAGGCATGGCCATACCGGCAACCCAGGTACTGGTGGCGATGTACGACACCGGCGGCGAAGACATGACGGTAGAGGTGCGCGGCTATCAGTGGAAGTGGCAGTACAAATACCTGGACGATGATTACAACAACACCTTTTCGTTTTTCTCCAATCTGGCGACCACCCAGGACGAAATTCGAAATGTCAGTAATAAAGGTGAGAACTATCTGCTTGAAGTAGATAACCCTCTGCGGATCCCCATGAACCGCAAAGTTCGCTTTCTGATTACTGCTGAAGATGTTATCCACGCCTGGTGGGTACCTGACTTTGGCATCAAGCGCGATGCCGTACCGGGCATGTTGAATGAGTTATGGACCGTTGTAGAAGAGCCCGGTATCTATCGCGGCCAGTGCACAGAGCTGTGTGGCAAAGACCATGGCTTTATGCCCGTTGTGGTAGAAGTCATGGAAGAGGCAGATTTTGATGCCTGGTATGCAGAAGAAGTTGCCAATGAGAGCGTCCGTCAGGAAGCGCTGAGCAAAACCTTCACCCACGAAGAGCTGATGGTGAAAGGTGAAGAGGTCTACGGCACCTTCTGTGCAAGTTGCCACCAACCCAACGGACAGGGTTTGCCCCCCGTATTCCCGTCTCTTGTGGGTAGCCCCTATATAGTCGGTCCACGCGATGATCATATAAAAATGGTCATTGAAGGTGTACCGGGTACAGCCATGCAGGCGTTCGGGCGACAGCTTGATGCCGCGCAACTTGCAGCGGTGGTGCACTACGAGAGGCACTCCTGGGGTAACGATTCAGACGACATCACTCAGCCACGTGATGTCATAGAGCTATCTGGCGAATAAAGAGGAAGTTATGAGCGAAGTCATACACGCAGGTCACCACGATGACCACCACGATCACGGGCCAGATAAAGGGTTAGCTCGCTGGCTGTTTACAACCAACCATAAAGACATCGGTACCCTGTACCTGTGGTTCAGTTTCACCATGTTTCTGATTGGTGGCGTCATGGCGCTGATCATTCGCACGGAGCTGTTCCAGCCGGGGCTGCAGTTTGTGAACCCTGAATTTTTTAACCAGATGACCACAAATCATGGTCTGATCATGGTTTTCGGTGCCATCATGCCGGCCTTTGTGGGTCTGGCAAACTGGCTGGTGCCAATGCAGGTGGGTGCGCCGGATATGGCCCTGCCGCGAATGAACAATCTGTCGTTCTGGATCCTGCCATTTGCCTTCGGCATTATGATTTCTACCCTGTTCATGGAAGGCGGCGGTCCTAACTTCGGCTGGACTTTCTATGCGCCGTTATCCACGACTTATGCGCCAGATTCTGTAACGTTTTTCATCTTTGCTGTTCACCTTATGGGTGCCTCTTCAATCATGGGTGCGATCAACATCATCGCAACCATTCTGAACATGCGTGCGCCGGGTATGACCCTGATGAAAATGCCACTGTTCATCTGGACCTGGCTGATCACCGCCTATCTGTTGATTGCGGTTATGCCGGTGCTTGCAGGCGCAGTGACAATGATGCTGTTTGATATTCACTTCGGTACCAGCTTCTTTAATGCAGCTGGCGGCGGCGATCCGGTGATGTTCCAGCATATTTTCTGGTTCTTCGGGCATCCTGAGGTGTACATCATGATTCTGCCGGCATTTGGCATCATCTCGCACATCATTCCGGCATTTGCCCGCAAAACACTGTTCGGTTACGACTCAATGGTCTACGCGGTGGCCTCCATTGCGTTCCTGTCGTTTATCGTCTGGGCGCACCATATGTTCACCGTGGGTATGCCGTTAGCCGGGCAGCTGTTCTTCATGTACACCACCATGCTCATCGCGATTCCCACAGGTGTGAAAGTGTTCAACTGGACCGCCACCATGTGGCAGGGTTCAATGACCTTTGAAACACCCATGCTGTTTGCCATCGCGTTTGTGGTGCTGTTCACCATTGGTGGCTTCTCGGGCCTGATGTTGGCAATCACACCAGTTGATTATCAGTATCACGATACCTACTTTGTTGTGGCGCACTTCCACTACGTATTGGTACCTGGCGCGCTGTTCTCGATCATTGCAGCGGTTTACTTCTGGTTCCCGAAATGGACCGGAAAAATGTACAACGAAACGCTGGGCAAGCTGCATTTCTGGTTGTCGTTTATCGGCGTGAACATCACGTTCTTCCCGCAGCACTTCTCGGGTCTGGCGGGCATGCCTCGACGGATTCCGGATTACCCGCTGCAGTTTGCAGACTTCAACATGGTGTCTTCAGTAGGCGCGTTTATTTTCGGCTTTTCGCAGCTGTTCTTCCTGTATGTCGTTATCCATGGCATACGATCAGGTCAGCCTGCAAAAGCACGCGCATGGGAAGGTGCAAAAGGACTGGAGTGGACGTTGCCCTCGCCTGCGCCTTATCACAGCTTCACCCAACCGCCTAAAGTGACGGACGAAGAAGTACACGCTTGAAACGAAGCGTAAACAGTTTAGAAACAGGTTAAGAGCACAGTCTTATGAGCACAGGCGCGCAAAGTTCGGAGATCAAACGTACCGTACGCAAGTTATGCCTCATTGTTTTGGGCATGGCTGCGTTTGCCTGGGCTTTAGTGCCCCTGTATGACCTGTTCTGTGAAATTACCGGCCTGAACGGTAAAACCGGCGGTCCCTATACCTACGATCCGGCGGCGACGTCGCCGGATACCTCCCGTTTGGTCAAGGTGAATTTCATCACTAACACCAATCAGGGCATGGTGTGGGACTTCTGGTCAGAAAAAGGTGGTGTGCGTGTTCATCCAGGTGAACTCAAAGAAGTTAACTTCTACGTCAGGAACACCACCGACAGGGTGATGGTCGGCCAGGCGATTCCTTCGCTGGTGCCGGTATCAGCCACGCAGTACTTTCATAAAACAGAATGCTTTTGCTTTAACCAGCAAATTTTGCAGCCCGGTGAAGAAATGGTTATGCCGATGCGCTTCATCGTAGGCCGGGAACTGCCGAAAAACGTGCAGTCCATCAATTTGAGTTACGCTCTTTTTGACATCACTGAAGCCATGGGTGATGCCGTCGTCACTGGTGGATAATCACCAGGTTTAGAGCCAAGGGAATATTGGAGAATACAATGGCAAATGCTGATACAGATCAATCGGTCTACTACGTACCCCACAGTGGTTGGTACCCGGTAGTACTCGCCGCGGGCCTGATGCTAACGGTCACGGGCCTCGCGAGCTGGTTGATTGATACCAAAGCGGGTGAACCGCATACCTGGACACAAAGCATCATTGGCTTTGCCATGGTCTCTTTTGTTCTTTACTGCTGGTTCGGCAAAGTGATTGCGGAAAATCAGCAGGGTCTTGCCAACGAGCAGCTCAAGCGGAGCTACGTTTGGGGTATGGGTTGGTTTATTTTCTCCGAAGTCATGTTTTTTGCAGCATTTTTCGGCGCGCTGTTCTACACCCGCGGCATTGTTGTGCCCTGGTTGGGTGGCGAGGGTGCAAAAGGCATTGTAGGTGATTACCTCTGGCCTGAATTTGATGCGACCTGGCCAGTCATGAGCAATCCTGATGCAACAGCGTTCCCGGGGCCTGGTCAGAATATGCAGGCACCGTCTGTTTCCAGCTGGTATGCCTATCTGCCCTTCTGGAACACAGCAATTCTTTTGTTTTCCAGTGTCACCATTCACTGGGCCCACTCTGCAATAAAAGCGAACAACCGCAAAAAGCTGATTGGCTGGCTTGGCTTTACGGTACTCCTGGGCATCATTTTTGTTGGCCTGCAGATTGAAGAATACGTCATTGCCTACACCGAGATGGGTCTGACGCTGGCCAGTGGTATCTACGGCTCAACCTTTTTCCTTCTGACCGGATTCCACGGTTTCCACGTAACGCTGGGTACAATTATTTTGATTGTGCAGCTTTATCGTGCAATCAAAGGACACTTCAACTCGAAAGACTGCTTTGGCTTTGAAGCAGCCAGCTGGTACTGGCACTTTGTTGACGTGGTGTGGGTCGGACTATTTATCTTCGTCTACGTTTTATAAGCGAGTAGTACTCAGAAGAAGGTCTTAAAAGGGGGCAATACAGCCCCCTTTATTGTCTCAGCTGCGCGATCAGGCGTTAGTCGACTTGCGCATCTGCTTCACTCTTTTCTTCCAGCAGTTGCTGCGTTGCGTTATGCCACGGCGCGTTAGTGCCGATACGCAACTGGCCGGTATAAAAACCGTAAAATATTGTTAGAAGCAGCGCGCCAGCCAGGGTGATGCGTACACCCAGTGCGTAAAGTGTCCGTTTTGAATCAGCACGGCCCGTATCTTTAAACAGAAATACCAACCCGGAGAACAAGCTGATGACGACGCCAATCAGCAGAACAACGATAATGACTTTCAGCAAAGCAGTCGCCTTTAAAAATGAGCGCGCACTTTAAACCATTGTGTGTGAAGGGTTAAGCAAGTGAAACATTTTGCTCCGGGCTGGCGTATGACTCTGTTTGTCGTGATTCTTCTGCCAACAGTGCTAACTCTGGGTGCCTGGCAGTTATCCCGGGGTGCAGAAAAACGCGCACTGGAAAGTGACTATTTGGATCGTCTGACAAGTTTGCCCGTACGAGCAGCAGAATTTGATCCCAACGTGCGCTTTCAAAGGGTAAAATTATCCGGCGAGTTACAGCCACAGGTTTTTCTGGTCGACAACCAGATTCTCAATGGTAAAACCGGTTACTGGGTATTGCAGCTGTTTATCGAAACCCAGGGCAGGCGGTTTATTGTGAATCGCGGGTTTCTTGCAGCGCAAGCCAGGCGTGACCAGCTACCCGAGGTACCTTTGTTGCCCGGTCGAGTGGAACTGCTGGGTGTTGCGTGGCCCTATACGGGTCTGATTCCAGTTTTAGACGATGATCCATGGCCGGACACATGGCCTAAGCGTGTGCAGCGCCTGGATATAAAACGCATGGCTCAGGTGTTGTCAGCGGAGCCGGTAGAGGTTCGACTGGAACCTGGACAGTCCGGCGTGCTTCAAGCCGCGCCTTTTGCCCAGGTCCTCAGTGATGCCAAACACAGGGGATACGCGGCAACCTGGTTTGGTCTGGCCATTACGCTGTTGATTGGCTATGTGTTTCTGGGCATCAGGAATGCCAGAGAAAATGATAATTAAAGGTAAGTGTTCATGAGTGAAACCTCGAACGATTCAGGATCCGCCCAGGCAGCAGCGGCGCAGCGGCGTAATCGACTGCAGCTGCTCGGCATTATGATGATCGGGTTTTTAACCCTGGGGGGCTCCTATCTGATGTTCTACCTGGCGCAGGACTCCGACGGCTGGGGTACCACTAACAACGGCACGTTTGTGCAGCCAGTCATCACGACAGCGGAACTGGGCTGGCAGGTAGAAGGTAATACCCGACGCTGGTGGTTATGGGTGGTGAGCCCTGACTGCACTGCAGATTGCCAACAAACGGTGCAGCATATGCAGGCACTGCACATCCTGTTGAATCGGGAGATGGATAGGGTGCGTCGTGGTTACACCGCAATCGGTGTAACGGAACAAACCCGCCCACAGTGGATGACCCCGTTTCCGGAACTGGCAATGATAGATATTGCAGATGCCTCACCTCTGACCGAGGGCGTCTATATTGTCGACCCCAATGGCAATCTGGTTTTTCACTACAGCATGGACACCAACCCCAAACTGGTGCTCCAGGACCTCAAGAAGTTATTAAAGGTATCTCACATTGGTTAGTCAGCGCGTTCTCAATTTGAATCGACTCGGCCTGGTGCTGGTTGTTTTTGTTGTTGTTTTAGGTGCCTTCACCCGCCTGGTGGATGCGGGGTTGGGCTGCCCGGATTGGCCGGGTTGTTATGGTCATCTGAAGTGGCCTGATACTGCCGAAGAAGTGGAGCGAGCTGAAATGCTGTTTCCGGAAGCTCCGGTGGATCATGCCAAAACCTGGCCAGAGATGGTGCATCGCTACTTTGCCGGTGCGCTGTTACTGGTTGTATTGGCTCTCACCGTGATTGCCTGGCGGGATAATCCGCCGAATAAAATCCGCGAGATCAGCACCGCACTGCTGGTTCTGATTATTTGCCAGGCTGCGTTCGGGGCCTGGACGGTGACTTTGAAACTCTGGCCCCAGGTGGTGACCGCCCACTTGATGGGCGGTTTTGCGACCTTCAGTCTGTTGTGGGTACTGTATCTGCGCCAGGGAGGTGGCCGCCTGCTCTGGCTGGCGCAGGCCCAACGTTTGAATTTGAAGCGGCATGCGCAGCTGGCGCTGGGGCTGGTGGTTGCGCAGATTGTGCTGGGGGGCTGGGTTGCGTCGAACTATGCTGCACTGGCCTGCGCTGATTTCCCGACCTGTTACGGCAGCTATACGCCGACCATGGATTTCGCCGCCGGATTCAATTTTTTTCAGCATGTTGGCCCGAACTACCTTGGTGGCCTGCTGGATAATGAAGCGCGCATCGCGATACATTGGACCCATCGCCTGGGTGCGCTGGTGGTGATGGTTGCTGTGGCCGCGCTGGCCTATCGCCTCTGGTCTGGAAATCGTTTTTTGGCAACATTGACCTTCACGCTGCTGGCCTTCCAGCTGGGTCTGGGCATCCTCAATGTCGTGTGGAGTCTGCCATTGGGGATCGCTACCGCGCATAACGCCTTTGGTGCGCTCTTGCTGTTAGCTATGGTTACAGTAAACTTTGCGCCCGCTGTCGACGACGCCAATATGCAGGCGCGGAAATAACTGTAAGAGACATAACTATGAGTGAAGCCGTCACCAACGCCGCCGGCTGGCGAGACTATCTCGAAATGACCAAACCCCGCGTGGTTCTGCTCATGCTGCTGTGTGCCCTGGTGGGTATGTTTCTGGCAACATCAGGCAGTGTGCCTCTGGACACATTGGTTCTGGGTCTTACAGGTATTGGCCTGGTTGCGGGTTCTGCAGCGGTGGTGAACCATATTGCGGATGCGCACATAGATGCGCGCATGGCGCGTACCCAGAGTCGTCCCGTTGCAACCGGACGCTTGAGTGCTACCCAGGGCATCTTATTTTCCGCAGTCATCGGCCTGGCCGGTATGGCGATTCTGTATTTTGGTGTGAATCCGCTGACTGCCTGGCTCAATCTCGCATCCTGGGTAGGTTACGGCCTGATCTATACCTTCTGGCTGAAGCGCGCGACACCACAGAATATAGTGATTGGTGGTCTGTTTGGTGCGGCACCGCCGTTGTTTGGCTGGACCGCGGTTACCAACAGCATCGATCCAGGTGGCCTGCTTCTGGTGCTGATTATTTTTGCCTGGACGCCCCCGCATTTCTGGGCTCTGGCGCTCGAACGTAAAGAGGAATATGCCAAGGTTGGTGTGCCCATGTTGCCGGTGACCCATGGCGAGTCGTACACACGTCTGCACATTCTTCTGTATACCATCATCCTGATTATCTCGACCATGCTGCCTTTTGTTATCGGTATGGCCGGGTTGCTCTATCTGGCTGGTGCGTTAGCGCTGGGTGCGGGTTTTCTGTATTGGGCGATTGTGTTGCTTCGTGACACCAATCCCCGCGCACCAATGGAAACTTTTCGTTATTCCATTGTCTATTTAGGGCTGCTGTTTGGATTTCTGTTGGCCGACCACTATCTGTTTACCCTGAGTCTGCAGCCCGCGCCGGTATACGAGTTCCAACAGATATCCGCCTGATACGCAGTTGACCAGGCTTGGCAAAAGTCTGGCTGAATCAGATCCGATGAAAGAGTAGGAAGTAAAATGTCTGCAGTTGGTCGTACCGTACTTTTGTGTGGTGTATTCATTACCCTGGTCGTCAGTATGTTTGTTTACAGCACGCTGCAGACCCCCCAGCTCAGTGATGATGAGCTGCGCGAACAGGGCGTGTTCCTGATGCCTCGGCCCCGGGATATTGCACCTTTTGCGCTGCAGGACCATCTGGGTCAGGTATTCGACAATTCGCGATTATTAGACCAGTGGACCTTTGTATTTTTCGGCTTTACCCACTGTCCTGATATCTGCCCCACTTCAATGTCTGAACTGGGGCAGGTGGACACCCAGCTACGTCAGGCCGGCGGCGAGCTTGAAGCTGGATTTCAGGGCGTGCTGGTGACGGTTGATCCGGAACGGGATACACCTGAGATTCTGGGTCAATATGCCACTGCCTTCTCCCCACGCTTTCTGGGTGTCTGGGGAGAGCGCGCGCCGACAGCTGAATTTGCCCAACAGGTGAATGCTGTGTTTGCCAAAATGCCCGCAGATGATGGCGGCTATACCATGGACCATACGGGCAACATCATCATCATCAACCCGCGCGGACACTATCACGGGTTCATAAAGTTGCCGCATGAAGCTGAGACTATTAGGCTTGCCTATCAATCTTTAGCTGCTCGGTTTTAAGGCCGAGCCTACCGCTCGAATTAACAAGGAGCGTTATGCGCGTTGATCCTGACCCCCCGCGGTCAGAAGAAACGGTGACCGCAGATGACCTGCAGAACCGTTATCATCAGGTACGCCAGCAGTCGATGGTGCTGTGCGAGCCCCTGGCCATTGAAGACTTCGGCGTGCAGCCGATGGATGATGCGAGTCCACCCAAATGGCATCTGGCACATACCGCGTGGTTCTTTGAAACCTTCATCCTGAAACAGCAGATGCCTGGATATCAGGCATTTCATCCTCAATTCGAATATCTGTTTAATTCCTACTACAACGGAGTAGGACAGCCATATCCGAGACCGGCACGAGGGTTTCTTTCCCGGCCAACGGTTGCCCAGGTGATGGAATATCGCGACCACGTGGATCAGCATATGAATCTGTTGCTCGAGGCTGGTGTTGATGATGGCATCGCCGCTCAAGTGGTGCTGGGTCTACATCATGAGCAGCAGCATCAGGAGCTGATGTTGACGGATATCAAATACAACTTTGGCCATAATCCGCTACTGCCTGGTTATCGCGAGCGTAGCCCGGTTGAGTCTGCTCCGCTTTCAGGTTCACCATCGGCATCCACTTATACCGAATATGAAGGTGGCATTGTTGAGATTGGTGCGGGTAATGGTTTTGCGTTCGACAATGAAACACCGCGTCACCCTGTGCTGCTGCAGGCATTTCAACTGGCCGATCGCCTGGTCACCAATGGCGAGTATTTATCTTTTGTGGAAGACCGCGGTTATGCGCGTCCGGAACTCTGGCTGTCGGAAGGTTGGTCTGCGGTGCAGGCACAGGGATGGCAAGCCCCCCTCTACTGGCAACAGCGCAATGGCGTCTGGCATGAATATCGTTTGGATGGTTGTCATGAGCTTGTGCTGCATATGCCGGTTACCCATGTGTCAGGGCATGAAGCGTTTGCCTTTGCCCAATGGGCGCAGGCTCGGCTGCCAACTGAATTTGAGTGGGAGCACGCTGCAAGCAGCGCAGCTGTTGACGGTCATTTTGTTGAAGCGCAGTACTTCCATCCACAGGCCGCTGCAGATCAGGATGGCGTTCAGCAGTTGTATGGTGATGTCTGGCAGTGGACCGCCAGTAGTTATGCGCCCTACCCTGGATACCACCCGTTACCCGGCGCTTTAGGGGAATACAATGGTAAGTTCATGAGCAGCCAGCTGGTTTTGCGTGGCGCTTCCTGTGCAACGCCCAGGTCGCACGCGCGCCTGAGCTATCGCAACTTCTTTTATCCACCGGACAGGTGGCAGTTTACTGGGATACGGTTAGCAAAAAATGTCGAGTAAAGGATCGTATGCGTTTCTGGATAACAAGCCAGCGCAACAGGAAATGGCCAGGGAAATACTGGCGGGGTTGAAAGCGCAGCCAAAAACGTTATCACCAAAGTACTTTTACGATGCGCAAGGCTCGGCGCTGTTTGATCGCATCACAGAACTTGATGAGTACTATCTGACCCGTACAGAAATGGCGCTGTTTGATGCGCATCTGGACGACATAGCTGAACATCTCGGTGGCAACGTCTGCCTGATTGAGTATGGCAGTGGCAGCTCCGTCAAAATCCGTAAACTCCTGCAAGCAGTGACACCGGCAGCCTATGTGCCGGTAGATATATCTGATGAACACCTGCAGGCCAATGCCCAGGCCTTACATGAAGATTTCCCGGCGCTGAACGTTTTACCTGTTTGTGCCGACTTTACCCAGCGTTTTGAGCTGCCTGATGCAGTTGCAGATATGACAAAAGTCGGGTTTTTCCCGGGCTCCAGCATTGGCAATTTTGATCCTCAAGGTGCGCAGAATTTTTTGCAGAATGTTCACGCAACAGTGGGTTCCGGTGGGGCTCTGCTGGTTGGTGTGGATCGAAAGAAATCTGTTAGCGTGCTGGAACAGGCTTACAATGACAAACACGGTGTGACGGCAGCTTTCAATTTAAATGCCCTGTCTCATATCAACAAGGAGCTGGACGCCAACTTTCAGCCTCAACAATTTTCCCATGTGGCAAGCTACAACCCGAAACTGGGCTGTATACAGATGTTTTTACGCAGTGAAGTAGAACAGCAGGTAAATATTGCCGGTGAAACCATCCGCTTTTCCAAGGCAGAAAAACTGCATACGGAAAATTCTTATAAATATGATCCGGATGAATTTCTGGCGTTAGCAGACAGCGCCGGATTCAGCTCGCTGGCTCAATTCAGTGACAGCAAGCAGTATTTTACACTCTATCTGCTACAGGCCCGATAGCACACGTGGATCGATGTAGAAAGCGTGACGCTGATGCTGGGCCACGATACGCTGGAATTCTTCGGGATTTTTAAAGCGTAACCGTTGTGCGTGCTGCTGCTGTAACGCAACGGATAAACGAGACAACCAGAACGTCAGCCCGGCATAGAGGCAGAAGGTAGAGAAAAACCACAGTTCTGCGTCTTCCAGCGGTCGGATCTGGTGGTAAGCCTTTAACATGGCGGTGGTTCGTTCTGCATCGAGTAAACCGCTGGCGTCAGTGCACCAGTCATTTGCAATAACCGCCAGGTCGTATATCCAATAGCCCTGTGCGGCGTGGTGAAAATCCAATACACCGGAAAGTCCGTGTTCATTAAACAGAACATTGTCGCGAAACAGATCACCGTGAATCATTCCCTGAGGCAGCTGCTGTACATCGTTGCGGGCCAGGAGCGAATCAACCTGTTGTAAAGAGGCGTTAAGGAGGGTGCTGCGCGCATAGCCGAGGTAGCCCTGGGTCAGCTGGCTGCGTTCCGCCAGCCAGTGGCGATCGCGAGGATAGTCCGGAAGGATAATGTCGCTCGTCTGCATCTGCAGGTGCATCCGTGCGACAAACCGGGCGATGGCACCAATCTGCCTGCGCGTTGGATTACATACGTGATGACCGGTCAGTCGGGGTTGCAACAGCGCGGGTTTGCCGCAGATATCCTCTACCGCCAGATCAGCCAGGTTGCGTATAGGCGGCGCCACCGGTAGACCACCTTCGAATAGCCTGTCCATCATGCCCACGTAAGCTTCACCTGCGTTGGCGGGCTGTTCCATGATGGTGAGGACAAACTGGCGCTGACGCTGATCGTGATCTGTGGTCACAAAATAGTTACTGTTTTCGATACCGTTGGAAGCAGGCCAGTAACGTTGCAGCTGACCAATATCGTAGCGGGACAGCGCATCTTCAAGATGTGTGTCAGGTAATTCAGTGAGTGCTTGCACGCTAGAATTCCGCGATGACCCACTGGGGCAGCAGCATATCTGCTCGCTCCAAGTCTCCAAAACCGGTGGTGTTGTCTCTTGGCACCAGGTAATAGGGTTTACCCCAGGTGGGAACTACCCGAACCATGCGCAACTGACCGTTCTGGCGGAATTCGTAAATCACTTTGTCTTCCCCGGCGATGATCACCACGTCTGGCCCCTGCAGGGTGATGTCGTTCTCAGCGGCTGTGGCGGTTGTTGTCGAAAAAAACAGCAGAATCGCCATCGCGGACATCACCAGGAGCAGCAAAGCCCGGCTGGAAAAAACAGAAACTTGGGAAACGGGAAAAATGCCCATGGGCTGTAGTACAGTTCGGTTACCAGTGCAGGGCATGGTACGCAAAAGCTTCAGCTGCGCAAAGTCGCAAGCGGGTTATGTGGCAAATTATCTATGCCCGATGATCACAGTACGCAAACACAGTACATAAAAAAGGACACGTATGGCTCAGCAGTTTGACCTGGCGGAAACCAAACCGGTTGTTCTGGTGGACGGCTCTTCGTATCTTTTCCGCGCGTTTTTTGCGCTACCTGAATTGAAGACCACCAAAGGCCACCCAACCGGCGCGATTAGAGGAGTCATCTCAATGATTCGTCGGCTGGTAAAAGACTATGCCGGTAGCCCAATCGCGGTGATTTTTGACGCCCCCGGCAAAACCTTTCGCGATGACCTGTATTCGGAATATAAAGCCAACCGGGAAACCATGCCCGATGATCTGCGCGCACAAATCGAACCGATTCACGAGATTATTCGCGCTATGGGTATTCCGCTGCTGATTGTGCCGGGTGTTGAGGCAGATGATGTGATTGGCACCTTGGCGCAACAGGCGACAGACGCGCAACGCCACACGGTAGTGTCAACCAGCGATAAAGACATGGCGCAGCTGGTGAGCGATCACGTCACCCTGGTAAATACCATGACAGATACCAAATTGGATGCCGACGGGGTGATTGAAAAGTTCGGTGTACCACCGGAACGGATCATCGACTATCTGGCATTGGTAGGGGACACGGCGGACAACATTCCTGGCGTACCCAAGGTTGGACCCAAAACGGCTGCCAAGTGGCTGACTCAATTTGGCACGCTCGATGACATCATGACGCGTGCCGATGAAGTCGGCGGCAAAGTTGGCGAAAGCTTAAGAGATTCGTTAGATCAACTGCCGCTCTCGAAAGAGCTGACAACCATCAAGTGTGATGTTGAACTGGATATACATCTCACCGACCTTACCCCCCACGAACCCGACGAGAGCGCCCTGCGGGAATATTTTGCCGCATGGGAATTCAAAACCTGGGTAGAAGAACTGCAGGGCAGATCAGACCCTGCCTCTGCTGGCGCAGCAGCTGCTTCCTCGGAACAACCCGCTGTAGAAGTAGATTACGAATGTGTCACCGACGCAGCGACGTTAAAAGCATGGGTTAAGAAGCTCAAAGCGGCGGGCACCTTTGCGATTGATACTGAAACGACGTCTATCGATTATATGCAGGCGCACCTGGTTGGCTTTTCCTTTGCGGTTGAACCGGGTGAAGCCGCTTATGTCCCTGTTGGTCACGATTATGCAGGTGCGCCACCACAGCTGAGCCTGGAAGAAGTGCTGGCTGCCTTAAAGCCCCTGTTGGAGGATCCTAAGCTGGTCAAGGTCGGGCAGAATCTGAAATACGACATGAGTGTGCTGGCGCGGTATGACGTTGCCGTTGCTGGCACCATCTATGACACCATGCTCGAATCTTATGTGCTTAACAGCGTGGCAACACGGCATAACATGGATGCGCTTGCGGGTTTTTATCTGGACCGCAAAACCATTTCGTTTACTGACATTGCCGGTAAAGGCGCCAAACAACTGACCTTCAACGATGTCGGTGTGGAACAGGCGACAAACTATGCGGCAGAAGATGCAGACATTACGCTGGCCCTACATCATGTCTTGTGGCCGCAACTGTCCGCACAGAAAAAGCTGCAACAGGTTTTTGAAGATATTGAGATTCCGCTGGTACCGGTACTGTCCGCAGTAGAGCGCCATGGCGCTCTGGTGGATGGACGTTTACTCAAACAACATAGCGCCGAGCTGGCTGACCGATTGCAGACTCTGAAAGAAACCGCCTGGGACCAGGCGGGGGGTGAATTCAATCTGGACAGCCCGAAGCAGCTGCAGGAAATTCTGTACACGAAACTGGAATTACCGGTGTTGAAGAAAACGCCCAAAGGCGCGCCGAGCACTGCCGAGCCCGTGCTGGTCGACCTTGCTCGGGATTATGAATTGCCGGCAACGTTGATCGAATATCGCAGCCTGGCGAAGCTCAAGTCGACTTATACAGATAAGCTGCCTCAGCAGATCAATACAGAAACAGGACGTATCCACACGTCTTATCATCAGGCCGTAACGGCCACTGGTCGCCTGTCTTCGTCAGACCCGAACCTGCAGAACATTCCGATTCGCAACGCTGAAGGGCGTCGCATACGTCAGGCTTTTGTTGCACCCGCAGGCAAGGTGGTGGTGGCAGCGGACTATTCCCAGATCGAGCTGCGGATTATGGCGCACCTGTCCCGGGACAAAAGCTTGTGTCAGGCCTTTGCAGATGGTGAAGATATACACCGCGCCACCGCAGCTGAGGTGTTTGACCGTTCGCCTGGCGACGTTACCGATGAGGAGCGCCGCAGCGCAAAAGCCATTAATTTCGGTCTGATCTATGGCATGTCGGCTTTTGGTCTGGGGCGTCAGCTGAGTATTTCGCGGACACTGGCGCAGGACTACATTGATCGTTATTTCGACCGTTACCCCGGCGTTCGTCGTTATATGGACGAAACCCGTGCTTTGGCCAGTGAGCAGGGTTATGTAGAAACCGTTTTTGGCCGGCGTCTCTATTTACCCGACATCAACGCGAAAAATGGACCACGTCGTCAGGCTGCCGAGCGGACCGCCATTAACGCGCCGATGCAGGGGACCGCTGCGGATATCATCAAGCGCGCCATGATCGAAGTCTTCTACTGGCTCCGCGACAGCAAACTGGACGGAGATATGATCATGCAGGTCCATGACGAGTTAGTCTTCGAAGTGGCTCAGGACGATAGCGCTGCTCTGATCGAGGGTGTGACGAGGTTAATGCAGGATGCAGCAGAGCTTACGGTACCGCTTATTGTGGATTCAGGGGTGGGGGCAAACTGGGATGAGGCGCATTAGCCACCCAGGCGCGAATGTGTTCAATCAACTCATTGTTGCCGGTGCCCTTCAGAGCTGAAAAGCACTGTACCGACAGACAGGGGTGGTCGGGATAGTTCTTTTTGAAGGCACTTTCCGCACGCTGGCTTGCCGAAAAGCTGAGTTTGTCAGCTTTGTTGAGCAAAACCCGTATGGGTAGCTCTGATGCAGCGCTCCAGTTGATGAGTTCTTCATCGTAAGGCTGCTTTGGATGGCGAATATCGGTGACCAGAACCAGGCCGACCAGGCTGTCGCGTTTGGAAAGGTACTGGTTAACCGATTTCTGCCACTGTGCCTGGGCAGTTTTACCTGCTCTGGCATAGCCATAGCCGGGCAGGTCGACCAGTCGTCCACCGCTGGCGAGGTCAAACAGATTCAGTAATTGGGTGCGTCCGGGCGTTTTGGACACCTTGGCCATACGCCTGTTACCGGTGATGGTGTTCAAAACCGAGGATTTACCGGCGTTGGAACGCCCGGCAAACGCCACTTCTGGTACCCCATCACGAGGACAGTGTTTCAAGTCGGGTGCGCTGGTTAAAAAGGTTGCGTCGAGACGCTCCTGAAGGGGCACTTTTTGGTTCATGTTGTTATATAATCCGCGCGCCCTGCCGTTTTGGCGCCAGTTTCGTATCGATTGGGCTGGCAGTCTATCATTCATACGAGCCCGTCGGCTTGTCGGCTTGTGCGATAAAGGCCCTGTGCTGCGAGTCTGGTTTATTCAGACTTCTGAATGAACGCCAGGGTAATACAAATTCTCGGATCAGATGGGTTGAAGTGCATGAACATGCTTAGTGGGTTCACCAAATTAACAACGGTTTTCATAGTCGCTCTAGCAACGGCCTCGTCGGCTTTTGCTGCGGGTGATCCTGCCGCAGGCGAACGTCAGGCCGCTGCCTGTGCCGCTTGTCATGGTCAGGACGGTGCTACCCCGCTGGCACCGGATTATCCAAAGCTTGCCGGTCAGAACGAAAAATATACGCTTGCACAGCTGAAGATGATTCAGGACAACACGCGCAATATCGCGTTAATGGCAGGACAATTAAACGGCAAGTCTGAGCAGGATCTGGCCGATCTGGCTGCGTACTATGCGAGTCTGCCAGCCAAGGGTGGCCAGGCCAGCGGCACGGACGAAGCCTTAGCTATGGGTGAAAAGATCTACAAAGGTGGTATCGCAGACAAAGGCGTCGCCGCCTGTGCAGCCTGTCATAGCCCCAATGGCAATGGCAATACTCAGGCAGGTTTCCCGCGTATCAACGGTCAACCAGCGGCATACACGATTGCTCAGCTCACCGCTTACCGCGAAAAAGTGCGTGCTACAGACGAAGCCTGGGGCGGCATGATGCGCGGCGTTGCCGAAGGCCTGACGGACACCGAGATGGCTCTGGTTGCAGATTACATCCAGGGGCTGAACTAGTACGCATTTTTACGGCCTTAGATTAAGCCTGGGTTCATAAAGCCCGGCTATACTTGCCCGGTAAAATGCGAAGCGTCTGCACCTGACAGGTTCAGGGTAAAAAACGACGCTGAAAAAGAAATAAAGGAAAAGGGTTATGTCTCGATTTGCCGGTATTGTGGTGACGTCATTGTGTGTGCTGGTTGCACTGTCTTTCAGCACGTCTGTGCGTGCCGCCGAATTTATAGAAGGCACCCACTATGAAGTGCTGCCGGTAACCGTTGAAACACGTGATGCCAGCAAAGTCGAAGTGGTAGAGGTGTTTTCTTACGCTTGTGTCCATTGTTTCAACTTTGACCCCATGATTGAGTCCTGGAAAGAACGTCAGGACGAAAATGTCGATTTTTTCCGTCTACCGGCTGTTTTCAGCGCTGACTGGGAATTGCTGGCGCAAAGCTTTTATGCTGCCGAAAGTCTCGGCGTGACTGAGCAGGTGCATATGCCGATGTTTGAAGGTATTCATGTGAAAAACCAGGATTTACGTCGGGTGCCGCTGTTGGTGGACCTGTTTGAGTCTTCAGCTGACGTCAGTGAAGAAGATTTTAATACCGCGTACAACTCGTTCTCAGTGCGCAGTCGTGTACAGCAGGCGAAAGCCAAAGGCCGCGCCTATCGCGTAACCGGCGTGCCGAGCCTGGTTGTGAACGGTAAATATCTGATCGATGGCCGTATGGCAGGTAGTAATACCAAGATGCTGGAAGTCGTCGACTACCTTGTGAAGCTTGAACAATCCAACTAACTATGCAACTGAAAGAGCCTCGTCGCCAATCAGGATCGTTTAAAAATGCCAGGTAGTACGCAGACCCGAGACAAAGCCCAGCCTAAAGTGAAGCTTCCAGGATGGGAGCCTCAAATGATGTCATGGGCCAGGCGAGCCGAACGCTCGTGTGTTGTTGACCCTGTTGCCAATCAGCCATTGGCACAACAGTTACAAAACGAACCGCTTAACACAGCAGCCGTTGCGCCGCTGAAGTTGCTCTCATTTAATATTCAGGTAGGTATTAAGACCTCTGCTTACCGGCAGTACTTCACCAAAGGCTGGAAACACGTGCTGCCGCATGTGAGCCGAGGCAAAAACCTGAGCCGTATTGCTGATCTGGTAACAGGCTACGATCTGGTTAGCCTGCAGGAAATCGATGGCGGCAGTATTCGCAGTGGTTTTGTGAACCAGGTGGAATATCTGTCTCAGGTGGCAGGTTTTCCCTACTGGTACGCACAGCTCAATCGCGATCTGGGACCAATTGCGCAGCATGGCAATGGTTTACTGTCCCGTATAGAACCCATTGGTCTGGAAGACCACAAACTACCGGGCATCATCCCGGGTCGTGGCGCCGTATTTATGCGCCTGCCTTATGCCGGTGACGAAATTGTGGTGGTCATGCTGCACCTGTCGCTGGGCAAACAGTCGCGTGATCGACAGCTGGCTTATGTTGCAGAACAGGTGGCTCATGAGCGGCAGGTCATTGTCATGGGTGACATGAACACACCGGTCAGTACATTGCTGGAAGATTCGCCGCTGAAGCGCCTTAATCTGCAGCCCGCAGAGACTGTGGGACCAACTTACCCGGCCTGGGAACCGTCGCTGGCGCTGGATCATGTGCTGGTATCAGATAATCTGGTGATTAAAGACTATCAGGTGTTGAATTGCCGCGTATCCGACCATCTGCCGATCGCGGTAGAAGTGGCCGCACGAGCGCGGCCACCTGTTCAGTAGAACAAACCCCGGGCGGTAGTCTATTGACCACCACCTGCGATAGCGCCCGCGTCCCCAACCTGGGGTATTTCACAAGCCGTATCTAATAACTCGGGATACTCTTCCCGGAACGACGATTCACAGAATGCGATCACCGCTTTTGCACGTTCAATGACGTACGCGCGAATGTCCTGTGCATCGGAAGCGGTGAGTGCGTGATTGAAGCTGGGCATGCCTTTTTCGGCATAAGCGCCGCCAACTACAATGGCATCCCAAATGCTGTGAGTCTCCTGCCCGGCATACATGAGGTTAGCAACCGGTCCTGCAGTGCCAACACCTGGACCATGGCAAACGGCACAGTACTGGTGGAACAGGTCCTGTCCATGTTGCTGTTGCTCTGCTGTGTAATCCATTGCCGGAGGCGTGGGTACCGCGAGGTAGGTGACTTCCGGTGTGGGTAATTCAGCTTTGCCACCCAGCTTGTAAGTCAGAATACGACCTTCGCTGAGTACGTTGTTGCGATGGCGAGGTGCACCTGAAGCCAGCCCGTAAGCGCCACCCCAGCCCGCAACCACGGTAATGTACTGCTCTCCGTCGATGCTGTAACTCACCGGTGCAGCGATGATGCCCACGTGTACGGGGCTTTCCCATACCAGCTCACCGGTATCAGCGGTGTAAGCGGCAAACTGACCGTCTGCCCGACCCTGGAAAATCAGATCACCTGCCGTCGACAGAAGACCACCATTCCATGCGGTTGCATGTTGTACGCGCCATACTTCACGCTGTGTGACCGGGTCCCATGCAGCCAGGAAGCCTTTGATCGATTGCAGATTGTCGATGTTTTCCTCAGCGCTGGGTGGCGGTGCCTGTTCACGAAAGTCGATACCCAGGTTCCAGTCTTCGGGTGAATGACGGAAGGCATTGTCCTGTGCGTAATCGAAGCGCAGATCCAGGGCGGGGATGTAGACCAGCCCTGTGCCTGGATGGTAGGTCATTGGATGCCAGTTGTGGCCGCCCAAGGGTCCAGGCTGAATACGTTTCTTTTCGTTTGCATAGTGCGCTTCGGGATTTTCCACCGGACGCCCGGTTTCCTGGTCGACATGGGTAGCCCAGGTAATCGGTACGTAGGCTTCAGCGGAGATAAACTCACCGTTGGTTCTGTCCAGAACATAAAAGAAGCCGTTTTTAGGCGCCTGCATGATGACTTTACGCGCTTCACCCTGGATCTCGATGTCCGCCAGGATCATGTGCTGTGTTGCCGTGTAATCCCAGGTGTCTCCCGGGGTTGTCTGGTAGTGCCATTCACGCAGACCGGTGTCCGGGTTAAGGGCAACAATAGACGAGATGAACAGGTTGTCGCCGCCGCCGGGGCTGCGGATGTAACGGTTCCAGGGCGCGCCGTTGCCGGTGCCGATGTAGAGGAGGTTCAACTCCGGATCGTAAGCCATGGCATCCCAGGCGGTGCCGCCACCACCAACTTCCCACCATTTACCACCGCGCCAGGTGGCGGCAGCCATTTCCATATCTTCGGTTTCAAAGCCGTCTTCCGGGTTGCCGGGTACGGTATAGAAGCGCCAGTCCTGTTCGCCGGTTTCTGCGTCATAGGCGGTAACATAGCCCCGTACGCCGTATTCAGCGCCGCCATTACCAATGATGACCTTATCTTTGACTATGCGTGGTGTACCGGTAATGGTGTAAGGCCGATTTGGGAGAATAGTTTTAACGTCCCAGACAGGCACGCCGGTGCCAGCATCCAGTGCTACCAGGCGCCCATCGAGGGTGCCCACGTAGATCTTGCCTTTCCAGGCTGCAACACCGCGATTAACAACGTCACAACAGGCATATCTAGCCCAGGCTTTAGGTACTTCCGGGTCGTATTCCCAGAGTAATTCGCCGGTTTTGGCATCATGTGCCCAGACAACTGACCAGGTGCCGCTGGTGAACATTACCCCGTCTACGACAATGGGCGTGGCCTCCAGGCCTCTTTTTGTGCCGGTATCCCAGAACCAGGCGAGACCAAGGTCGTCGACGGTTTCCTTATTAATCTGCGACAACGGGCTGTGGCGCTGCTCGTCATAGGTTCGACCGGTAGATAGCCAGTTGGCGGCATCTGCTTTGACGATCCGTGCTTCATCAATGCTGGCCGTAGCCTGCTGTATTTCAGCACTGCGGCTGGCAACGATGTTACCCGTTGCAGAGACCGCCTCTGCGGTTGGTGTTTCGGTCGCTGCTGGTGTTTCAGTGGTTGCGGATTCTGAGCAGGCTGTCAGCCATAACAAAGCAGCCGCAAGCACGCTGGTGCGGTAAAAGACTTTCATTGGGGTCCCCTCCAATTGTTCGTCAACAAGACTTATTCAAGACAGGAAAGTGTAACCATGTGCTGGTGTAAAAACACCCCGCCACCACGTGATTTGACGTGTTGTTGAGGATGATTAGAACTAAACCAATGGCTCGGCAAGGTTACTAGTAAAAATCGATATACCCCAGCAATTGCTTCAGTGATCGGACAGTGCTAAAAAGCAGCATAGTGCTACAAAAGTAGCAGGCACAGGCAGGAGGGTAGAGCAATGGTGCACGGCAAGCATGTACATCTGACCCGTCGGGAACGGCAGATCATGGATGTCCTCTACGCACAGGAAGAAGCCAGTGCGGGAGATATACAGCAACAGATTCCGGATTCGCCCAGTTATTCCGCGGTGCGAGCGTTATTGCGCAAATTAATCGATAAAGGCCACATCGAATTTCGAGCGGATGGCGCCCGTTATGTTTATCGCCCGTTGTTACCTAAAGCAGACGCCAAAGACAGTGCCATCACACGCCTGGTGAACACATTCTTCAACGGCTCCAGAGCCAGCGCGGTTGTGAACCTGCTCGGGGATGAAGGCGGTAACCTGTCGGCGGATGACATCGAAGCCATTAAGTTACAGTTAGCCAAACTTAAACCTACAAACAAGAACGAGCGTTAGGCTCATGAATCTGGAACTGCTGCATGGCGTTCTGGCGGCACAGGAATGGCTGAGTCTGCGTGAAGTGTTGCGTTTGTTATTGTTGTCCACGTTGCTGTCGATCTGGTGTTGTGTTGCATTTCCTGCAAATGCATCAAGCCGACGCGTGCTGCTGTTGACGGCGATTGTGTCAATGGCGCTGCTACCCTGGCTGCTGCGATCTATTAACCTGCAGTGGCAGCTGCCGGTAGACATCCTGCCGCCATTTCACCTCGAGCTGGGTATACCGAACCTGCTGGTGTTTATCTGGCTGTCGGTTGCGGTTTTTCTGATGGCTCGTCATCTGTATCGTGTTCGCAGTGAGCTCATGCGGGTTGCCGCTTTACCTGGCGTTTGTGACCCAGCGCTGCGCAGTGAAATCGATGGGTTACACGCAGCGCTTTTACCTAACTACCCTAATCTGCCGATGCCCGAAGTGCGCCTGGGTGAGCAGGCCTGCGCAACAACATTAAGGGGGGCGCTGCTTGTATTGCCGCACAACTGGCCAACGTTCAGTGCCGACACTCGTCGCAGTATTTTGGCCCACGAGTTAACCCACATCGCCAGAGGCGACGATCGCTGGTTGCTGGTGTTGCGATTATTGCTGCTCAGCTACTGGTGGATGCCCTGGTTAAGAAAGCTGCAGCAGGTGTATGTCCAGTCGATGGAAGAAAGCTGCGATGATATTGCCAGTGAACTCATTGGTGCTCAGCACACCTACGCCCATGCGCTGTATGAAGTTGCACTTAACCGTTCACCGATCAGACCAGCGGAACAGCACCAAATGTATCTGGCCCATATTCGTGGTCATCACCTGACCGCCAGAGTGGCTCGTTTCGGTCATCGCCGGGCACTCGAACTGGATACCGCCGGTGTGTTCTGGACACTCATACTGATTACCCTGTTGGTCGTCTGGATTTCTGGGGTACAGCCCGTGATTGTGGACAAAGACCGTAGTCCTCTCAACTCGGCGCAGATCTATCAGCTGTCTGTATCAACACCGACTGTGCCTTCGTTGTATCCGCTTGTTACGGAACAAGGTGCTGCCGCGCAGATCAACAGCCAACAAGTGTGGCGATTGCAGAATCCGGTGGAGCAGCCTCGCGCGCATCATCAGGACCGCTACGGCTTCGCACAAAGTGCGCTGCGAGCCAGCCGTTACCCACCGATTTATAAAGTGATGGATATACAAAGCAACCCTGTTGCCATGAGACGCGCCATTGATGCGCGCAGATTGAACTTTTCGCCGCATGTAAAAGCCGTCAGATACGAGCAGAGGTTTTTCTTTCGTATCGGCAGGCGTCCGTAAATCCATGAGGAGAACTGTATGCATGTTTACACACCATCATTACGCTACGCACCTGCGTTGCTGCTGGCCTGGGGTATCACCTTCTGTCTGTTTCTGATTATGGAATTAGCAATCAAAGGTGGTGACGTCACGGTCCTGCCGCGTCCGCCTGGGTTGCCCGTGGACCTGGTACCCAGAGAGGATGAGCCCCCCGTTACCAGGCCTGACAGAAAAGTGAAAAAGCCGCCAAAGGTTAGTCCTCCACCTGCAGCACACATCAGCCCTGAACCTGAAGGCGCGGCAACTGAGATATTCGAACCGCGATTCACGGCGCCGCCCCGCACCGATCCCCTGATCGCTGCTCAACCGGATGGCGACATGATTCCCATCATGCGTGTACCTCCTGAGTTTCCTCAGCGGATGTTGTCCCGGGGTGTTTCAGGTTGGGTCCTGGTTGAATTTACGGTTGATACGCTGGGTCGAGTCGTGTCTCCCATTGTTATCGACGCGCAGCCAGCCAATGGTTTTCAACGCGCCGCGCTGGATGCAATTGCGCGTTATAAATTTAAACCCCGGGTTGTGGATGGTCAGAGTGTGCCGGTAGCCGGTGTACGTCAGCGGATTTTCTTCAACCTGCAGAATTAGGCCAGTTTTACCAGGCGGCTTGCCGGTCCCGGCTGATAACACGGGGCCGGCCTTTTTATCTCTCTCAATTGTCTGAGAACCAGTTCTCGTCTTCGTTTTGATCTTCAGGCGAGAATGAGTCGATTAGAAAACCTTGCGTTATATAAGAAATGGATTTTCGGTTCTCGCATTTTGAAATCTTGACTGGTGCAGGCACGCTGCTGTTGTGCCTGTTTTTTGTCTGTGTGTTTACTGAGGCTTCAGCCATCGAAAACACACTGGCGGCACAGTTGTCGCAAAGCATTGAAACGGAAGACCTCTACTGGTCCAGTGTTGAAGTCAGCGGCCAGAGTGCGGTGATCAGTGGTGCGGCACCGGATGTGCCGGCCCGACGCGCGGCTGAACAGCGGGCCTGGGCTGTCACGGGGATATCCTCCGTTGATAATCAGATTCAGGTCATCGGTGAAGCGGGCACCTGTCAGCAGCAGTTGAACGACTACCTTGCTACCGAGACCATCAATTTCAAAACTGGTAAAGCTGAAGTAGCTGAAGAGAGTTTCCATGCTTTAAGCATGCTGGCGATGATCTTGCGCACCTGTGATTCGCTGGTAGAAGTGGCCGGCCACACCGATGGCCGTGGAGATGCGGAGATTAACCTGCATCTGAGTACGCGCCGCGCCGAAAGCGTTGCTAAACATCTGGTGCGATACGGTGTGAATCCGGCTCAGATAAGAGCCAAAGGGTATGGTGAGAACCAACCCATAGCAGACAACAGCACGGATGCTGGACAAAAACTCAATCGGCGCATTGAGTTTCGAGTGCTTGGAGAAATGGCATGATGTTCTTGATTGGTAAAATGTTTATTTACCTGCTGCTAGCTGGCGGCATTGGTGGCGCTGCCGGATGGCTGATGCGTAATCTTCAGGCTCAGCGCACCGAGGAGAACGCGCAGCGTTCAGTGACTGATGTAAAAGCAAAACTCCCCCAGCTTGAATCTCTGCTGCGCGGCCGTGATGAACAGATACAGAAGCTTAAAGCAGAGATTGCAGATCGGAAAACCGCTGCGTCTGAGATGGAGCAGGAACTGCGTGCAGGGGAACAGGCGTTGCGCGAACAACAGCGCATCAGTGCGCGTCTGCAGCAAACGGTAGATGCTCGAAAATCAAAAAGTCTGACAGACTTCGATATGTCCGGAGATGTTGAGCAGGACACAGACACCACCGATGCAGATAATCTGATCGCCGAATTGTCTGCGGAAATAGCCCGACTTAAAGCAGAGCTTGCGCAACCCGCGCCTGCACCTGCCGCAGATGCAGATGAAACGCTGTTACAGATTGAGGCTGAGGCGCTACGAAATAAACTGGTTAGCACTGAAGGCAAACTTTCCGCCATTCAGGCTGATCTGATGCAGGAACAGAACAAAGTGTCAGAGCTTGAGCGTGAGCGCGAGTTGCAGAACAAATCTCTACAGGTACTACATCAGCAGCTTGAGCTGGAACGCACCCGGCGAGTTGCCAGCGGCTGAAATCACATTGAGTGGTGTTGATGGCCGGCCTGGCGCAAATCAGATCGGGTTACCCAGACTGCCACCAGGATAACGCTGTACACCCCGGCAGACAGCAGTACCGCCTGCCCCGGACCGACGCTCTGGGCCATATATCCCAGCAATAAACCTCCCAGCGACATCAGGCTGTAGCCGATGGTGTGAATGCCCATGACACGCCCGCGAAGCTCATCCGGTACCTGCATCTGCAGAATAGTGACGGATATGACGATGTATACCGAGCCGCACAGGGCAACAGAAAAAACAGCAATCAGAGCAAGTACAAAGCTGCCTGCGTGGGTTGCGCCGACAAAGCCAATAAGAGCAACAACAGACAGAGCGGTACCTGCAAACATATAGCGCCCCAGAGGTTTGTCATGATCCAGGCTACCCACCAGCAGCGTGCCGATGATGGAGCCGATGCCGGTTGCAGACAGCAGGTAGCCGTAACCCTGCTCGCTGCTGCCCATGAGACCAACAAAAACCGGCAGTATCTGGATATAGGAATTGGCGAACAACATACCGGCAAATGTGAGCCCTATGAGCCACCTGAAAATCTGTGTCTGCCAGATGAAAACAAGTCCCTGTTGCAGCTGTTCTATGGGGGAATGTTCAGTCGGCTTCGGCAGCGCGATATGCAGGCTTGAAATCACCATGAACATGATCAGAAACCCGCAGCCGCTCAAAGCGAAAATCAGCCACGTGTCGCTCATGTAGATTAACAAACCGCCTAACGCAGGCACCGCCATGCGGGTGGATTGCCAGGTAAACGAGTTAAGGGCAACAGCACTCATAAACGCAGGTCGTGGTACCAGGCTTGGATAAATGGCTTCGCGGGTTGGCCAATCAAGGCCGGTGATGAGTGAAAATAGAGCAGCGATAGTGACTACATGCCAGACCTGAACCAACTCCAGGGCATCTAAAACTGCCAGCACAAACAGCAGAATGGCGATGGCTGCCGAAGTGATCTGCAGAATCTGCCGTTTGTCGAAACGGTCAGCAATGACACCACCAAATAGCGTCATCGCAATATTTGGTAGAGAAGCCGCGGCGCCTAAAATGCCTAACTGCAAAGCGGAGTCGGTGAGTTCGTACACCAACCAACCCTGGCCCAGCGTAATCAACCGGGTGGCGCCAACAGATGCAAAGGAAGCGAGCCAGAAGCGGCGATAAGGCATGGAACCCAGCGCCGGGTAACGTTCAACAACTTGTTGTCTGAAAGATTGATGCGACAGGTTCATTATTCAGCGACGTCGGCGTGGACGTTACACCATAGCCTTCGTTTTGCGCGTGCACAAACGCTGGACACTGTATTATCCGGCCGCATAGGCTTAGGTGGCAAATAAAGCAGCCGGGCTGAATCCAAAGCCGGCTGGAAGTGTTCATAACAGGGTTTGAGTCACTATGTCAGATGAAACATCTATCAGCGATGTCGCGTTGCTTGATGCAGACATTGATACGCTGCAGGACGCCATGGCAAGTGGTGCGCTCACCAGTGTCAGGTTGGTCCAGTTTTACCTGCAACGGATAGAGCAATATAACCACCAGGGCATTGGCCTCAACGCGGTGCAATATCTCAACGCCGACGTCTTGGCTGATGCTCAGCGCCTTGATGCTGAGCGTGCAGCGACAGGGCCGCGCTCGGCCCTGCATGGCATCCCAGTGTTAGTGAAAGATAATTACGAAACAGCCGGTATGCCCACCAGCGCAGGTTCTATTCTGTTTGCCGGGTTCAGCCCTGACCGGGATGCTGAACAGGTTTCGCGATTGAAGGCAGCAGGCGCCGTCATTCTTGGTAAAACCACCATGCACGAATTTGCTTACGGTATTACCAATCAGGGTTCCCGTTACGGCAGTGCAAAAAACCCGTACGTACCAACGCGTAATCCCGGTGGTTCCAGCGGTGGTACCGGTGCGGCCATAGCAGCGAATTTTGCTGCAGTGGGTATGGGCAGCGATACGTGTGGTTCGATCAGAATTCCAGCTGCGCAGAACAATCTGGTTGGCCTTCGCGGCACTATGGGTTTGAGCAGCCGAACGGGCATCATCCCCCTGTCCTCGACCCAGGATATAGGTGGCCCACTGGCACGCTCAGTGAAAGATCTTTGCCATGTACTTGATGCAACGGTTGGCTTTGATCCCGCAGATCCGCAAACCGCTGAAGGGGTTGGCAAGCTGCCGGATAGTTTTTATTCCCACCTCGCACCGATGCACAATGCGCGTGTCGGTGTGCTGGTTGACTGGATGCAGCAGGATGCTGACGACCAGCCGGTGGCTGCCGTGGTACGGGCGGGCCTTACACAGATGGCGGAACAGGCAGGCTGGCAGATACAGGACCTGAATGCGCCAGATCTGGTTGATGCTTTACAGCAGCCTTTGAACGGTCACTTTGTGCTCATTCATGATTTCAAACACGATATCAACGCCTACCTGCAGGCTAACCCGGAGCTCGGGTACGCCAATGTTGATGCTTTGCTTGCTGATGGCCGAGCGCACCCCAGTATCATCAGTTCGCTGGAAGCTTCCGCAAGCATGGGAGATTCGACCTGGGGTACCTACTGGTATGAGCGCGGTCGCCGTGATGTGATCAGACGACAGTTGTTGGCCATGTTATCCAAATATAACGTTGATGCGCTTGTTTATCCTACGATCCGGCGCATCGCTGCACCCATCGGCGAAGAGCAGATGGGCACCAATTGCCGTCTGTCCGCTAACTCAGGTCTGCCCGCCATATCGGTGCCGGCTGGCTTTGCGCAGGGGGTTCCGGTGGGGCTGGAAATTCTTGCGGAATCCTGGAGTGAGCAGAAATTGCTGAATATGGCGCTGAGTGTGGAACAAACCCTGGCCATGCGGCGGCTACCGCCGGCAATGCCTTGAACGAACAGCTGCCAACGTCTGCGCCGGCCGAACGCAACAAAGCCCCAATTCTTGCGGTTCTGTCTGCGGCTTTCAGCGGCGCGTCGCCTGAAGTTCGCGATGTTTTGGAAATCGCCAGTGGCTTTGGCCAGCACGTTGTGCATTTTGCGTCTGCATTGCCTGAAATCTCCTGGCAGCCATCAGATCCGGATGCATCTTCCCGCGCAGCGATTACCGCGCGCCTTGCGCACTATGGCCTGCCTAACGTCAGCCTCCCCATCGAACTCGATGTGCTGGCGACCTGGCCAGATTTACAGGTTGATGCGGTGGTGGTGGCTAATCTGCTGCACATCAGTCCCGCCGCAACTCTGCAAGGTTTGTTTGGCGGTGCTCGTCAGGTATGTCGAAGTGGTGGTTTATTGCATCTATATGGACCGTTTAAACAAGGCGGCGCACATACTTCAACAGGCAATGCAGAATTTGACCTGTCGCTGCGGCAGCGAAATCCGGACTGGGGAATCCGGGATGTGGAAGCTGTGATTGAGCAAGCGCAGGATCTGGGCTGGGTGTTGGAAGCGCAAACTGATATGCCGGCGAATAATCTCTCTTTGCTGTTTCGGCTGATCAACAAATGATGGGTGCTACGAGCGAGCTGTTTGCTGCGCCGAATATGAGTTTATATCAATACGCCCATGTTCTGCTGCTGTCCGCTACTGTCCAGGCGCAGGGCGCTGGCCCGCAGGAACGCACCAGATGCAGGACTTCCCCGCGTTGATGATGAGGGTGGTCCGATGTTCGAACTTGATATCCATAGCTGGTTTCTGACCAGGCGCCACCATCTCTTACGGACGTGTACTCGATTGCGGTAATCCTATCTTGCGCGCCAATCGACTGTCTGGAGACTTCGATCAATTGCATAACAAGTTCTATATTGAGGTCATGCGCGAGCCGAAGCTCGCCTTCAAACCAGTCGCTTGCTAGGAAAATGGACCGGTTGCAGCTGTATAGCTGAACAGTTTCACCTTCGCGCTGACCCGAGCAGCTGCCTGCGGCGCGTTTTGCCCAACCATCCGGCATTTCGAAGGCGTCCCAGAAAACCTTCCAGTAAAGCCCGTAGTCACCGCAGAACTCGACTCTGGAGGGTGCCTTCTCATCGATTTTTCCCATGCGCTCCATGATTTCCACGTAAACACGATTGTCATGAGGGATTACATTGCATTCGCCTGCTGCAAAGTTATGACATGCGAACAGTGCACACAATATGGCCAGTTTCTGTTTCATCTGCCTAAGTAATGTAGCGTTTCGATGAGGGCTACACCCTTTTCGCGCTGCAGGTCACGTAGCCATTTATCCGAACTTGATGGGCTCCACGAACCCGGATAGTGAAACTTCGGATGAACCCAGGCGCAGCTTTCTGCGCACGCTCGAACAAATTTGGACACATCACCGTTTGCAAATGTCGGCGGTTCGAGCATGTAAACCGAAAAGCCGTAGGCCTCTTCCGACCAGGTACCACCATCCGTGACCTCCACATATTCTATGCGGGCAATTTCTGCTTCAGGAGCAGAAACGGCTTTTACAGCTGAAAACAGTTCTGCAACTTTCTGCAATGAAAGGTCAAAAGTCAGATCTACTACCTCATGTGAGTCTGGGGCAACGGCGTGTCTTGTGGTTTTGCAAAATAGTGGGTACCGGTCGAAACATATGCCGGTCGCAAACTTGCGCCAGCCGCTTTCCGATTCGTACACATTCCACCTGGCCGCCCAACGGGGGTAATTACCTTCGCAGTATACTAAGTCAGTGGGTGGCCTCTGGAGCGCATCGGTAAGGGTATTAAAGGTAGTTGTATGTCCCTGCGTTGATGCATCTACAGGTGTGCATTCGTAATTGCCTGCGAACACAATGGATGAAAGCAGGAGGCCTGCTGCTAACGAAGTGAAATTCCTCAATATTGTGAGCGGGTGTGACATAGTCCAGCACTCCATGGTTTTTACCACTCAGTAATGTGGTGGTGGTGGCTCCTGGGCAGGGTCTCCCATTTCAACGTCACCACTCTGCAGGCGTCTCACTAACAGTGTTAAACGCCGCTCCATCTCAAAATAACGTTGCTGTTGCACAACCAGGGCATCGTTGAGTCGCGCGATGGTGTCGTCGGTGAACTCCAGGCGGCTTTCAAGCTCTGTAATTCGGTCGTGGATAAGGTCTGGCTTCATGATTATGCTCATTGATGCAGTTTAATTGGGACGCTGTCGGGTGGCACACCGACAAACGCAGAATACGAACGTGACTGAGGAAAATTATACCGGCTTTATCCTGCAGGCTACCTATCGAGTGCAGCAGGGTAAACCCACAGTTTACCTGTTTGGCCGCCTGCTGGACGGGCGGACATTTCTGGTGCGTGATCATCACCAGACACCGCATTTCTATGTGGACGCCGCTGCCCGGGAAGCGGTCGGCGACCACATCCGCTCAACGGGTGACAAGTTCAGTTTTGCAGGCGAACCGCTGCTGTGTGTAGACGTCGCGATACCTGCTGATGCGCCACCACTGCGTGATCGTTTGCAGGCTCAGGGATTTAAAACCTACGAAGCTGACGTGCGTTTTGCCATGCGCTACCTCATAGACCGTAACATCAAGGGCGGGGTTGAGATTGAAGGCCACGCCATGGCTGGTGATGGCACCGATCTCGTATTTGACGACCCCACACTGAAGCCCGCCCAGGCGGTGATCAGCCCGCGGATAATGGCCTTTGATATTGAAACCAACCCTAACACCGACTCACTGTTGGCGATTGCTTGTTATGGCTACACCGATGATGGTGCCCTGCTTGATCGGGTTATCGTTGTAGACAAGCGTGATCGCAAGATGCCGCCGCAGGCAATCCGCGTGCGCAGCGAACGCGATGCGCTGGAACTGTTCTGCCGGTGGATGCGGGACTTTGATGCAGATGTGATCACCGGCTGGAACGTCATCGACTTTGACCTGACGCAATTGGCTAAAGTTGCTCAACGCGTGCGGTTTGACTTGCAGCTTGGCCGTGAGCGCGGGCGTATGCAGATTCGACCCCCGCAGGGCTATTTTGGTAGCGGGCATGCGGTGGTGCCGGGGCGCATAGTTTTAGATGGTATTGATCTGTTGCGTTCTTCGTTTGTGAAGATGGACGACTATTCGCTGGACGCCGTTGCGCAGCAGGTACTCGGCGAAGGTAAAACGTTAGGCACAAAGTCAGCGGACAATCAGCACCCTGATAAAGTGGCTCAGATTCTATCGACTTATGAAACGGATCTGCCAAGCTTTACCCGGTATGCGCGAACCGATGCCCGTCTGGCTCTGCAGATACTCGAATCGCTCAAGCTGATTGATCTGGCTTTTGCGCGATCTGCCCTCACAGGTATGCCGCCTGATCGTGTTGCCGCCAGCATTGCTTCCTTTGACTTCCTCTACCTCAGCGCGCTACATAAAAAGCGTCTGGCGGCGCCCAGTGTTGTGAGCACTCGCACTTCTGCAGGTCCGCAGTCAGGTGGCGCGGTGTTCGAGCCTCGCGTGGGCATTCATCCTAACGTCTGGGTGTTTGATTTTAAGAGTCTGTATCCCAGCATTATCCGCACTTTCAATATTGATCCCCTGGCGCATGCACAAAGTGAGCAGCAGGAGGATTGTATTGCGACTGAAAACGGTTGTCGCTTTTCGCGCGAGCCGGGTGTGCTCCCGGCCATGCTGGATGACCTGTTTCCCCAGCGCAGTCAGGCAAAAGCCGCGGGTGACGAGATTGCCTCTCAGGCTGTAAAAATACTGATGAATTCATTTTATGGGGTGCTGGGTGCACCCTCATGCCGGTTCTATAACCCCGCAATCGCCAATGCCATTACCGGGCAGGGCCGGCATCTGTTGGGCTGGAGCAAAGCGTGGTTTGAAAGCCAGGGGTTTCAGGTGTTGTATGGTGATACGGACAGCGTTTTTGTGGCTTCAGGCTATGCAGATGCCCAGCAGGCCAACGAGCTCGGACAAAGTCTGGTCACCCGGTTTAACGCCGATCTAACGGACTATCTCAGTGAACGCTATGGGGTAGACAGCCGGCTTGAACTGGAATTTGAGAAACTCTACACCCAGCTCTTTCTGGCGCGGGTGCGCGGTGGTTCTCAGGGTGCTCGTAAGCGTTATGCCGGCAAAATATTTGGCAGTAACCGGATTGAATTTGTTGGCATGGAAGTGGTGCGACGAGACTGGACGGAACTTGCCAAGATCATCCAGCGAAATCTCTTTGAACGGCTTTTTCAGGGTGAAGAGGTGGCCAGCTATTTACAGGACGTTATCAGGCAATTCCGTTCAGGGGCGCTGGATCATCTGCTGATCTATCACAAAGGGCTGCGTAAACCGGTGAGTGCGTATACCAGCAATGTGCCGCCTCATGTGCAGGCCGTAAAGCAATCGCTGTCGCCTCCACCCAGAGTGGTGGCGTACGTTATTACAACCGCAGGTCCCCAACTGGTAGATGAGGCTACCGCGCCCCTGGATCGTGATCATTACCTGCAGAAACAGATTCTGCCTGTAGCGACGCCAGTATTAGAGGCGCTGGGTCTGGCGTTTAACCAGGTGATTGGAGACGATCGGCAGATTGCGTTGTTTTAAGCAGGCCCAGATTGAGTGCGGCGCAGATTAACAGATAGGCGATCCCCAAATTTGCATAGATTTCCGGCAACGCCAGCCACATCAACAAAGCTGTGCCCAAAACCAGACGCAGCCATTCGAACCATACAGCACTGCGGCGCCCTTCCATAACAAAGCCCTGAACACAGAAGCCGAAAGTGAGCCAGGCGGTGGTCGCAAGTACAAGTGGCTGGGAAAGCTCGCGGGCAAAACTCAACAGTACAAATGCAGCGCCTACGTGAAGCCAGAACCCAATGAAACTGGTCACAGCCCCATAACGACTGGTGACAGGTTGGAATTTGGCCGCCTGCCAATCCGCTGGCGTGCTGGCAATGCCCGGTGCATCCCAGGCAGGGCTTTTAAACCAGACTTTAATCTTGTCGCTGAGTCTGGGTGTTTGCCAACTCTGTTGAGCGGTATCGAGCCAGGCGTGGACGTTAGCCCATACCGGGTTCCAGCTTTGCAGCTGGCGGGTAATACCATAACGACAGGGTTGATCTGTTAGTTCCGGTTGGTAGGTCCCAAACAGACGATCCCAGAGGATAAACACACCACCATAGTTTTTATCGATGTACATGGGGTTCTTTGCGTGATGCACGCGATGGTTAGATGGGGTGACCATGATTTTTTCTATGACGCCGAGTTCGCCGACGTGTTCAGTGTGCACCCAGAACTGATAAATCAGATTAAGACTGCCGACGCTGATCATGACCTCTACAGGTACGCCAATAATATAAAGGGGTAGGTAGAAAATACCGTTCAACCAGCCGGTACTGGTTTGTCGTAAAGCGGTGGACAGGTTGTACTGTTCACTTTGATGGTGGACCACATGAGAGGCCCACAGAATGCGCCACTCATGCCCGTAGCGGTGAGAAAAGTAGTAGCCCAGGTCATAACCGACAAAGGCGAATACCCAGACCCACCATTGGCCGGGGTCCAGCGCAAACAGCGTGAAGTTTTCCGTGAGCGCGCCAAAGGCGATACCGATTAAGCCGAGCTGCACCAATCCGCGCAGGCGCGACAGCATGCCGAGCTGCAGGCTGTTGAGGGTGTCAGCAAGGGTAAAAGTGTTGCGCTTGGTCAGCCAGCCGAATAGAAATTCGCAGCCTACAGCCAAGACAAAAAACGGCACCGCATAGGTGACGTAGTTCATGGCTCGATTTCACCCAGCAACTCGGACGACTCAATCAGCCGGCCCTCCGCCAGCGCCGCTGCGTGGAGGGGTGCGATGGCCTGATAATCCGGGCCGCCTGAAGTCATCGCATCAAGTGCACTTTGTTCTGGTCTGCTTTGCGACATTCCGGGTTCCTGTTGCCTGTCGTGTTACAGGAAGTTGTTTGGCCAGATCATGGTACGCCACATGTGCGCGCTGGGGCTATTGTCAAAACCCAGCCCCTCTGGGGGTTGGTTGAAATTGTCTTCAATGAGCGGCACAAAGGGAGACAGATCCAGCTCAACATCAGGTTCGAAGGCGTAAAAATCATTGACCACCACCTGCATAGCGGTGTCGTACCATGTGTGCTGGCGAGCGCGATCCCTGTCAGCGTGAAGGTAAGCAGGCACCACAAAGTCTTCTCCAAAAGCACTTTTATAAAAAGCGGGATAGTCGTAGTTGTAGTCGGGCTCAGCAAAATAGCGCAGTGCCTGATGGTAACGCACCGCCCAGGTTACCTCGGGGTGCACATAAGGCTCTATTAAGGCTGCAGCCCAGTAGCCATGATCTGCCCGAATCAGGTTGGTCACTGCAATATCGTGAAGCAGGCAGGCAAGGATGACCGTTTCCGAAGCACCTTGCTGCATTGCGCGATGCGCGCTTTGTAACATGTGTGCGTAGCCGGTGGGTTGCAGCGCTACGCGAAGTTGATAGAAATCAATCAGTGTGGGTGCCGCGGGCATCTCGGGTAATCGCGGATCGTCTCCCATCAGAAATCGTCCACGGGGCAGTCCAGGCGGGTCAACGGCTTCAATCTGCCCCAGCCACGAGGGTTTAACCTGCACTTCGATACCCTCCATCATCAGAATTTCCAAAGCTTCAGCTCTGGCAAGCGGGGATCGGTTGGTGCCTGTCGTTTTACTCACAGCGTCTGCTGATCTGCGTACCAGTTTTTCGGTGGCGGGGCTGAATTGTGGTTTTTGTGTGCTGGACATTGGGCGCGGGATTGTGCCGAATTGAGAGCTTAAAATCTATGGCGGGTCTCCGGCAGTTGGTCAGGTTTCCATCGCGGTGCGCATCATTGCCCTGGACATTGTCCGGACGTACAACAACATCAGGTGCTGTTTCCACTCATATGCCTTGCGCCAGCTGCAGCGGCAGCTCTAAGTTAGGCGTTTTGTGGACAGGAGCAAAGTGATGCGAACAGGTGTACTTGGGTGTGTGCTGCTGTCATTAGCTGCGTGTGGTGTGGCAGAAACCAGACAAGCACCTGATGCGCCAGCTGACGCGCCCGCGGTTGCAGCAAACGTCACGACCGAGAATGCCGCGTACTCATTCACCGCGCCCTCACGTGATGGGATTGGCAAGTGGTACATGGGGCGGGAAATTTCCCATGTCATGGGTCATCTCGGCGCGGGCTGGTTAGAACGCCCCGAGCGCGAACAGATTGAGCGAACAGATCTGCTGATCGAAAACCTGCCCCTGCAGCCCGACAGTGTGGTTGCAGATATCGGCGCAGGCACAGGCTATTTCAGCTTTCCGGTGGCGCGCAGGCTGCCGCAAGGTCGCGTTCTGGCGGTGGATATTCAGCAGGAGATGCTGGATATCATTCGTCAGCGGGCCCAGGCGATGAACGTGGACAATGTTGAACCCATTCTGGGCAGCATCAGCAATCCGGGGCTTGCGCCCGACTCTGTTGACGTGATTTTTATTGTTGATGCTTACCATGAGTTTTCCCATCCCCTGGAAATGGGGCAGGCGATGGCGGCTGCGCTCAAACCGGGTGGTCAGCTGATACTGATTGAATATCGTGGCGAAGATGCACGTGTGCCGATCAAGCGCCTGCACAAAATGACGCAGGCACAAGCTCTCGCCGAGATGGCTGCTTTAGGCCTGCGCTGGGTCAGAACCGAAGACTTTTTGCCGCAGCAGCATTTCCTGGTTTTCACCAAGTAGCGCAAGCTGAGCTCAGCTGCGCATCATGCCTTCCTGTGCCACTGAAGCTATATGTTGGCCTGAGGAAGAGTAGATGTGGCCGAATGCCAGTCCTCGTCCACCATCAGCGGCAGGGCTCTGAGTTTCGTAGAGTAGCCACTGGTTGAAATCCACCGGCTGATGAAACCACATGCTGTGATCCAGGCTGGCACCACTCATCTGACCCTGATCAGCGTGGGGTCGCCAGGCGGTGTCCAGCAGGCAGCGATCGCTGGCATAAACCAACAGCGCGGTGTGCAATTTGTTATCTTCCGGCAGCACTCCGTTCATACCTAACCAGACCTGTTGGTGTGCCGGCAGCGGAACGTCCTCAGTCAGAGGCGTGACCATGCGAACATCCAGAGGCATCTTCTGCCAGTTTGCGCGGCCGCGTAACGCATCTCTGTTGGGAGTATCTTCCGGGATTGGCACCTCGGGTGCGCTGGGCTGGTGATGCACGCCCGCTGCGGGTCGCTGGAAACTGGCCTGCAGCTGGAAGATCAAAGCGCCACTTTGCCAGGCCGCCACGTTCCTTACTGCAAAGTTGCGACCTTCTTTGCTGCGGGTGACGTGGAATTCAATGTCGGCATCGGGACGCCCTGGCCTTAGAAAATAGCTGTGCAGAGAATGAATCGGGAATTGCGCGACCGTGCGCATCGCAGCCATTGTCGCCTGGGCGGCAACCAAACCGCCAAACAGGCGCTCGTTTGCGGTTACCCCGCCACTGCCCGCACCTCCAAGGTAGACGTCCGTATCACCTGGATTGAGCTGCAGGCGCTGGATCAGGCGTTGCAGCATTGCAACGGGTTCAGTTTTTTGTGTCATGCATCAAAGCTCGGTTTGCGGCGTTGAGATTTAGTCTGGCCGCGCTGTTTTTTGCTGTCGACCCGCTTGCGTTTGGCGTTCAGGCTTGGCTTTGTCGGGATTCGTTTTTTGGGTGTTTGTGACGCCGCGTGCACCATCTGCTGTAACCGATCCAACGCGTCTTTACGGTTTTTTAGCTGGGAGCGGAAAGTTTCCGCCTGAATGATGAGCTCACCCTGCTTGTTGATTTTGCCGCGCTGCTGCAGCGCGAGACGGCGCCCAACTTCCGGGCGCAGGCGCAGTGCATTCAGGTTCACGCGTAACTCGACGGCGGTGGAGGTTTTGTTGACATGTTGTCCGCCGGGCCCCGAGGCCTGCACAAAACGGAACTCTAACGCGTCATCTGGAAAAGGATGTTGCACACTCATGCATATAGAGTAACCGGTTGCCAGTTATCATCGAAGTGTTGAGTGTTTTTAAATACCCGTACGTTGTCGGTTGGGCTCAACGGCTGTCGTTTAACTTCATGCACGGTTGGCTCCAGTTCAAAGCCATGTACCTCATCATCGTGCAGGTCTACCAGGCTGAACCCGGGCCGATGGTGGCCGCGCAGGGTACCGGCGTTGAGAAGGGTTAATGCATCAAAATGAATCAGCGTTCGATAGTGCAGATGCCCGTTCACCATTAAAGGCGTATTGCCCTGAGCGATGATGTCATCCAGTCGGCTGCTGCGTTCAGCTGGCATACGCTGGGTGCCTGGCCAGATTTTCTGTAAATCATTACTGCCTACACCATGGCAAAGCAGTAAAGTGCCCAGCTTCGTTTCCAACTCAATCTGCAGGGGAAGGTCCTGCAGATAGGTGATGACATCATCATGCAGCGTATCGCGGGTGTGCGCATCAGGAATGTGGCGGGCTTTATCCTGCAGAACCCAGCGGTCGTGATTACCGCGCACGGTTTGCACGTCATAACGCTGCAGAAGTTCGATGCAGGTATGGATGTCGCCGGGACCGTCAGCGATATCTCCGGTACATATGATGCGATCTACGCC